TATATATATATATATATATATATATATATATATATATATACACACACACTTTTTATAGTGTTTATAGATCAGCAAATGCTTACTAGATTTGCTTATCTTTATAGCATACAGCTTTTTAAAAAAAAAGAAGAAAAAAACAAAGAATATCGAAAGAAAAGATTGCACTCCTTTGTGACAGCAGGATATAAGGTAGTTGGTAAATGTACTAAAGCCCCCAGCAGCAAGCTATTTCCGTGTGATGTCACAGTGCTTATCTAAACATGCATTTATACAAACATGTTCTTTTTAATGCAATCAGGGTGATCACATTAAAAAGAACATGTTTGTAATTTAGGCAGTCATGGGTTTTTGTTTGTTTATAGAATAAGTTTTATTGTGAAATATCTGTTGTTTTTAAGAATAACAGGTATATCTAGAAAATTAATTATATTATATTTTCTTTTCAATAAGTTGGATTCCATAGTCTAATGTAAAGCTAATTAATTTATTTCGACAAGTGATTGTTTTGTTTTGGCCATATGTTGAATTAATATGAAAATTATTATCTATTAATTGTTTGAATTTGAAAAAAAACTTTTTTTTATTCCTCAAGTCTCCTTAACTGTAACTGTAGTGGTCACCGTAGCCTTAGGGAGATGAATTAAATTTAAAAAAAAAACAAGTTTTATAAAAAGTATTAGAAAGTAAAATATTTTGATTTTAAAAACAAATGCAAAAATTAAATAGTTGTAGAAACAATGAGTTTTTAATGGCCAACCCTGTGATCACCCTGTCCTAACTCCCCCAATCTGTGCTAACTCAAGGCATCTCTACATTAGGGTGGAGTGAAAACAACTTTTTTTAGAAATCCATATTTCTCCCTGTATTTTCTGTATTTTCTCCCTAATTTCTATAATATGATAAACTTTATTATGTGAAATAAAATTTCAAATTGTAGTTTTTAAACTTGCTGCTAAAGTGGATTACCACTCAGTGAGCATTTGCTCACTGAGTGCTAACAGCAATTAAATAAATAAATATAGGAAAACTAAAAAAATGAGACCAAGGTGAGCCAAATTGGACAAGAGTTACCCCCAGCATCATTTTTTGACCAATATTTCTTTTTATTGAAAGCGCAAACTTAAAATTTTTTTAAATTTTTTTTTTTTGAAGAAGCTACACTTTTAAAGGTTTTTAAAAATTCAATTGATAAATAATAATATTAATTATAATATCTATGATACTAAAATATCTATGATACTTGTTATCATTTAGTCAATAATAATAATTATCACCATTTATCAAATATATATATATATATATATATATATATATATATATATATATATATATATATATATATATATATATATATATATATATATATATATATATAGCACAATTGCAAAATCACAATATCTGCCAGCTCCATTATGTAAAGTAGTAAAGTAATTCAAACAAATGCATTCTTTTTTTCATCAAGAGAATATTCTTCTGGTAATGGTATCAGATGATCAGCCACATATCCGAGAATCAGGTGTTTGGTGTATACAGAGAGCTAGAACAGAAAGAATTATAAAAGCTAATCAATTACTACAATATTATTTTGGATAATTTGCAAGTGCTGGGCTGTGATGGAACAAATGTAAACACAGAATCAGATTGATCAAGTTAGAACTTCAACGACATCTACAATGGGTAATTTATTTGCTACATGCAAACGAGCTTCCACTACGCCATTTGTTTGCAGAGTTGGATGGTCCAACATCTGGTCCTAGATGCTATTCAGGTTTAATTGGAAAGTCCCTTGAAACTTGTGAGGTCTTTAAGGTTGCTGATTTTCAACCAATAAACCATAATGCAAAAATACCAGAGGTGGACAGAAAAGTGCTCAGTACAGATCTTTTTGACATCTGCCAAGCAGTATTAAGTGGTATATGTTCTACCAACCTGAAGAAGCACAACCCTGAGAAACTAGCTCACCATTGCCAATAGGATCCTCGATATATATTTTTCTACTAGCAGTCCCTTATCACATTTAGTAATTTTATCAACATTCGTTATGCGAGTTTATGCCCCTATTGTTCATCATCAAGAAAGAGTCTTCTATCTTTCATGGCAGCAGGCATCTGTATAGCACAATTGCAAAATCACGATATCTGCCAGCTCCATTATGTAAAGTAGTAGACAAAGTAATTCAAACAAATGCATTCTTTGGTCATCAAGAGAATATTCTTCTGGCAATGGTATCAGATGATCAGCCACATATCCGAGAATTAGGAGTATACAGAGAGCTAGAAAAGAAAGAATTATGAAAGCTAATCAATCAACTGTGTGTCAGTTCAAAGTTCCAACTCTGAATTTTATGGCAAATAATACGTGGAAGTTGATTGATTGGAGTAATTTGCAGCTGTTGGAGCCACCATTAAAATACAGCTCACTGACAAGCAGCTGGGGGAGGTAAAAGAGCATTGCATTCTACTATCTGATCTTTTGGATAACCATTACCATGCCACACACAAGCAGTGGAACGCTGTGTAAAGATGGTGACAGAAGTTTTCACATCAGTTTGTGGCTAGGTAAACAGAGATGGTATGATGCATGTCCATCTACAATCTAGAAAGAATATACAAATATTTAATACCAAGGCCCATATACAAATACAGAGTACATATACAGAATATACAAATATTTAATACCAATAACACTAATTAGTACGATTTTTGCTCAATAAATGAAAGTATTTTTTATTATATGCACCTGTTCAATTCTAAAACTCTCTTAAATTAACCTGCTTATAAACTAATATAAATCCATTTGAAAGAAATGATACTAATAATTATTTTTTAAATTAATAAATATTAATCAGTGGCGGTTCCAGCGTTTTTTGTTGTTAGAGATAGCTAACTTCCAGACATGGAGCAAACTATAAACAATCATATGTTTATACTTACGTCAAATAGGGATGCTTTGCAAAAAATTGCAATGATTGGGGCCTGGTAACAAAAATACCCCAAACAAATTATCTCCCTACCCCAAATTTGAGGGCAACTACCCAGCCGGCACATTAAGTTTCATTTACGTGTTAAAAACCAGTGAACAACACGTGGTTGACTCAGTGAATTTGTAAACTTTTCTCACGAGTTAGAAACCTTTTTATAATTGTTGTTTGGAACGTGTTTTAAAAAGTTTTTTTCACGTGTAAAACCAAGTTTAATTATGTGACGGACACAGTGATTTTGTAAACTTTTCTCACGAGTTAGAAACCTAATTCTATTTAGTGTTTGGAACGTGATTTTAAAGGTGGGTTTCCCACTCATCCGTTTTTCTACGGGAACGAGATAGGAACGGGAAAAATAATCACGTGAGCATGCATAGTTTTACTTCGGACAAGTTAAAACTTATAATACGCATGCCCACGTGATTATTTTTTCCTTCCTTTTCCCGTTCCTATGAAAAAACGGATGAGTGGAAACTCACCCTAAAGTTTTTTTCACATGTAAAACTTTAGTTTTACTTATAAGTTGTAATTATAACTTATAAGTAAAACTATAGTTTTAATTATTTAAGATATAAAATTAAGTATAATCAGCTTAAACGCATAATATGAGCATAATTAAAACTTAAGTTTTAATTATGCTCATATTAAACTTAAATTAATTTTATATCTTAAATAATTAAAATTTATATCTGACACGTTTAATAACGTGTCAGATATAAATTTTTATATGCATTTTTATATATCAACGTATGTTAATAATTGTTATTTTTAATAAGTTTGCTCATTAAAATAAAGTAAATACAATAAAAACTAAATAATAAGTACTTTTATTATTAAAATAACTCAAATCATCATTTGATAAAAAGTTTGACAGCCTAACATGGTGGTAGTCTATTAAAACGTTTTCCTGCTTGTTTAAGCCACTCTGATATAACTCGTTTGGTTTCTTTTTCTGGCGAATTCCAAACATTAGATATTGATCTGAGTAACAATGAAGTTGGAAGAAAAGACAAATGGTCCGTATATGACTTTAACGATACATTATTACCATACATAACATTTATATTTATTTGCAACTTGCATGACATAATTGCATTTAGAGAACAACGAACATGCTCGCTCATGGACTTACATGTTAAACCTATAACTTCCACCTTCCTCTGAAGCATTAGTTTAATTTTTTTATTGTCAACTTTTTTTTTTTCGAGTGCCAAAAGTTCTTCGGTGGCAGTCGTTTGTTTGAAATCATCTACATCTTCATTGTCACTCTTTGATAGAAATGAAAGAATCTTTGATTGTTGTTTTTCGATTAGTTGCATTTTTTCTTTAAGGTCGCTTAAACAAAACAAAACTTTTTGCTGAAAGCTTCCCATGTCTATAGGAAATTGGTCAACTTGAATTTTTTTTGGTCGTCCACCTTTAAAACTCTTGACAGGGAGATAATTATTTATTTTGTCTTCTTTATTTTTAAGTGATGTATCATTATTTAAAATAAAATGTATATCCCCTTTGTGTGAAAACTCACCAGATGAATCGTCAACAGCTTCTTCATTTATGTTCCGCTTTTTTTTTTTTTTTTAGGTGAATTTGATTTCACCAACCATCCTTTCTCGTTTTTTTACCTTAAAAAAATATTTTCAAATAAGTGCTCAATAAATAAATACAAAATAGTTGAAAAAAACTATTAATGTGAGGTTTTTTATGGTTTTTTTTTTTATGTGGAGGAATTTTTATTCCCAATCAAAGTAAACATAAAATTTTATTCCTGTTTTACACCCTGTTCTGGTAGCTTTGGGAAGATAAACTTAAAAAACCTTAGAGAACTTATATAAGAGAATATCTGCTCTTAAAGCTAAAATAATATAAGGCCGGAGATGTCTGTTAAAGGATTATGAAAATGCTCTTTAATTAAAAATGTAACCACTGTTATAAGTATTTAAATCATTGTAAACTATATTCTCAGAATTATTTACAAACAAATCATAGTCATGATTTGTTTGTAATGTGAAAGTGAATACTAACCATTATTTGGTTTTTCCAAAAAATTTTGAATCACAGGATAATCCACCAGTGTTTCTGAAAAGTATAATAAGTTTGATAACTTGAAATAATGATAATGAACTTTTACTTTTAACTATGGAAACACTAAAACTTAACAACCCATAAATTACGTAAAACTCTTGCAACAACCACTTTGATGAATTTTAAGACTTTTAAAAGTCATAATGGAATCAAGAATTTAACCGTTACATTATAACAACTACTATTAACCACAACAAGGAATGGATCAATTTACCTGTTATTGTATCATAACAAGCTTTAAGAACTTTTCCTACAAGCAATTTATAAAAAATAAGTATAAGCAATGAAATAGATATAATAGTGTACTGCAACATCATTTGTTGTATTTAGAAATTATAATCAGCTATAAAACATAAAAAAATTAGAAATTATAATAAGGTATAAAACATAAATAACAGGAGCATTCCTACTAACTTATACTTAAAATTATTTAGCACGATGGTGTTATTTATGTTTTATACCTAATGAAAGTTCATAATAAAATACCAGGAAAAAAAAAAAAACAAACAAACAAGAAAGCAAAAAAAAAAAAAAAAATAAATACAAAATTTTCTTTTACCTTTCTTAGTAGATAAAGAATGCTGCATTGATGTCAACTTTTCGTTAGCTACACTTGCTTTGTCTAGATATTAGAAATTGTTTACAAAACCTATAGCTTTAATGCCACTAATCACCACCACAAATAATATTTTCCTTATCTTTTTTTTTAAAAAAAACTTTTTAACTAAATAAAAATTTTAATGTACATTTTCCTGAAACAGTAAAATATATAAATAATTAAAAAAATAAATTTTTTTAGAAATAATATTATATGCAAACTTACAAAAACATTGAAGATCATTGTTTTTATTTGTATTTATTAGCTCTACATTTGCTGACCCAGTGTCTTCCTCAGTAGTTACATTATATAAATTTTCAAGTTCCTCTAAAGAATCTGTAAGCAAAATAATTAAATAAATTATTTGTGTTGCTCTTTGTTATGTATAATGTATTTGTACATGACTTTAGAAGTATAAAATAAAATTTTTATGAAAAATAACTTAAACATTTTAATAGAAAATATATACTTTTCAATAAAATCAAAAACATTACCACTAAAACGTTTCACTTTTTGAAGTGGAAATGAAAACCATTGTATGTCAGGCTCTGTGCAATCTGTAATCATTTGAATGACAGGTCTATCTGGCTCAGAAGGATAACGTAGACATTTCTCTATCATATCTATCCAACAAACAGGAATGTTTTCTTGTATGGTTTTTAACCCTTCTTTCCATACCGCAGTACAATATTTATCCTAGAAATCAAGTGAGAATAAGTGCAACATATATATATATATATATATATATATATATATATATATATATATATATATATATATATATATATATATATATATATATATATATATATATATATATATATATATATATATATATATATATATAGTCTAAAACCACCACATAAAAATGCTATACTTTGGTGCCTAAAATAAAATTGAGCGTGTATAAGTTTTTATTTGGCAACCATAGCTAGTTAACACAGTTTCCCAATTATTATTATATAATCAAAATATAATTTCCCAATTATTTTTTGTACTGTAATAGTTTTTTCATTAAATTTTCAGTTTTTCGCAAGTGGTCTTAAACTTTTTTCCAAGACTGTATATACATACATATATATATATATATATATATATATATATATATATATATATATATATATATATATATATATATATATATATATATATATATATATATATATATATATATATATATATATATATGTATATATATATATATAACAAACACATCAAATACAAATGTAAAGCACACAAAAAGCAAATTAATCAAACCATAAATTGTCTGTGAAGCAATGACTTCAGAAGCAATGATTATTACCAACAGCGCAAGTAATAAGTTTCTAAAATCTTAATTTTTTTGTCAATCAAAAATAAATAATACAGAACATTTTGTAAATTATAGTCAATAGTTAAAATAAATGAAAATAATATCAACAACAACAAAAAAATCATTTCTTAATTATATGTGCAAACAACTGTTAATTGTTTTAAAAATAGCATTATACTTGTAACAATGAAAATTTTTTTTTGAATTAACTAAAAACTAAATACAATTGAACTATTGTTTGCATTCATTTTTGTGAAGAACTGGAACAAAGAGCAAACCGTCATCGCCATACTTCATTGCATACAGTTTTTTATAAACGTCAGCTTTATTTAAAGTTACAGTTTTACGCTTCAATTTTCTAATACTGTCGCAACAAAGTATACCCCACTGTCTACTATCTAAAGGTACATCAAAAAAACTTTTTAACTGGCTTGGATTGATAACTAAACAAAGTAATTGTTGATTATCACTTGATCCTGAAATTCCAATAACTTCACAATATTTTTCATTCTTACTAATAAAGAATTGGTCTCTTCTAATTGTTGACACTTTCATATTTAACATTGTTTCTTAAGTAGATAGCTGAATTTGTGAAGCTTTAAAAAATCTTTTAGTGCATGATGTTAAGGGATTAGTTTTTGCATCTCGAACAGTTCGTTTCAAACATTGTAAAAAGTTTTCAAAAGGAAAAGAAGATAAATAACTAAGTGAACACCTAAAATATTCTACATCATCGACAATGTGAAGTAAATTGTGAACATTGTATGTAAGGAAGGTTTCACCACAAAGTATTTTAGCATTGTAGACAAAACTTTGAAATAGGCAACGTGCAAACCCCAACAAATATTCATCATTATCAATGTGTAAAATCCGTACAGCTATAAAAAATGATTTAAATAAATCGTAATGCTGATCGTTAAGTACACCTTTAAATATCAAAATACCAGTGTATAAAACCAACTGCCGAAACTCTGTAGCTTTCCAACGATCCACTTCAAATAAACTGTGTGGTCGTCTCATAAAATCTGATGGTGTATATTGTGATAATTCTGTTAAGCCTAATGATATAGTATTTAGCTGAGCATGGCTGAGTCTAACATTTCGTGGCCCTGTTTTAAGAAACATTAAATATCTCCTGCAAACCCCAAGAAACAATAAATGCATTGATTCTAATGGAAAACCTTTAATAACATCAAAATGATCAATATTAAGAGCAGGACTTTTACTTAAGTAATGCTTAGGATATTGTCTTAACCGAAATAAAGAATCTGTTCTACTTTCGCCTGCATTCGAAAAAATTATTCTTCTTTCTACAGATTGGCCTTCACAAGTGCATCTTTCACATCCTTGCTTTGAGGTATGGCCTGATACATATTTAACAAAAGCTCTGGCAGGAGCATCACAAATAAATGCATTAAGCTTTATTTCATATATCTTGCCATCAACCACCATAGAATTTTTCTGCAAAAAGTTGATTTCATCAATAAACTGCTCTAAATATTCATTAATGTTTAATGGTTTTCTATAACCACTAAATATAGCTATTACAAATGGAGTTGTATTAATACCATGGAAAGCACATAAAATAGGCCAAAATTGGAGATTACTTGAACGATGAATAGGAACCCCATCAATATTAATATTTAATTTTAAAACTGTTTGATCTTTGAAAATAAAAGGTAGAGAAAGATTCTTTTGAATTAAACTTTTTTCTAAACCAAAATAACCAAAATGACCACCAGACGTTTGCACGGTGTTAACAGTTCGAGGAGTGTGTAATAAGGCACGAGCATCTTTTGGGATGTCACCTTTGTTGAACCTCCCACAATTATCCAAGATCTTCAGAAGTTCATTAATTTTTTCGCGTGGCAATCTAGATTCAATAGCCCATTGTGCAAACTTTGTTAAAAATTCAAATATTGTTTCTTTAAAAGTAATTTTAATTTCATCTTCACTTGAATATACAGGGCTAACATCATCTGGTTCTAAAATACATTCTTCATCATACAGATGCAGAGAAGCAGTATCATTTTGCATACTATTTGAATCTACATCTTTATATGTATCAGGACTATTGAATTCTTCATTCTCACTGGTATTGTCACTATCCAAATGATCTTTAATGTTTAAAAGCTTTTTATTAGCAACCAATGTATCAGTGTTTAACATTTCTGCTAACAAATTTGACCTAGCCCGATAATTTTTCATGTAACATTTCATATATTCACAATTTTTACGCTTGTTGATTTTGAGCATTCTTAAATTGTAATTGATATCTGTGATTAATATCAAATACAGTATAAATTTATATTATAATTTACATTATAAATTTATAATTCTAATTTATTGTTTTGCATTTGTAAGCTGTTATAAAAACATATTTATCCTATTCTGACAATAACTTAAGTTATATATTTAGTTATGTATATGTTCATATATATATATAAACATAAACAATAACTCTTATTATATATATATATATATATATATATATATTATATATATATATATATATATATATATATATATATATATATATATATATATATATATATATATATATATATATATATATATATATACATAACTAAATATATAACTCAACTTCTTGTGAGAATAGGATTATTATATTTTTATAACAGCTTACAAATACAAAATATAATCAATTTGAATTATAAATTTATTAAATAATATTAAATAAATATATAATATTCAGCTAAGTTAAATAATTTATATTTAAACAATATTTAATAATGTTTGAACTTAAACTTAAGAACTTTCGTAAGTTTCTAAGTTTATAAGAAATGAACTCATCCTATGGACACATAAAATTTGCCATTTAGTAGGCGCTACTATGAGATATCTATCATATTTATTATTAATTAAGTTTACTGTCTTCTTTCTTAAATTACTATAGCAATTTATATTATTTATAAAAATTCCTGTTGATCACTCTAATTGACGGAATTATTAACACGAGTTCAGAACCTGTTCATTTATAAAGTTAAGCATGCGTTATTTATAAAGTTTTTAACACGTGTAAGGAACTAATGGTTTTATTTGACACGCATTGTGCCGGCTGGGTAGTTTGCAACATTTTTTTTTTACATTTTATAGATAGATTTCAAATTTCATGAATTAATCTCTTAATGTTCAAAAATTATGGCAACAAAAATTGTGATCCCCTCAAATTGAGGGGAATCTAAACCTTATATGATCTAAACCTTATATCCCATACCTTTTGAATGCTAAGAGATTATTTCATGAAGTTTGAAATCTATCAATGAATTCTAATTGAGTTGAGAAATGTAAAAAAAAATATGTTGCAAACTAGTTGCTCTCAAATTTGGGGTAAGGAGATAATTTGTTTGGGGCATTTTTGTTCCCGGGCCCCAATCATTTTTTACATTTTTTTGCAAAGCATCCCTATTTGATGTAAGTATAAACATATGAATGTTTAAAGTTTGCTCTGTCTGGAAGTTAGGTATCTTTAACACCAAAAAATGCTGGATCCACGCCTGTATTACATGTAGAAAATTTGGAAACTTTTGGTTTAAGATAATCCAAAAATTGATGCTGGGGTTAATTCTTGTCCATTTTTACTCCCATTTTTTGAGAGCAAATTTTTTTTATCCTGGTCTCATTTTTTTAACTTTCCTATAATTATTATAGAAATCAGGAAGAAAATATGAATTTCTAAAAAAAGTTGTTTTCACTCCACCATACTCTACATATCAACATTTACAACCCAATTTATGAATTTTTATCATTGCATCTACTTCCCTTTACTAATTAACCCTCTCCTATAATTAAATAGGTGAGAGTAGGTCAATAATTTGTCCAATATTTATTCTTATTCAGCATGTTAAAAGTTTTCTGAAAAAATTCATTGCATTTGATTCATTGTAAAGTTTCATATGCATCAATCTTATTATAATCTTAGCTATTATAATATATTATAATCTAATCTTATCTTTGAAGTAGATCTCTTGTTGTCAAATGTAGATCTCTTGCAGTCATATGTAGATCACTTGCAGTCAAATTCAAGCTGGTATTTTTGTAAACCTATATTAAATTTTGTAAATTATATTAAAAATATCATATGCTTATAAAAAACAACAAGTTTTTATTGCAATAGGTATTATTGTGTTTGTTTATATAAAGAACAAAAGCAATTATTAGTAAGTATTAAACCAAACAAATTAAAAAAGAGAACACTTGGGATAGAAGTTTTATTTTTTTGCTTTATTCAAATATTTCAGAATAAAAATGGAACTTAGCAGAACTTAGAGATGAGCTACATAAACACTTTCATAAAAAAAAAATGATTTTATAATAAAAGGAGTTGTTATATCAACTGATACCTCACTTTGTCTCTTTTTAGTAATTTGTCTCCTGTGGCTTTTGTGTTCTTTTCCACAATATAAAAACATACAATATTTTTTAATATAAATAATAATGGAAAATAAATTTTAGCTCGCTATTAGTATTGTGGAAAGATGGTCTTTTCAGTTTCAAGATTCATACAGTGTTTTAGCAAATGGTAATTTTTATTTTTTTAAATTTTCTGTGTTTTAAGTTATTGAAGTAATTTCTTGCAGTGTTTTTGATTGTTAATTAAATGTCAATGAAATTTTAAATGTTAAAAACTAAAAAAGTTGTATTATATTTAAAAGTATAAAATATTATGTTGAAAATTACAATTTTAAAAGAATTTTAGTCTCAAAATCCAGTTTTTTATTTCAGTTTTTTATTTCCCTGATTTTCTGATATTAATTATTGAAAGTTTTCTAAGTTAAGCTTTATGTTGGTTTTTAAAGCATTCTATAATGCAAAACCTTTTAAGTTTTTTAGTGTTAATCAAAAAATATTTACTCAATAAGTTACATAATTTTTCATGTTTTTCAGTCTTACATTCAATAATTGATTCAATAAAAGTACTTTTGTATTTGGACACAATGGCTGCAGCATCTATTTGTAAATCATTTAAAAGGTTTTTTTGTTTGTTTGTTTGTTTTTTAATGTTTTCAAGTAATTAGAAGCTACTCTAAATTTTATTTTATTTATTTTTATGATTTTTTTGTCTAATTGTATTTTGTACGATTATTTATTTTGTATGATATATGATACAGTTTATAAATGGCGTATCTTTGGTTGAATGTGCAACAATTTTTAATGGGAAATAAGTTTATCTTAAGCGTATGTTATCTAGGTGAATGTTACCACAGCACTTGGAATTTTTTTTGTGACTTTAACTTTTGATTTTATTACTTATGTTATCAAAATGGTGTCCAGCAGCAAATCAACTAACTGTAGTAAATACATCATTTTGTTGAGCAAGATTCCTTTTAATTAAAGGCTCACCAAAATTTTCCAAGTTTCTTTGCTCTGACATATTCATTTTGTGAGAAGTGTGACACTGCGATATGTCTCAATAAAGACTGCAACTGTTTTAAAACCTTCCATCAATAGAATTTTTATTTATAATGATATCTTTATTGAGTATGTATAACTCTCAAGCTAATATTTCAAGAAAAACTTTCTGTGGCTGTATTCTCATCTCTCCGTTAAGCTTAACGGAGCGTTTGTCAAAAAGTTCTATTTAACTACATTAATTTAAAAAATTCTTTAAAAATATAAATTTTTAAATAAAATTATTTTATTTTAGTATTAGTTTTATTTAAACAAATTTAAATAAAGTTTTTTTCATTTCTTTACATAAAGATGTTGTAATAAAATTTTTGATAAACGCTCCGTTAAGCTTAACGGAGAGATGAGAATACGGCTGTTGATTAACAACAAACATTAGTTTATCATTTCTTCATAACATTCCACTACTGCATGATGTATCATATATGATACAAATAAATATTTTGCAATTTGTATACCTTAAAATAGCTTTTTTTTTAATATATATATATTTTTTTTTTTTTTTTGGTGTTAAGCCATATAATACTTTTAGATTTATTAGTTTATTTTAATATAAAAGCAGTTAACTTAAATAGGAGACAATTTATATTAAAAATTTTTCCTTTTTTTTCTTTGCCATGTTATTATATGAAAGTATTTTCTCATTACAGATTATATACCAATCAGAAAAACTTAGTTTTTAAGCATGTAAATGATTTTGAATGGTTGATAAATATTTTTGACATTGTCGAATGTATTTTCCAAATGTTTTTTCAGGTTAGATATTATTTTTAAAATAATTTATAAACCTATCTGCAAATAATTGATAAATAATAAATATATTATAGGTTGATGTTGTTCAACATAACGTAAAATTTTAAAAATTTCTCATTATAGGATGTTGTTCAACATAATGTTAAGTTTTACAAATTTGTCATTGGTCTCGCTCTCCAAATCACGCTGGTAATTTTTTGCAATTTATATAATTATTCATTAACAATCAAGTTCATAAACAATTAAATATTTAATGCAAAATGTTTGTTTCGCAAAAGTTCTTACATTAATACTGAAGGTGGTCAACTCCAATTCAAAACGTATTAAAATTTTTTTTTTTTGAGATTTTGTAAAAAGTGATTTTCTTTTATTTCAATTATTGTAGAACATAATTAGAGTACTTACATTTGTCGAGTTTGTACATAAATTGGTCTAATTCATCTTAGGAGCAATTAGGGTAGACTTTGTTTACCTAACAACGCCCATAGCAAACACTTTTTTTTTTAAATAATTTAATTATTATTACCTCAAAAACCAATATACATTTAGTCATGGTATAAAAAATAAACACTGTTAAGTCTTATATGGCTTTTTGGTAACTTTTTGCTATATTTTAAACTCCTTGCTGCGAAAGTTTGATATGTATAACACTGTAGAATGCTGTGTAAAGTATCAACAGCAGTGTAAACTTTTCAAGTTATATTTACAAATTATTCAATGATAAATTGATATAAAAGTAAAAAAGTTATAAAAAAAATTTGAAGATTTACCAAATATGTTTAAAAAAAAGTATTTAGAGGAAACATGTTACCAATTAAAAGTATAAAAAAATTGTGGCTTTTAGAGAATTAGGATAATGTCATAAATCTTTGTGTACTTTTTAATCATTTATGAATATGCCAACAAGTTTTGTCCAACGTCGTATACTGTTTGTTGCAGTTTGATAAACTAACAAACTTATTTAAATACAAAACAAAATTAGCCTTTTAATTAGCCATTCACAAAATTTTAAAACCAATTTTAAGAAATCTAATCAAGATTTACTAAAAAAGTGTCTTTGCAGTAAAATACAGAACATGAAAGTAATGAAAGCTTGAATGGTGTTATTTGGAAAAGATGTTGATTTATGGCAAATCTTATAAAGTTAAAAAAGGATATCTCCAGATAGATTTAGTCTTTTTCTTTGAAATTTTCCCAGTTTATTCAAAATACATTGGAAGAGGACTGGTATAGAGGTAGCAGAATAAATATTTTTGCTTGAATATAAATCTTAATTTTTGTCATCACTCAACAAGACCTTTCTTGTAAAACTAGAAACTATAATGGTAATGCATATAACTTTGGAAATATACCAGTAAAATGGATAAAACTGCTAGGGTACCTAAGTTGACATACAATTAGCTGAAATACCAAAGGGCATTAAAAAAAGTTTACTTTCTGAGAAATCCTGCTTTTAAACAACATGCTAAAACAGTAGAAATGTTGCATAAATGAGACAGATTTTTAACCTTTTTTTTTTTTTTTTTTTTTTTTTTATGCTATTTTAAAGTAAAATCCACATAAGTAGACTAATTTGAAAAATGAAAATTAATTATTAAAGAAAGTCATTTGGTTTGGGGTGGACCATCTTAAACTAAAAACAAAATTAAAAAAATTATAAAGCAGGTGAGATTGCTATGGAAGGGAAAGATCTCTAAAATTAATCTCAAAAGCTATACCAGATACACCATATGAAGTGACTTTATGGAGAAGACCACCATGCCAGACATTATTGTAAGTCTTTGATATTTCTACAGCAAAATAGTCCTAGTCTTGCTTTCACCATCAAATACTTTAAGAGCCTTCAGGATTATTTTAAGTTAGAGTTTACTTTTCCTAGGCTAGAAATATAAATCTTAGAATGCTGCAGTACATGGAGCTGGTTGTACTGAATTACATGTTACTAAAAGCAGTTTTTCATAATTATATTAGGGTTTTTACTTAATTAACATGCTTTGTAATTATATTTGTTGAGGTTGCACACACTAAGTGTTTTATTTTTTATTTAGGACTTTAAAGATGTGTCTGATGATGCTATAAAGAAAATTTATTCATTTTCTTGTACAGTTCAAAGGTTTCAAGTTTTAATAGTTTTATTTTCTAAATTTTAAATAAAAACAATTTTTGAATCATAAAGTTAAAAGTAAATTAGTGAACACGCAATATCTTGTTTACTAAATTAGGAAACGATGGTGTAAAAAAAGAAAACCAAAAAATTCTGATATAAAAACATAAAATAAACTGTTAAAAATGTAGTATTATTAAACTCCATTAGTTATTAAATTATTTTACTAATTTATTTATGTTCAAATAAATTAATCTAAATAAGCTAATCTAACTTATGACACTCAAACCTGTATTTAAGCTATTCGTTTTGTGTGGATTTTTGTAGGTGAAAGTTCAAATTAAAACATAATTGACTAAACTTATGTATTAGGTTTGATTAGTCATTTCATTTTTTCGATTTTTTTTATGTTTTATTACATTATGTAAGTATTGCATCAGCCATATGCTGTTATTCATAACAGCTGTGTTGCTATTATTTGTCTTTTAAGTGCGTAAGTGACAAGTTCAAAATATACTGTGATTGAATAAAAAAAGAATGTTACATGTTTAATTTTTAAATCTAATATTAGTTTATGTCCTTTAAAGTGAGTTCATGTTTTTGGACTATTAAAACAAGATTCAATAAAATGCATAAATTGAAGATAAGTTTATTTTTTTATTTAGATAAAAATTTTCAGAATTTTTATTTCATTTTTAGACATAATCCTTGAAAAGGAATAAATGCAAAAATAAGACAAAGAGGAATTTAATTTCCTTAGAAAATAAGACATAAAGCAGCTGCTAAAAATATTTTTAAAGCTGAAATTTTATACCCACTACCTTAATATTTTATGGCAACTACCTTAATAATTTAATACCCACTAATTTAAAATATTTTTAAAAAGGTAGTGGGTATTGATTGGATGAAGTATTTAGTGCTGATGAAACCAGTTGTTCTAAAAAATGATGCCCAACTGAACAATCATCTCCAAGTCCCAGAAATCTTTATTTTAACTTTTTAATAATGCATCTGAATCAAGAATATTAAAACCCTTATGGTAAAATGTGCACTTGATCAAAACTACATCATCAAAACTTTAAAAAATATTTGAAGGAATTTTCAAACAGGATTTCAGTTTTTTAATTCTTATACTTGTATACTAGTTATATATTAGTTATATATTATTATATCTTTTTTATTACTATTTTATAGCTAAAAAGTTTCTTTAATGCAGGGATTATCTTTTTCCGGAATAAAATATTTTTTATGTTAGTATTATATCTATTTATATTAGTATTATATGTTATATACATCTATTTATATTAATATTGTATATTAGTATTATATATCACTATTTTTAGTTAGGTTACGCATTTTAGTACTAATTTTCCCTTATTTGCACACGCATGTTTATTATTTGTCTGCGTATGTTTATTATTAACTTATTTGTACGCGTATGTTTGTTTGTACATGTTTATCTTTAACTTATTTGTACACATGTTTATTATTAACTTTTTTGATTATTTTACCTAAAAATCTAGTTTATTTTAATAACTTTTTTATACTAATTCATAAACTCTGTTTAAATAAGATTAAAATACTATTTTATATATATATATATATATACAAAAGAATTCCTGCCAAAACCTAACCCTTAGTCGATGTATACATACCCATTTAAATCAGTTGATGTATATACACTCCGATATGATTATGGTTTTAACAGTCGATTTTTATACGTATTGATGCACAAATTCTAAAAAACTTTGAAAAACAAAATGGTATACAACAATAGTAGTTAAAAAACATAAAACTACTTTAAAATAAAACTTTTTAAAAAAACAATTTCTCTATAGAGGGTTTAAAAAAGTTTTAAAAAATAATAACTTCTATGCAGAACTTAAAGTCGCAACCATATCCAGCTGCTCATCTTTACTACTGTAAACACTACACCACTAATTTTACTAATTTGAGAAATTAAAATATTTAAACATTTTTTGTATGCAAATTATGTTAATATATTAAATGAATAATATATAATAACACCATGTTAATATATTAAATAAATAATATATAAATTATGTTAATATATTAAATAAATAATATATAATAACACATTCAATAATATAAGAATTTGTGTGTACAAATAATGAATCTCATCTTTCCTAATAATATTTACTACTGTAAATACTATGTCGTTATTTTACTACTTTGAAAAATTAAAATATTTAAACATTTTTTGCATTCAAATAATGTCATGATTATGTTTTATATTAAATAATTAATTTATAATACCACATTAAATAGTATAACTATTTGTGCATAATGAATTTCTTTTTAAACACAAGATATTCTTAGTTACACAAAATGCAATTTTATATCTGGATATTTCTTAAAAATCTTTTCCAGATATTTTTAGAAAAATTTTTTCCGGATTTTCAAAATATGACCAGGATTAATGGTTTAACATATGTTTGCAGTTGAAGTTGACAATACACTGCAAAAGCTTAGATCCATAATCATTATGAGATTTTTTTTCTTTTTTGATCATCTTCGAATATTGAATAGATTGCTTTTGTTGCCTTCTTATTGAATTATTTATGTAAAATTCTGTGGCGTTCTATGAATTTCGGAATATAGTAGAAAATATCATGTGTTACAGTAACACATGATGTTAAGATAAGGTATGATTCCTTGAACTGTCAGACTTTTCTAGGTGTCTGTCATTTAAATGAATGTCTCTTAAGTATCGCAACATTCTTTACTGCGTTCATTTCCTGCACCACTGTGAAAGACTATCTGAATGTTTACCTTCACAGACCACAATGCTTGTCTCTAGCAACACTTTAGAAGATTTTGAAATGATTGAAATCTCCATTGACAGATCAAATTCAGAGTTTTTAGCCATGATCAAAGATTGCTTCGATTGCAAAGGAGCTTCGATTATTGAATTCCTTTGATTTGCTTTTATTTGATCCAGAAATAAAAACTTGTTGCGATTTGTCTTCAGACTTCTAAATATTTTTCAAACTTTTCTTTTTCTAGTTTTCTGAGTCAATGTCAAAATGATATATGATAATTTCAAAGCCTAATGAGATGATTTTTCGAGTATTTGTTTCAAACAGATTATGGTTTGGTAGTTTCTTCGAATTCTTGCAAGGAAAAATGTCTGTGTTCTTCCTTGCTGTGCCATGTTCTATAAATAAAATTATATTTTGACATTGTTAAAAAGTTGGCAAGTGTCAGTTTCCAAAAGAAATCTGTGCTTTTGATAGTCTTAAGCAAATCAAAGATTCATTTTATTTACATACTAAATTATTTACTAAATAAACTGAATTAGTTTATTGCATACTTATGTACTCAGGACTTTTTTCTTTTTTTTTGTTTAAACATCTTTACTTCCAACAAGGCTTCCAAGCAACCACTATTAGAGTTGGAAGTTACTGGGAGAGAAAAGATAAAATTTATAAAACTAGATAACAATCAACAGACAACTTAGCATAGAAATCACACATTGAAGCCAAATTTTGTCAATGTGTTTGCTAGCAATTCTCCTGTTAGTACAGGTTCTTTAGTAAAATTAGAAGAATTTTCACAGGTAATAACATCAATATATCTTAATACGACTGTCATTTGAAAACTATGACTGGTATTCGTTGTTTCATCAAATATAATGCTATAAAATTTTCCTTTAAAAAAAAATTCTTGTTTTAATTAAGTCCTGAGTTACATCATTACTTCTGAAACCATTATCCATGGAAACTTCTGTATATGTTTCTTAGATAAAAAGCAATTAACATTCGTACCCTTCTTTAGATGTACAGAATATGGATATTTATAGTTTGGAACAGGAAACCAATTGCATTTCAATATTCAGTATTTATTGGTGTGAAATGAATATATCCATGATTACACTTGTTTCAAGGATACTTTTTTAAAAAAGCATTAAAATTTAATATCTCTCTTGAACGAAATTGAAAGATTTGATATTTTGATATGTAATGACACTTCTACAGGATTTTCTTGGGAATCTTTTTAAGCATTAACTCTGAAATTTACATATGAATTTAAATTTTATGAACCCTGAAATTAAACTCACTGTGAACCATTTGAACAGTTTTCTGTAAGATGTAATTATTTTTTTAAGAGATTGTGATTTAGTTGTATGCTGAAAGATAAAAAACATAAACAGTAAAATGTACAAAAATCACAAAAATCTTTAAATTATTTTTGATGACTATGGTTATAATATGATAATATTTAATCAGATAAGCTTAGGAAACAGATAAGCTTAAGCGATGAAATAATTTTTTGTTTACAAAACGGTAAACCTAAGCCTCAATTTGATACTCGGATATTTATTTATGAAAAGGTCTATTGCTATACAATGATTTAGTGATAAGGTTTTACTAATATTTAAAAAAAAAGCTCCCTGATATTTTTTGACATAATTTATGTTTCTAGAAATGAATTAACATTCTTTAATTGAGGTTTGTATAGAAATTATAAAATTTCTTGTTTTGTTGTTTTTTATTATTAAAAAAAGAACCTCTTTACGTTCTTTTATATATCTATATCTAATTTTTTTAAACGTAGTTATTGATATTATCATAAATACGTTACCATTGTGTTATTTTTAGATGCAGGCATTCAATATTTTTTTATTGTTATATAAACTTTAGTATTTATATGGATTAGTATTTGCCAAAAGAGAAGACGAAAAAAAAAGTGGAGTAGATGAGAAGCCTCATTCTACTCCACATTTTTCACCGTCTTGAGAAGTTGCTTTATAAAACATTAATCATTTTTTTCATCTTTTTTTACAAGAACATCTCTCTTAAAAATCAATGTCCTTTTATTATTGCAAAAAGCTAATGTAAAAAAAGTCCTGTCTGATGTTAAGCCTTGTTATTCTCAGTTTACTGAATCCTGTATTTATCTCAGATGTTAGGTTCCAGACACTTGGTTTGTCTTCAACAGTGTTATCAACTAAAGTAAGTCTAACAATTAATCTCTAGTTCATGTGTCTGATTTTTTTACTTCTCCTTAAAATAAAGCAGAGTTATTTGCAAAGAAATCTTACCCTAATTTGAGTCTTGAATATAATGGCCATACTCTTCCTGACAGTTGAACAGATTAACCAATTGTTATCCAAATCACTCTGACTTCCAATGCTAAAGTTAATTCTTAATTAAACACTTTTACAGTTTGTGCTCCAAAATAGATCTCCATCATAGTCTTTAAAAAGTGTTCTCCAGAACTCTCTTCAATTATTGCTAAACTTTTATAAAGTGCTAAATAAGTGCTTCCAATTTTTCAAAACTCAAGAAAACACTTTGACCTCTCCAACTATCCTACAATTAGCTTTTACTCTGTTATTAGTTTCTTTATATGTTTTTGAGGTTATTAAATGATTTTTTTCTAACTGCAGTAGTAAAGTTATTCTTGAAGGCCTACCATCTTCTTTATTCCAAGTAACAAGGTTCTACCTTTGCTCCTTTAAAGTTTCTCATCTACATTAACGATCTTCAAGAAATCTAAAGTGGCTCTATTTCTTGACGACTCAACTTAATACTTTTGACAATAAGTCTTCACTTTTTTTTGTAACAGGCTTGCAGTGGCTTGTAGATTTTAAGTCTGGATTTAAAATCCACAACTTTTGTTAGACAACAAAACTCATTTATTTACTGCAAAAAAATATTGTAATATTGTTGGCATTCCTATATTGACAAATAACAACCCTCTTACTCTCAGACAAAGTTTAAAGCATATTGTAAATGTAATAAGACCTGCTTTATCTGCCAAGCTTGAGTCACTTTCCCATTGATGTAAGGTTGCATTTCTTTCTTTTTTCTACAAATATAATCATGGTCAATGCTCTAACAAGCTATCATCTCTATTATGATAAACCAAAACTCATTCTTGCTTGTTTCTTATTTAAAAAGTTGCATCCTTTTACTGTATCTGTCCATTAGGGTGTCCCAAAAAACAACTTTTTTAAAAATAATCTGCTCTCACCCCCTAAATGTGTTCTATCTAATACAAAAACACTAAGTTTAAATTTTTTTTAAATAAAAAATAATTTAAAGGGTCCCTCAAGACCCTCGAATATTTAATGGGTCCCTAATATTTTCAAAAAAAAATTTTTTTTTAATTATGTCAACCTGGTACTCAAATGAAGCGAAATTATATAAAAAATTCAAAAATAATGTTCATTTCGGAAAAAACGATACGTAACGATATTTCCCTTAAAATAAGCGATTTTTTTACAGAAAATTGTTTTTTGTTTTGGCAAATATTGTATATTTTAAGGGAAATATCATTATGTATCGTTTTTTCCGAAATGAACATTATTTTTGAAATTTTTATGTAATTTCGCTTCATTTGAGTACCAGGTTGACATAATTTTTAAAAACTTTTATTTTTTGAAAATATTAGGGACCCATTAAATATTCGAGGGTCTTGAGGGACCCTTTAAATTATTTTTTATTTAAAAAAAATTTAAACTTAGTGTTTTTGTATTAGATAGAACACATTTAGGGGGTGAGAGCAGATTATTTTTTAAAAAGTTGTTTTTTGGGACACCCTACTGTCCATTCAAGCTACAAAAACTTTTATTAATCCTTTTTTTTTTCCTTTCACATCATAAAAACTTTATAACTCTTAGCCATCTTCATGTTTTCTTTTATATACAACCTACATCTTTTCAATTCTTCAGTTAGCCATTTCCTAGTATTTTTACTTATTCTCTATTTTAAAGTAACTCATAACTTAATAGTGGTTACTTGCAATCTTGTTGGAAGTAAATTAGAATTTGAATTTATATAAATTTATGCCAGTATTTAATAAATATTAAATGTGAGCATAAAATTATATATATAAAGTATTATAAATTTTTTTCTAGTCCAGGCTATCAACCTCTGCTGAATTTTATAGTTTAGCCAGGGCCAGGTTTGAAAAAAGTCTCATTTTTAGCAGGGGCCCCGGTCACTTACTAAACCTAGGTTTGGATGAGAAAAGAAAAGTAGTGGGTTACAGATAATAATACATTGTAGATGGAAAAATATGCCATTAATTAATATTCGAAAACAAGGTTTTTCATTTCTGCATCATAAAATCTTTCATATAATGTATAAAAAATGTTTTGCATGCTTGTTATCAAATATGCATTTAAAGTTTGCTTCAAAGTAACTTGTTTTAAAAACATCTTTTTGCTACTCGAAATATTTATATTGCATATACATTAACTCAAGCTACTTGAAATATCTATGTTATATGTACCCATTATATACATATTTGTGTCTATTGGGTAGGTTCTGTTCTTCTTATAATGGCAACTAGAGGATGTTAAAATACTCCTGATATATTTTGCTATGTATGCGTATATTATATTGGCAAAAAGCATATATTAAATAAGGTCCTGAAAGGTACCATACCTTGGATAGCATATGCAAAATATTTTAGAATGCCCATGGGTGATCAGGACAAGACATGTTACCCCCACTTCATATGAAACTAGGATTGGTAAAACAGTTTGCAAAAGCCTTAAATTTTGGAGATGCTTTACAAGAAATTCGTCTCATGCTTCCAAAGTTATCTGAAGCAAAGATTAAAGATGGTATATTTGTTGGACCCAAATAAAGACAATGTTATTTTTTAATTGTTTTAATGTTGTTTTGTAATTGCAATTAGAGTTTTGTAATTGCAATTAGAGAATTTGCAAAATAGAGTCCTTGCAATTTCCTAGGAAATTGCAAAGACTCTAATTTTACAAAGGATTCTAATTACAAAATAACTGGTTGCAATGCTTATTGAAAAATTTAAGAAGTAAATATTTAAGAACTTATTTAAAATTTAATAATATATTATTATGACATTATATATGATCTCTAGTCAAAAAAGATGAAAGTATGCAAGAAATTCGTAATCATCAAATCTTGATGAAACAGTAAAAAATTGATTTGTAGTTGTAAGTTTAAAAATATTTATAGCAAAGAATTGTTTCATCTTGTTTTCACTAATATCATACTTTCTAAGTACCTTTTCCATATATGAAAAAGGGTTATATGCCAGGTTATATATGTATTACCATATGGCATTTTTATATGCCATGTAATTATCCTTATATTATTAGAATAGATTGTACAACATACTTTGAGAAAATTTGCATTTAAATCAAAAAAATATGAAATCAAGCATAAATAAAAAACAATCAATGTTATGTTAAAATAAATTTTTGAATTTAATGGTAAAAAATAATTTTAAAGTAATTTTAAAAGAAACTTTATTTTTTTTAACATAACAATAGTATTTTAATTTCAGTTTAGCAGAAGTATTTTTTGTTTATGCTATTTGGATTTAAAGTTATGTTATATTACAAACATAATTTTTTTTAATAATTTTTGGGTTTCTGTTTTCAGAGTACTTATGAAGTATACAACACAAGATTTGAATCCGTTACTGGAAGCTACTGTATGTTAAATATGCATTACTCTATTTTTTTTAAACAAAATGAAATTATAAAAGTTATTAAAAACTATATAATTTTTTTTTTAATATGTATTTTACTTTTATAGTTTTTTAAATATACACGTGTTTTATTTTTGTAGTTTTTTAAATACACACGTGTTTTATTTTTATAGTTTTTTAAATACAAACGTGTTTTATTTTTATAGTTTTTTAAATACACACGTGTTTTATTTTTATAGTGTTTTAAATACACACGTGTTTTATTTTTATAGTTTTTTAAATACACACGTGTTTTACTTTTATAATTTTTTAAATACACACGTGTTTTATTTTTATAGTTAAAAACTTGTGTTAAAGAATTATTGAGTTATAAAAATGCAAGTCCTCACTTTATCAAAGGTTTTTTTTTTTTTTTTTTTTTTTTTTTTTTTTTTCTCACAACACTGTTAAATTGTATTTAACTTTGTTTTTATCTATTAAAAAAAGGTATAAGTTAAAACTGTCATTTTAAATTTTAGTCTTGGTTTCAGAAAATAATGGTTTGGAACACCTAATTTTGTTATCACGTTTTCATTCTGATTTAAATGAGACTTTTCAAGGTGATATTCCATTACATTGGTTTCCTTCGGAAAATAGAGATAGCTTAATAGGATTATTTTTTAACCTTCTTCAGCACTTCTCACCTTTTATATATGAAGATAATAAAATCTTGCTACCAAGTTCTTTTGGCATAGTTAATGTTTATGAATACCTACTTGTGAATTTATGTTCTTACATGACCAATCTTCCTGCATGCAGCATTCAAAGCGTTGTGTGTAATTTTTTTTAGTGTTCTAATATTTTTAAATTTTTTCCTTTGAAAAAATATAAATGTTCAATATATTCCACATATATAAATCTATATCTATGATATACCTATCTGTATGATATACCTGTAATTATAAGAGTATTAGGGTTGAAATATTATAAAATTGTGTTTATAAAATATAAAATAGTCAAATAGTAAAAAAGATTAGAAAAACCAATTAATAACTTAATGAAATTAGGTTTTGCATTTTATTAAAATTATATGTTTTTTATTTGTAAGAACATTTTTTTAGACTGATATTATTGTTTCTTCGCTGTTTATATCAAATATTACTTTTATTTTTGCTGCAGATCTACTCAGCTTTATTGCAAGGTAAATAATTTATTTAGGCATATTTAGTCATTACTCTATTTGTTGATCTTAAATTTTCATTTTCATTTTTAGATGGAGCAGTGAAGACTTATGTTTTCAGTATGTTAACATGCTTGGAATAACAGTAATATATGTTTTTAGTATGTAAACATGCATGACATAATCATAAACATTTAATTGCACTTGGAATAATTTTAATAATTTTAAAAAATTATTTAGGAAATGTTGCTTTTTAAAATTATTGATTATTTTAATTTTTTTAAATCACTTTTTTAATAAAGCAATTTATTTTTAATTATATTGAAAAGTATAGACTTACAAAATAAACTCCTAATCTCCATCTAAGCTCATCGCTTACTTTCTTTTTAACTCCAAGCAACTATCTTATTTTTGTTTTCTATTAAATAAGTTGGTCAGATGGATATCAGTGCACTTGCATCAAAACAATTCAAGAATGCTAGGTTTGCAAGGCAAGAACTACTGAGTTTCAGACGTTTAACAGCTAGCCCTATAATGTGATTGGTTATTTTATACTACAGATATTTGCAATTTTTTTAATAAAATAACTAAGCTTGAGTCATTATGGCAAAAAAACCTTTTTCTTTTTTTCATCATTAAATAAAACTATTTGTATTTAAGTCTGCATTTTAAACAAAATATATTGAGACAGGTAAGTAGGTAAAATGTTTGTGTGTTGTAAAACTTTAAAAAAATTATGATTAGCAATAAATGTTTAAAAATTTGCAATTTTTTAAATCAAAATATTTGATATTTAGCTTTTGAAACTAGGATCAATGGGTTTGGAAAATACTTCAGAATATAACAATATAATTTTGCTTTTTAAAAGGCTGTTTTTGTTTCTCAGTAAAGAACAACTTGTGAGTATAAAAAAATAAATTTTATTGCTTTTATTATAAATTTAATAGTTAATTTTGTGGTGTATGTTTTTTGTGTGTATATATATATATATATATATATATATATATATATATATATATATATATATATATATATATATATATATATATATATATACATATATATATATATATATATATATATATATATATATATATATACTATATATATATATATATATATATATATATATATATATATATATATATATATCTGTATATATATATATATATATATATATATATATATATATATATATATATATATATATATATATATATATATATATATATATATATATATATATATATATATATATAGGTAGGTGGAAAATAATAGTTTCTCTTTTTACAAAAATAACCCACATATAGTTTTATTTTTTGCTAGAATATAAAGTTGTTTCTAAAAAATCACCCTTTCTCTCAATCTATCTATCTATGGGTATATATACCAATTGATAAAATGAAGTATGATGCAGAAGACATTAACATGATTGTTGATATGGCAATTTCTGTTATTCATTTAAACAGTGAAGAACAAGATGGTTCTGAAAGAAATGTTGTATGTGTATTTCAACTTTTTTTTCTTTATTTTAAAATTTATATATATATATATATATATATATATATATATATATATATATATATATATATATATATATATATATATATATAAATATATACATGCCCTACTATAAAACACGGCCGGATTTGTTGCCTTGAAGGCAAAAAATTAGTGGGTCGAAAAAAGGCTTTGAAATTTACAAATAAACCAATTTAACAATATTGTTTAATTTGGTTTGGTTTAAATTGGTTAAAATTACAATTTTTAAATATGAGCAATAGTTTATTTTGCAATGCTGAAAAATTGTTTTATTGTTGGTTGTAGGAGTAATTATAAGCGAAAGATTGAAGAATGCTACAGTAACAGTAACCACGTGCCATACAAAATTGCCTTTAGTTTTCTTGATAGTAATCATTTAGAACTTCCAAATTCTTAGGTTAAGTTTGTCAATTAAGTTTATTAGAGCCTCGCAGAAAACTTAGCAATTTGTATCGATCATTTTGGATATAATAACTTAAAAAGAGGTAAATGTATAACATTGAACTATTGTAAAAATCCTATACCAACAATTATTACCTACCAAAAGTCTTATCAAAGTCATCTCTAATCTAATCAAGCTCAGCTTTATGTAAGTCCCTTGCAGTTCGTATATATAACTGCTATTTGCTATATGAAACAGATGATTTTAGAAAACCTGATACAATTAAAAACATTATAGATCTCAATTTAATTTTTTGTCATTTTCATTTAAAAGAAATGATAATCGTGTTTTATATCTTCAAATTTTTTTTTTGATGAGGTGGTTTTTTTGATGAGGTTACTCCTAAAATGGGGAGTATTACAGTTGTTGTAAAGCTAAATATGCCAGTTCCGTTACCTAAATGGTTTCGAGAAGGCAGTGTTTGTAAATTGACCAGTGCCAGTATGCTAGTTAATTTTGTTTCTTATATGCATGAAGTTGCAGAGAAGGTATCAATAAGTATATTATCAGAGTTATATAAATTATCTCTTTATAAACTACAAGGATGTCCAATATACGCAAATGAAATAATTAGATTTTCTCTGATGTACAGATATACATCAAAACAGGCATATATTTTGCCAGGCCTCGGCGGGAAGAAATGAGTGAAAGAGTGGTGAAAAGTTCTCCTAAAACATAGGTTATAAGGAAAGGGGAAGGAATTTGGTAAACACAATTGTTATCAACATATATTTTGACAATGAGCAACAGATTAAAAATGGAAACATTAGAAAAGATGTCGCCTTTAAAGTTTGGCAAACCATGAAAGACAAAAAAATAAACACAACAATAGTATATATATATTGTATATATATATATACAATAGTATATATATATATATATATATATATATATATATATATATATATATATATATATATATATATATATATATATATATATATATTTAACAACATAGATTTTTTTTTTCTTTGAGAAACAAAAAAATCTTGATTTGATAGAATTTTTGTAATGTTGTTGTTTTAATGTAAATATAAGTGCAAATTTAAAAAAAAAAGAAATTATGTGTTTACTAACATATTCCTGTTAATGTTTGAATCAATTATTTAGTAGACTAAAAGATTTTGTAAGCAGTAGTAATGGCTAAAATAGCTAGTTCACTTGGCTTAATGTGACCATGATTTATCACTAATTGTCTCAATATTTTGAGGTTAAGAATTTTGGTAATAGTTAGAATTTTAAAGCTAATCAATAAAAAGCTTTTCAGCTTTTTTGTAACTTTGTCACCTTTCTGTTTCTAAGTTTAATATTATACTTACAATTCTACTTTTCTTATAAAATTATCTGGTTTGTTTAATGTATATTTATTGTAGAGATTTTTTTAATCAATTTAATTTACACATACACTTGGTTTTGGTTTCCCTTTTTTAATTTGTAGTTGTAAATTATTTAAACTTCAATAAAAAATTTTAATAAAAGCTTTTAAGGTTTTGATTTTGACACTAAAAACTTTATGAAATCAGCCTACAAATTTTTGCTTTTATGGCAACAAATCCCACTGTGTTATATAGTAGGCCATGTTATACATGTATATATATATATATATATATATATATATATATATATATATATATATATATATATATATATATATATATATATATACATAAAACATATACATATACATATATACACAAAAAGTGAAAATACTTTTGAAAATAAGACAATTTTTTAGATTTTATTTAAAAACATTTTATTATTTAAATTCAAGACATGTTTCAACAAGATATAGCCATCAGTTGAAATATATTTGGTAAAAACTGTATAAAGTTGTAAAATAAACATAATAAAAGCCATAAAATTATTAACAAACTTCCTATATATACAAAAAGAATTACTAAAAATTATTTAACAAATGTCAAATATAACAAAAAAACTGGTAAAATTATTATTATTATTATTTTAAATATCTTCGCTTCCAACAAGGCTGCAAGCAACCACTAATTAGAGTTGGAAGTTACTAGAAGAGAAAAGATAAAGATTGTAGAGCAAGATAACGATTGACAGACGACTTAAAAAATTGAAAATTATATGAATCAGGAAAACAAGATGAAGGAAGTGAATTCCAAAGAACTGATGTTTGAGGAAAAAAACTAGAGGAATAAGAGTTTTTAGAGCACTTAGGAGCAGTCACAGAAAAAGGATAAGACTTAATTGAATGAAGAGTAAAACGAGAATGAATTTAAGTAGATGGCACAAGAGACGCTAGCTCTTTAGAGCAGTGCCCATTATAGTATTTGTAGAAAAGAGAAAGAGAAGCAACATTACGACGCTGTGATAATGGTTAAAGGTTGGCTGCAAGAGCAGGTCCAACTATGTTTACAATGCGTTTTTGCACCTTGTCTTGCCACCACATGATCTACTTGTTTATTTATATTGGGTTTTTCACATCCCATATGAATACTTTCTTTAATTTTTAATTCAATTTTATTATTGGCATGATCCAAAGTTGAAAAGCATTCATCGCTATAATTAGTAAAACATTTTTCTTTTGAGTGAAGATACTTATAAATTAGTTGTGTAACTAATTGTTGATTTTGTCAGATTTAATTTCTGCGTTTTTTCTAACAGCATATTCTTCTTAAAGCAAAATAAGTATTGCTGCTTGTTTTACTATACTTATTGGTATGCTTTTCAGCATTTTTTTTTTATTTTTTTATTTTGAATTTACACTGAAAATGTTTTAAAAAAATAGGTTTATGTGTGCATCTCTCTCTTTCTCTCTCTCTCTCTCTCTCTCTCTCTCTCTCTCTCTCTCTCTCTCTCCTCAGCATAAATTAGTTCACCCTCACATTTTTTCTCTAACCACCTTGCCTATATGCAGAGCAGCTAGAGAAAAAGATAGCAGAACTCTCTTCAGTTTCTGAAAGACTCACATCATAAATGCAAGTTTTGAGGTCACACATCTTTAAAACTGGACCTTCACATTTGTGGTTTTTTTTATTAGGTTGTCCTACTTCCACTAATTCTAGAAACATGCAGCAAATCCAGTTAAACGATTATTAAAAACAGAAAAAATGTCCCCAGCTGCAATAAAAGCATTTGTTAACAGAAAATTCTCCTTCAATTCTGACACTTTATAGCTCATGAAGCAAAACATAATCAAAACCAACTGAAAACAAATGCTTGCAGACAGCTATCAACCCTTCAGTGGTTTGCATAAAGGCTTTTTTAGTATCATGGGTAACACATTGAATTTGTTTGGTTCCATGCCCTGATTTCATAGATTTAAATTGTTCTAAAAACAATCTTTTTCATATTTATATAGGTTTTTGACGGTGATCATCTAATGGATGAATGGCCTGATAATTCTCTTGAAAATTTTGCAGTATTGCTGATTGAATTTATGAATATCTGTTACAAATCCTAAAGTAATGGCACCATTTTTTTCAATTATAACAGCAGCTTCTTTAACCACAATGAATTGATACATTGATGTTAGTTTGTGAACAGGTATAATAGAAACTATTAAACTAGGTCCACCATGTAAGAATTTCATGATTACACATAGCATAGAAGTTGTTTTAGATTCTGGATCATTTTTTGCCATTTAAAATTCCGCCTAAATAAGCAACTGTTGGTCTGATTTTTATCTCATCAACTATATGTACTTTTCTGATGATCATTCTTTACTTTTTAAAATGCTTTTTGTAATACAAGGTCGATGTTTGTGGCAGAAACTATAGACTGCAAATTTTGTTTACTTGGAAGTACTAAATAATCACAAAAGTGATCATAGTTGAAGTTATAAAAAAAATAGTAAAGCAATAATCAGCTATAGAGAAACATTTGTTATGTGATTGTTTAAATTATCTTGTAATAAAAATCAATTTATTTTGCTTATAGAATTAGACTGATTTGATATTCTGAAAGAATAATTGTCACCTTTTTAATAATATCATTAATATGTAGATTATAATTATAAACTAAATTTAAAAAAAATCAAAAAACTGTGAGTAGAAGCCATTGTTGGGATTCAATATATTACTTAATGGAATGCTAATACCATGTTTAAAAGCAGAAAATGTTAGTGGTGAACTCAATTTACACTTATTGTAAACAATTATTGTCATGAAGTTCTCTTTAGAATCTATTCACATAAAAATGTTACGAATTTATCTTTTTGCCGAAATATTACAATATTTTCATACTTTTTGTATCATTTTTTGTCTGGATAGAATTCAGAAAACAAATTTATTTTGTCTTTTATAAGAAAATAATTAAGTTGTTGATCCTCAGGCTTAGATTACCAAAGAATTGATTTTTGTGTTGGTAGACAAGAAAAAGGAACATTAAAATTATGTGGTGCACCAGGTGGTCCACCAGGAAACCTAATCGTTTCTGTATTTTTAGGCCAATTTTTTTTACATATGTTAATCCATTTCTGTTTCTCAGCTTCATCTTTAGGTAATTTAAAAATACGACACTTATTAAGTTCATTATAAATCCCTTTGCAATTCACAGCTCCGCTTTGTTAGGCATAATGAAAGAGATTTTCAAAAGGTATTACTGCAACATTAAAAATATCTCCACTTTGTTAGAAATAATGGCCTTGGCTGACAAAGTCAGAAAATCAACTTATCGTGTCCTGTTATATAGTAGTCCTTGCAATGGCATAATACTAATAGTAAAGTATTTTATAATACTAATAGTAACTATGACCTACTAAAGAAAAAACAGTATAAGTTAGAATTTCACTTGTTATAATTATGACTAAAGATTGTAACACTTCAATGTTACAATATTAAAATTTTTTGTTTTTGTTATTAAAGGAATCAAGTGCTGAGACTATTTCATAAATAAACCTTAAAAAAAATAAGTTTAGAGTTATTTAAACTTAACAAAACAAAATATCTATCAAAGTATTAACATTAAGCTTTTCAGCTTTTTTGTAAATTTGTCACCTTTCTGTTTTTAAGCTTAATATTATGCTTACAATTCTACTTTTCTTATAAAAAATATCTGATTTGTTTAATGAATATTCATTGTAGAGATTTTTTTAATCAATTTAATTTAAACATACACTTGGTTTTGGTTTCCCTTTTTTAATTTGCAGTTATAATAAAACATTTTTGCTGCATTTCAGTTTTAAAAAAATATACATTAATGTAAATATTAAAATAATAGTTTTAAAAAAGTTCTATTAATAATAACAAGTTATCATTAAAGTCTTTTTTTAACCTTACATATTAAAAGAGAAAAACCAAGCGGTAAAATATTATTTTACTTTAACAACAATATTTTTTTATTGACCTCAAAGATAAACGCATTAACCAGATTTCTTTTGACAGAAAAAATCAACTAGCTAGAACTTTCCTTTGCAAGAAACAATTTGCATTTAAAAATAAATTTTGTTTATATCTCAATAACATATTAGTTATTGAGATATAAACAAAAAAAAGTTTTTTGTTTATATCTCAATAACTAATATGTTTTAGTAAGTTTAATTAAATCTAAACTTATTTTCTAAGGTTTTACTTAAGATATGAGCAAAACTTGTCTCGGCACTTTAAATTTGAATAGTTAAAGGGATCCCCCTTTAACTATTCAAAGATATATGAAGTTTTTTGTTATGATATATGAAAACAGGTACATTTGTTTATGATAAATGTATTTTTTATTTTTTCATATCAATTTCAATTATTTTTAAACTGATTTGATTGAAATAAAAATTTATTGAAGTTAATTTATTGTCTGTAGCATAGACAATTTTCACAAAAAAGATTTTAGTGTTTTGAAACAATAGTACACACTAAAATCTTGTTTTTTAGTTTTCACTTTCAAATTTTTTTTACTGCAGGTCTTGCTATTTATTTATTATAATTATTTGTATCATTTTCTTAAGAGATGATCATTAATGTAACATAACTTTTCAAATAATGAAATTTTTTCAAATAATAAAAATAACTTCAACCAGACCTGCCTGGAGGTTTAAGTATTTTGAAAAAGTTCAGTTTTGAGCACTTTCATATAAAATTACAACCTTGATTGAAGCCAGAGTAATCAAAAAAGTTTGCATTTAACAATTTTTTTAGATAAAGAATCCAAAATTTTTACATAATAAAAATTTTACATAATAAAACCTGGAGACAACCTAATGTTTTTCAGAGGAAACATTAAAGTTTGTATATAAGTTAATTCTTTTTTTTTTTTTTTTTTTTTTTTTTTTTGTTGCAGTTATAAAATTATTCTTTAGTCCAATTAAATCTATAGAATTGAAAGTTAAGTCCGTGTTTTTTCAAAATTAGTAAAATATTTTTTATTTTTCCTAATTATTATAATCAATATAGTCTAATTTAATTCTTTCACAATAATCATTCTAAAACTATGCAACCCCAGATAATCATTCTAAAACTTTGCAACCCCAGATAATTGTGAAAATTCTAAAAGGTATTTATGCTAATAATGTTGCCCTTAATGCTAAAGTCTGTGGTGTATCACCAAATGTTTTACAGAAGGTAAAAAATGCAATTTTATATTAATCAAGTGATGATCTTAAAAATGTTAAATCCAGTCAGTCTACCCCATATAATAAACAAAAAAATAAAATAAAAACATGTCATCATTACAAAAAAAGATTTTAAAGTAGTCATTTGTACATCTCTGTATCCATGTAAAGTTCATTTTGATGGCAAAACTATTTTGAGACAAACAAAAAAAAAAAAGGTTTTTTAGTTAATATCAGGATTGTAACAACATAATATTTCTGGCAGATCTGTTGTCAAATTTTCAAATATATTTCCTGCTGACATAAAATATGTCCCACATATTTTCTTTCAACATATTTTAGCATAATTTTATGTCTGAATTATTTTCTGATGACATAAAATAATTCCTACATGTTTTCTGTAAAAATATTTTGGCATTTTATGTCTTAATTATTTGCTGTTTTATATTCTTGAAGAGCAAATCAAACTAATTTGTTAACAAATTATTCTGAAATGCATTACTAAATTGTTAGTTTGATTTTTATTTCAAGAATGAAACATGTCAGAAATAAAATTATATAAAATATTTATATATATGTGTCAAACATATTTTATGTCAGCGGAAAATAACTCAGACATAAAATTATGTCAAAATATTTTTTAAGAAAACATGTCGGGAATATTTTATGTTGTTATGAAGGTAACAACCGATCAAGTGTAATCAATAAGTAAACAAAGCACTGAAGCGTGAATCCGTATAACTTTTTTTTGAATCATCATTTTCCTATATTAATGATTTGTGGAAAAAGGGTCAAAATTTTTCTGATAGTGCTTTTTGAGGCTCATATTAGATTGCCCTAAATTTGGCAATTTAGGGCAAATATTAGATTAAATTTGGCAATTTAGGGCAAATATTAGATTAAATTTGGCAATTTAGGGCAAATATCATATTAGATTGCCCTTACTTGTTCAAGTTTGAATTATGAAGTTTACTGAAAGGTGAAGTTGAACTGGGCTTCAACATTGGTGTCGAATTTGAAATTGCTAAATTTCATTTAACTTTCAGTTAAATTTGAAAGTTGTTAATTTTTTCAATTAAAAAAGAATATAAAATATATAATATGTTTCATGCATATCAACCTGATTCTGAAGTCTAAATAGATTAAATTGATTAAATCTGGTGATCAAACTGGCCAGGGCAACAAATCTACTTTGTTTTCATCCATGCTTTAACTCTAGGAGCTATGTGGCCATATCTTGTTGAAACAGCCACCATTTATTTTGATCAATCAGCATGTCTACCCATTGAACCATGCAGTTCTCTAGTGTCTCTATAAAGGTGTGTTAATTGATTTGGGCTGGATAAATGTTTTACTCGCTTACTTTGTTAAAATTAAATTTCAATACTCCCATCTTCTTCGCAATCTTAGTACAACAAAGTGATTATTATTCTTTCAGATTTAAATCTTTTAATAAAAACTTTTTTCATTTATTGCTTTAAATTTGCTTTAAAAATTTTCTTTCACTATTCTTTCCATAATTCTTTCCATGCACCACCTTGATCTTGTGAACTCTGACTGTCCAGCATTGGTTCATTAACAGCTGCATAAACACCAACATTTTTTAGTAAAATGTTTCTAACTGTATTTGAAGAAAAATATTTTTCTAGGTTTTGTTGAATGTGTTGGTAAGTTCAAAGTAACTGAATCTCAAATTGGCTCTAACTTCACAAAATGTAAAGAAAAAAATAAATTAATAAAAAAAGTAACAGAAAGTAAACTTGTTATTGACATGTAAGTTGCAGAGCAATAGCTTTGCTATCAAAAAAAAAAGTTCTTGAGTAAATATGGTTAATTTTTTATGTTTGAAAACAAAAAACTATATTACAGAGTTATGTTTTATTTTATTGTACAGACCAAATAATATTAACAAATTCAATTTAAAATATATTTTTATAAATTAAATTTATATTTCTAAAGTTTATGTTATTAAAATTCGAAAAAACATTTCATTTTTGTAAACATACTTAGATCAACTATTAAAGAGAGAGAAGCATGAATATATTTTTTCAGTAAGCTTGCAATAAATTTAGCTAAATTTAAATAATTTAAGCTGTTCTTGATATTATTGATGTGTTTTTAATATTGTTCTTCTTGATATTGTTGATGATGTTATTGTGTCCATGACAAAAGTTTTAGCTTTTATAAATAATATAAATGATATTATAAATAGTCATATAATAATACAAACAATTTTATTTTTAAAGTATTTTTATTTAGATAGGTGCTATTCGAGTATTGTGCAATATTTCAAAATATTTTTTGAATTTTTTGAGTACAAATAACCAAGTTACAATAGTAAAAGAAGTTGTACAGTTTTGGAGCTGTTTTAATGATTTAGATGAGGACATTGAGATGGTAACATTATTTAATCAGTTTTAAAGTTGATTATGCTTTGAAATATTTATGTGTTTTTTAAAAAAATATTTAAAGAAAATAAGTAATAAATTTTTTAAAAGGAATATTTTTTTTTGCTTAATTTTTTTCTTTAGAGTGAAAGTGTAGTGATTGCAATGTTATGTCTTGCATCGTGTGTTTTCCATCTTTTTCAACCAGAGCAAATGTTACTGGCAAGTACACTTTGTAATACAAGCAAATATATGTAACAAGTAGGGGTGCATCGATGCATCGCTTGCAATGCAATGCTTGCCGATGCATTAATTATTTAGCCAATGCATCGACATCAGTCTTGGTAACCATCCACTGATGCCAATTGTTTTTGAAAAATCAGTTTTTTTTATTTTTGTGTTTCTATGTTGTATGCAAAATAATTATTAATAATTAATATACATAGTTAATATACATAAATATTACATAATTATTCCATAAACCAAAATGTATGTATAAACCTTATTAAAAGTTATTATATAAAAATATCTGCAACCACTAGACCTTTAAATATTTTTTGATTTGTTTTTTATCAGGAGCTAATTACATTTAGTGTCTTTTCATAGTTTAGGAAATCAATTATATGACTTATAAATCCAAACTATACAAAGAGATAAGTTTAAAATCAAGAAATCTAAATGTATTGTTGAGTGTAAAAAAAAAGTTTTTTATCTTCTTGATTATTTTATTTTGCAAAATTTACAAATTGTTTTGAACATTATTTTTATCAATATCAAAATAGTTTATTAGACTTTTAACTGCTCACTTTTGATTTAAAATAAGCAAATATAATATAAAATTGTTTTGAACATTATTTTTATCAATATCAAAATAGTCTATAAGACTTATAGCTGCTCATTTTTGATTTAAAATAAGCAAATATAATATAAAATTTAAACAAATAAGCAAGCATTAAAATTGATTAATTGTTAAAATTATATTTGAAAAAAAATCCTAATTTACATATTAGTAAAAAAGTAAAGAGCACAAATTCCAATTTAGAGCCGATGTTGGTGCATCGGCCAATGCATTGGTATCAACCTGTACCAATTGGCATTGGCCTAAAGTAGGCATCACTGCACCACCAGTAATAAGTAAATTAAATAGCAAATCTATTTAACATGTAATCTCTTTGAATTTAAGGTCTTATCAACTGTTAAAGATATACTATTGCACTGTGATAATCAATCATTTCGTTTACAAGTGACATACTTTCTTTCTGACCTTAAAAGCACACAGTTTCATGAAACCAATCAGGTTATTATTATTATGTATGTTTTTATATATTTTATATATGCGCGTGTGTGTATGTATGTATGTATCTATCTAGGTATGTATATCTAACATATATATAAAAATATATATATATATATAAATATATATGAAATTAAAATTGTATATAATATTTTTTGTTTAGATTGAATGCCTTTCCCTTGTTGCATCCTTGTTTAATTACCTATTAGATCTAAAGGATTGGATGGTTACATTTTTTGCCATGTCTGCTCTTCGTGATTATGCTGAGGTTTAATATATATAGGTTTAATGTATCAACTTGTTTCTTTGCGCAGTGGCCTTGTTTATCAAGGTTTGTGTTTCAGGGTTATAGAGTTAAGAAAGGGTTGTAACCACATTTAAAGTAGCCTCCTCAACTGTAGTGGCCTCCATGGCCTTGGGGAGGTGAATTAAAATAAAAAGATAAAAAATATATATAAATGTTGTGCTTTATGGAAAAAAAAATGTTTTCTGTTTGCACAGACATGATGTTACTATCAGGGTAAAACAATGTATTTCACAACTGTTATTTTTTTTGTTTTTTTAACGTTGCTCACAAAAAACTTACTCTAATTCTAGTTTTCAACTATAGCATGTTTTTTATTTTCAGCCTGGTTGTCAATAAACTCAGGTATGCGCATGATAATAGCATTAACTTAAGGTGTGATTGAAATTCCAAGGACTTTGTATGCTCTTTCAAAAAAATATATAGAACTTCTATAAAAGGAATTACAAACATTCCCAAAGTATGTCTGTCTAACTACATTGGATGTTTCAAATACAACAATAAGCTTCCAACTATCTAATTTTTTCATATCTAATTTTTTGTGTTGAAGCTGTTTTTTTAGAAGGTAAAAATTGTTTAGGTGATATCTACATTAAAAGTTTCTATTGTATTTTTCTCTATATATTTGAGGGTTCTGTAGATGCTAAGTTTGTTTCATCAGTCAATAGCTTTCAAAGAACAAAAGTTGTTTTGACAAAGAATGGTTAAAAAAAATTAAATTTAAAAAAGTTAAAATTCCATAAGCACAGTATTAGGATACATTATTGATACAAAACAAACTTAGCTTTCTTTCTTGCTCTTTACATATAGCATTTTTACAATATTAATATTATTATATACCAAATGAGTCACTGAAGTTCAGACTTGAAGTAAGGTCTTCTGAAAATATCAGAAAACTTGAAGTACCAGAAAAACCAAAAAAATAGCACAAGTAACATAGCATTAAAATAAAAATTTACAAAAAATGTTTACAATGTTACATATTAAAACACCGGTTTTAATAAACACAATTTTAAGGATATTTTATTTGTGCATTTCTATGTTTTTAAATGTTATTTTCATTACATAAGATTAAAAAAATAATTCTTTTTTGATTATTTTCAATTATTTATGTTTTTGTTCTTTGATATGTTAAATATTTATAAAAGTGAAAAAAGTCACTATTTTAATTTCTTTTTGTTTTCCCTACAAAATCTTTCGTAGATGCTTTTTGTTTTCCCTACAAATCCTTTCGTGGATGCTTTTTGTTTTCCCTACAAACCCTTTTTGTAGATTTTTTTGTTTTCCCTACAAACCCTTTAATAGGGAAAACAAAAAGCATAGATGCTTTTTGTTTTCCCTACAAACCCTTTTGTAGATGCTTTTTGTTTTTCCTACAAACCCTTTTGTAGATGCTTTTTGTTTTTCCTACAAACCCTTTCGTAGATGCTTTAAAATCATTTTTTTGTTTTCCCTGCAAACCATTTCGTAGATGCTTTAGAATCATTTTTTTGTTTTCCCTACAAACCCATTTGTAAATGATTTAGAATCATTTTTTTGTTTTCCCTACAAACCTTTTTGTAGATGCTTTAGAATCATTTTTTTGTTTTCCCTACAAACCCTTTCGTAGATGCTTTCATTTTCCTCATTATAGATTTACATTTCATAGTTTCCCCAAAAATCATTTTGTAGAAAAGCAATGTTGGGAAGCAAAGCAAGAAACAAAAATCTCTATAAAACTATATGGTTTTATTTGTAAAAGGATATTGCAAACAAATCTCCTATTATTAAATTATGATTTTATTATTTAAATTAAGGTTAAATTTTTATTATTAAATTATGGTTATCATTCATAATTTTTCGTAGTGTTAAAATTCCTAGAAATAAATACTTTTTTTTTTTTTCTGTTTGGTTTTTTTTGTATTTTCTTGCCATTTGGGAAATCTCACCTGAAATATCAATTTTTTTTACTTTTTCTAATGAGAATTTTAACTTTTTTGCAAAGTTTTAACAAATTAAAATCTTTATTATGAAAAAAGGAGTTAATAATATTATAAAAACTCAATTTTTGAGTTTTTCAGGGTATTATTAATAATATTAAAATGGTTATAACTTTTTAAGGCATAACTAAATATTTAAAAAAAATTGTAATCATGACTACAAAGAAACTAAATATTTAAAAAAATTTGTATTCATGACTACAAAGAAACTAAATGTTTAAAAAATTTTGTATTCATTACTACAAAGAAACTAAAATTTGTATTCATGACTACAAAATTTGTATTCATGACTACAAAGAAACTAAAATGTCAGTATAAAAGTTCTTCGATAAACATTTCTTCAAATCTGTTGTGTCTATTGTGATCCTATTTATGTCCTATTCATGTCTAAATGTATTTTTTTAAACTTTTTATAATATATTTAGGCCATCATTTATTTTTATAATATTTAGGTTACCATTTATTTTTATAATATTTAGGTCATCATTTATTTTTATAATATTTAGGTTACCATTTATTTTTATAATTTTAGGTTACCATTTATTATTATAATATTTAGGTCATTATTTATTTTTATAATATTTAGGTTACCATTTATTTTTATAATATTTAGGTTACCATTTATTTTTATAATATTTAGGTCATCATTTATTTTTATAATATTTAGGTTACCATTTATTTTTATAATATTTAGGTTACCATTTATTTTTATAATATATAGGTTACCATTTATTTTTATAATATTTAGGTTACCATTTATTCGCATAAATTGTCTACATTTTTGCCACTGACTAAGAAAACTGATTTTACAAATTTTTTGCAAAAGGTACTTATTTTTTAGAAAATTAATTTGTAAAAATAAAGTTAATTAATAAAAAGAGTTTTATTTAAATTTTTTTTTACTTATTTTTATTGGTATTAATTTCAAAAAAATTAGTTTAATCAAAATTTTACAACTTTTTTTTTTTTTATTTTTTTTTTAACATCTTCACTTCCAACAAGGCTGCAAGCAACCACTGTAAGAGTTGGAAGTTACTGGAAGAGAAAAGACTAAATCTGTAGAGCAAGATAACGATTGACTGATGACTTAAAAGATTGCAACTTTAATGATTTGTATGTAAAATTTACATACAAATCATTAAAGTTATAAAATTTTGTATGTATGTATATATGTATTTCTAATACATTTAATAAATGTATTAGAAATTCTATTTTATACATACATACATACATACATACATCGGACCAAGTTTAAAGAGATGTTACTCCCTAATTTTTCAAAAAATTAAAAAGATTCAATTAGAGCATCTCGTTCTTTATTGTAAAAAGTTTTATTGATCTTTAATTAAGCCATGTTGTCGAACAGAATCAACAAGTGCTGGAAACTGTTGCGCAAGGCATTGTACGCTGACCATGTCAACTTATTTAAGGCATTTCTTGATCTTTTTGTGCGGATGATCTAAACTTTTTGTCTGCCAATTTTTTGCATAGACTTTGTCTATGCAAAAAATTGACAGTCATAAAGAATTTGGTTCAAAAAAAATACAATACCCAAAATGTTTTGACATTTTGAGTATTGTGTTCTTTTTGGACCAACTTTTTGGCCTCCAGGTAGGAAAAGACAGTTTTCGCGTATTGCGCCAATGCTAGGTCGTGCCAAAATATATAGGCATTATCTGAATAGTGCCCTGCAATGAAGGACATTAATCTATTTTAAATATACTCGTTCAAGTTGACTTGCTGGTTGATTGCCATAATGCTTGGGAGGAAGAAAAGCTTTGAGATGCCATGCTCTGAAAAGTAAAGCCAGATGAGCAAGTAATTTGCTACGGCATCTTAAGCTAATCTTTGCTTTATGGTCTTCCATTCGCTTTGGGATCCTGATTTTCTTTAGTAATAAAGGATAGAAGACTTGTTTTTGAGCAAGAAGATGTATTGATAACTGGATTAAAATTGTTGAGCTGCTTGGCATTGCAAAATAGTATCCTTATGGTCAAACATTGCTATTAGTTGCTTTACATTGGTTTTGGTCATGATTACTGATTTTTTGCCACTACCCTTGGCTCTTTGGTGGCCAGATACGTTTTTATCTTGGTCAATAATCCAGTAAATGGTACTTCTCTGCACTTTCTCAGCTACATAATGAATGGTTTTCTCTCTGATTTATTGGCTAGATACAACTCATACACACGTTTTCTTTGTGTCTTGTTTTCGCCTCTACATTTTGGTTTCATTTTTGAAAATGATTTCTCAAGCAAATACAGATAAATGATCAGCATGAAATTTGCTACAAAATAGGTTATTGACATTAGCATAAATAATGTGATACAACATGCTAAACTTTGTCCTATTTTCAACTTGCCACCCGTTATTCTCAAATCTTATTTTATTGGAAATTAGGTTCAAGAAACTTCGGAAAAATCTTTAACAATCTTGTATTAAATCTTTCATATTATATTATTAAATATCAATATTAAATCCTAAGGTGTTAAATAAAATTTAAGTTTATTCAAAATAAAATTTAAAAAAATTAAAATATTAAATAAAATGAAAACTTATTTAAAATTTAAATAAATTTAAAATATTAAATAAAGTTGAATATTTAATCTTTTAATAAAGGTGGATCTACCATCTCTCATCATTATGATGTAGCAGAATTGTTTGAAAAGAACTTTTCCACTAACTTATATCTTGAGCTTAATAAACAATCTTCCTATCATCTCAAAGAAGCAGGTTAAGTTATTTAAATTCTCCTACAATATGTAGTTGTCCAAACAACACTCCTGTCGCAGTCTTTCAAAAATGTTCTCTAAAATTCTCTTTATTTCTAAATTGCTGCTGGAAAATGGCATCTGTGGTTTGAATTTTCAAAAACTCTGAAGATCCATTTGACCTCTCTAATTATCTCCAAAGCAACCTTTTTACTAATACTAGTAAAGTTTTTGAATCTTTGATTAATGTACTTTTAATATGAGAGAGAGAAGAATATATATATATATAAATATATATATATATATATATATATATATATATACATATATATATATATATATATATATATATATATATATATATATATATATATATATATATATATATATATATATATATATATATATATATATATATATATATATATATATATATATATATATATATATATATATATATATATATATATATATATATATATATATATATATATATATATATATATATATATATATAGAAATATATGGCTGATGAGTGCCGAAAACGGCATGAAACTTTAAGTACCGTAAAAAAGTTGTTTTTTCTCATCTAACCTTTTATTTATATATATATATATATATATATATATATATATATATATATATATATATATATATATATATATATATATATATATACATATATATATATATGTATATATATATATATATATATATATATATATATATTCTGATTTATTTTTTTTAGTTTTGAGATGTTAATTTTTTGTTTATAACAACTAAAAATTCATAAACGGAGGGTATTAATAAGCTTAGGGTGGGTGGAAAAAACGTGTATTAAGCACCTAAGAGTACGGACTTTATCCCCAAAAAAGTAATCCATTTAGTGTGGCGAGGCATACATGGTGTTGCATATTGGGAGATGCTTCCTACCAATGCAGCTGTTAGTAGAGATCTGCTTAACTAGAAAAGCTTTAGCAAAAACGCTTAACCCAGAGCAACCCAAAAAAAAGTTTTTGTTTATGACAATGCTTGACCACTTGTTACAAAATCAACTCATCAAAAATTATTGGAGTTTAACTGGGAGATATTACCTCACCCACCGTATTCATGTGTATTAGCCTTGATTGATTATTACTTGTTTTGTTTGTTTAGCAACGATCTTACCTGGTAAAAGTATTTCATATTAAATTGTAAATAAGTTGTAGGACATGTGTAAATATCGCTATGAAATTGTTAAAACTCCGTTGGAATGTATACATAAAGCTTCATAATGATATCTCTTTTTTGCTTTTTTTATTGGAACTTTATCTTGAGAGGTTTTTTGTTAAATAAACCTATTCTGATAAACACAATTTTTGTCTATCAAGAGTTTTCACGTTACACCTGAATAAATGAGAGTATGAACAATAACATAGTCTGAAAATCCTGTTTGGTGCAGCAAATGTAGGTAATGATAGAAAAATGATTTTTTATTTGTTCTTTTTACCTTTTTTATGTTTATACTTGTGTCAAATAATGATGCGTTGCAAAAAATTGCAATGATTATGGCAACAAGCTGATAAAAAATTTTTTGTACTATTTTCAAATAGACTTATATTCATCAATAAATTTTAAGTTTCATAGTATTATCTCTTAGCGTTCAAAAATTATGACCATATAAAATTTGTAACCATATCAAATTGAGGGGGGTTTAAACTTTATATGGTCATAGTTTAAACGCTGAGAGAATACTATAAAACTTAAAATTTATCAATGAATATAAGTCTGGTTGAGAATAGTACAAAAACATTTTTAACAACAACAAAAACAGATCACTAATTTTTAAAGTTCATGACTTAATTCTAGTTTTTTAACATTGAACTTTAAATATTTTAATATTTAAAATTTAATATTAAACTATTAGGTTGACCGGAAAGTAATGTCGTTTTTGCGCATGTTGACATTCGATAATCGTTGGCCAGTTTATTGTGTATCTCGAACACGTGCACAGGTTATTTTTATATTAGTGTGACTTGTTTACTTCTAAATTATTTAAAATTAAATAGTTTTCTTTGCAAATTGGAGTGAAATGGCATACGAAATACAGGAAGTGCATATTCGTCATTGTATGCTTTTTGAATTTCGCAAGGGTAATAACGCTACAGTTGCGACTAAGAACATTAGTGATGTTTACCCAGGTTCATTAGATGTTCGCAAATGCCAAAGATGGTTTTCCAAGTTTAGATCTGGGAATTTTGATCTTTCTGACGCCCATCGACCAGGAAGACCAATGTCATTAGACAACGACGTTCTAAGGGCAGAAGTTGAAGCAAATCCATGCCAAACCATCGAAGAATTGTCGAACACCCTTAACCAACCTTGGTCGACCATCCAAGAACATTTACACCAGATAGGAAAAATCAGCAGAGCAGGTGTTTGGGTCCCCCATAACTTGTCAGTGCAAAACAAAGCCAACAGATCAACCACGTGCAATGCATTGATTCAACGGCACCATGCAGAACCGTTTCTTGATCGTTTGGTCACTGGAGATGAAAAATGGGTCCTATACAATAATCCAAAACGCAAAAGGCAGTGGCTCTCCCCAAATAAACCAGCACGCAGTTCTGCAAAGCCGGGATTACACCCCAAGAAGGCGCTCCTGTGTGTTTGGTGGAGCATCCGCGGAATCGTCCACTTTGAAGTGCTTATTCCTGGACAAACTGTTAATGCGGACCTTTATTGTCAACAATTGGATCGAGTGAACCAAGCTCTAGTTGAGAATTACCCGGCTATCGTCAACAGAAAAGGTGTCATTCTTCAACATGACAATGCAAGGCCGCACTGTGCACGACGGACGCTAGAAAAAATTAATGAATTGGGATGGGAGGTGCTGCCCCACCCTCCATATTCACCTGATATCGCCCCTTAAGATTTTCATTTGTTCCGATCCTTACAACACTTTCTAAGTGACAAAAAATTTCAAACTTTGTACTGCTTAAAAAATGGCATCTCCAGATATTTTGATGACAAACCAATACATTTTTTTCGATCTGGTATAGAAAATTTGCCCGCTAGATGGCAAAAGGTTGTGGAAAATGAGGGTGATTATATCATTGATTAAAAATAAATATTATAAAAAAATTATTTGTTTTAATTTGACGTAAAAATACGACATTACTTTCCGGTCAACCTAATACTTTACCATGACTGCTCAATAAGTTTAAAATCTGGTCAACAGAGAATTATCTGTCATGATTGTTTAACTTTTTTTTATGGTTTTGAAATCTCTGTCATAAGGGAGATATGAGTGGCTTTTAACTAGACAAAAATGCTCCATCTTTTGAAATATGTTCAGTTAGTAAGTCAACAGTAATCAAGACAGAGTTTTTTATCCCTAACATTTTTATTCTGTCCTCAACAATTGTCTGAGTACAAGTTCTTTGTACTTGTTAGCTACACAAATATTTTTCATCTTTCTCTTCATGAATGTTTCCAAAACAGTTTTTTCTCATGTAAGGACAAAAAGTTAATTAAATGCTAACATTGTACTGTTATTAGGCATATATCAATAATACTGGCATAAGTTATTGCACATTACATTAGACCTTATAAAAATAGTGGATGGACTATATGCCTAATTTTGTAGTGAGAAGGTGCAGTCTACTTAACAAATAAATTACTGGCCTTAGCATTAGATTAGGCCTAGTTCCCATTTTTTATATTCATTTTTTTCTTACATGAACCCATTCAAATAATTTATTTTTATAAGTCATTTTTAAAAGTATTTATTTATAACTTTTGTTAAAAGTATTTTTGATCAATTTTTTAGAGACTTTTTAATGGATTATGGTGTTTTATAATTTACTAACTTCATGTATTTTTTAATAGATTATGGTGTTTTATAATTTACTAACTTTATGTATTTTTAATAGATTATGGTGTTTTATAATTTACTAACTTTATGTATTTTTTAATAGATTATAGTGTTTTATAATTTACTAACTTTATGTGTTTTTTGCTATTTTCAGATTTAAAACTATTATTTATGAATTTTGTTTAGAAATCAAAAACTCATTGGTCAGTATTACAGCAAAATAGTTATGAAATCTTGCAAAACAACCATGGAAACCAAGATATTGATTCTAATGTTGAGGTTTAATATAGTTTTGCAATCAAATTTATTGATTATATTTGGTTACAATAAAAATATTTTATTTTAATTATAATTAAAAGATAAATTATATATATAAATATATATAATAATAATAATAATAATAAAATTTAATTAAATAGTTTTTATATTTCAGCAATCAGTTCGAGAATGTCTTGATAATATTTCCTTCAATATTGAAATTCTAAGAAATTATTCAAGCACGATCTCGTTTCCATCTAATTACCAGGTTGAAATTGAGAAAATGATTAATTTACTTTCATCTACTATTGTAAATAAAATTTCAAATACTCTGTAAATATTGTTTCGTTTCTGTTATTAAAAGTGTTTGAGAAAAAAAGTTTTTATTTCTCTTACTTGCAAGGTAATTAAAAGAGTAAGGATGACCATATTTAAAAAAGACAAAACCGAAACACTAAATTATGAATAATTAAACGAGGGAACTCCTTCAAAGACTGGCTATAATAGTTGGTCGTGTGAAAATACGGTTATCCTTGTCCAATCAATGTCTTGTCTGTAAAATAAAATTTAACGCAACATGTCTTGTTTCTTTCGATACTTTTAATTCCTTTTTCAAATATATCTGTTCGGCTTTAAATAAAAAAACAGGTAGGTTTCACATAAAGATCGTTAAAAAAAGCTAAAATGGTTTCGGAACTTTTTCCTCTGAAATAATGATTTTGAAGTATATGGTAGTATTCATTCTACTGCATGTTGCAATTAAAACCAACGCGTACTTAAAATGAGACAAAACGTGTTTCAGTCTGAAAAAAATTCAAGGTTTTTAATCCTGATTATATAAATAAATAATTCTAATATATTAACAACTTCTATCTACTGCATTTTGTATTGTATTGTGCATGATGCCGGGTAACAATTACCTTGCTTGTTTTTTGTTGAATCTTTAAAATTATACTAAATATTACATTTGAATTGTTTGGCCAGAAACCTACTCATTTAAATCTAAATAAAATTTTTTAAAGTAACAATACAAAGGTTGTATATATAAATAATAAAATATTGAATACAAAGGTTAGTTGTATATATAAATATTAAAATATTGACAAAAAGGAAAAACTTAGTTAAACCTTAATTACTACCATCTGTTGCAATTCTATGAAACTTATTATAATATATTATAAAATTTAACATCAAATGTGTTTTTCATAAAAATGTGGAGCAATAATTAAATTAAAGCTGTAGTTTTGGTTTGTGCAAAAATTAAGTTGCAAGTATTGAATCTGAATACATAACTTTTTATTAACTTCTTATTATATTTTGTGCACAAGAAAGTTTACGGTATCGAATCTCGGACATTTAAAGTAAGCCCTCTAACCACGATTGTTTGAGGCTGCTCGAGCTCGATCAAAAGTCATGTGTGCATGAAGTTTAGCATAATTTAAACGAGCTTGGCGGTGACGAGAAGCAAACAATGGCTTCTTGAGCTTCCTTCTGGATTGAAAACCATTTTTTTTGAGCTCTCATTGACTGTCCGCACTGAAGCATGAATCCCATAGCTGTTATTCATTAAATTAGTAACATCCTTTGCAGTTTTAGACTCACCAGAAGCAATTAAAACGATTGATTGTTTTAAAGCAATTAATTTATAATAAATTATAATATAATAAATATATATATATATATATATATATGAAATATAAATATAATAAATTTAAGCAATTAAAACGAGCGATTGTTCTTTGGTCTCTTGGTGTAAAAATTTTCTTTCGACCACTTTTAGGCTTATTTACTTCTAAATTATTGCGCAATTTGATTTTATATATGAGAATTTGAGACTTTCCGAACTCAGCAGTGCGATAAACACATTCACTTAAAATATTTCGGTATTTTTTGTTAATAATTTCAATAATTTCACAATAAGATTGTCCGGATTTAAGTTTTTCTACAATATTTTTTTCTAGTTTAAGATTTATTTTCCTCATAATGATAATAACAATACTTTTTTATGTTTTGTAAACAAAATCAAACTTTAAATAATATTTAATCCTTAAAATCTGTGAAAAGTTCAATCATTTCATAAGTCTATTAATTTATGTCGTATCCTTAATTAACTGTGGACAAATTGTTAATTGCTTTCATTCGCGACATAATTGTCACCATTAGCTTTTCACATAAAAATTTAAAAAAAAATTCAATATCTTCTTAATTTAACAAAAAGCAATATTTTTAGTTAACTAAGTTATAAATTTAATTAAAATAGTTAAAATTTCATTTTTCTTCACAGATTTTCTAATAAAATATGTATAAAATATTTTATTGCTCAAACATGGTGACAATTTTGGCACACACTATATGTATGTATCACACTATATGTATGTGTATATATATATATATATATATATATATATATATATATATATATATATATATATATATATATATATATATATATATATGTGTGTGTGTGTATATATATATATATATATATATATATATATATATATATATATATATATATATATATATATATGTGTGTGTGTGTGTATATATATATATATATATATATATATATATATATATATATATATATATATATATATGCACACATGCATATATGTGTATATATACACACATATATACAGTAGACCATATGATATTTTCTGGTGACAAGCGAATAGCATACGTCAGTCACTTAACATTAGACTGCAACAGACAAATTGCTAACGCTAGGTAAGTGATTTATATATTAACGTAGTTCAAAGGGCCATTATATGTGAACTAATCATATGCATTACAGAGGACAACTATGGGACGTGGAACTAAGTTAAGTACTGAAGAAGTCGCTATGATCAAGGCATTTAAGGCTGCCAATGTATCAACGTTTAAGGTATCGAGACATATACAGCGAAGTCGAAAGGTGATCAAGAGGATTTTGAAGGCTCCTAATACATATTTGAAAAACGTATGGCGTATGCGAACAAACATTTGTCTTGTCCACCTGATTGGGGCTTAATTATTTGGTCTGATAAGAAGGAATTTAATCTAAACAAACAGCTGAAGACTATATTATTATAGTCTCTAATTACTTAATGCCATATGGGCATGCCAACTATAGACATACGTTTGTCTTTATGCAAGATAACGCATCGATACATACGGCAAAGACCGTGATGGAGTTTGTAATGGAACATGACATCCAATTGTTTGATCATCCAGCACTGTCATCCAACTTGAATCCAATTGAAAACATTTGGGGTTACTTGTTTCTTGACGTGTATGCAAATGGAAAACAATACAGTAACGTCACGGAACTGAAAATGGCCATCTAAATGGAATGAAACAAAGCCCCACCAATCTTTACTTCAAACGCTCATTTCCTCCAAGCCTAAGCGTTGCATTCAGATTATTATGAAGAAAGGTAAGAAGATTGACTATTATGAAGAAAGGTAAGAAGACTATTAGGTTTCTACGTCTTAGTAATCTCTAAAACATGCTGAAATGGTGTGTGTGCTATTGGTTTGGCACATGATGTATTTTTCATTTTATTCATTTTTTGTTTTTTACTCGACATTACTTACTTTTTACTTTTTAACAGTAAAACAAACCAAAAAAAAAAAAAAATAGAATGTATTATTTCCTAATGTTAAAAAAAATCCGTACGCGTTACAAACTCATCGTTCTTGGTGAATAGTTATTTTTGCAGATCGCGTGAAATGAATTATTTCTTTATAACGTAAGCTATTACGGTACTAGTCTGATTTTTACAGAGTATCTTTACGATCCGCACGTTAGGAGTATTTATGCAATAAAATTTAATATAAAGATAATGTGACAAAACGTTGCCACCATTCAATAACCACTATTACTTTAAAGCGAAGGACGTTATTCAGAATTTATATGCTAATCAGAAATAGAAGTTTATTGGCTCCCTTTCGCGGAGATTTTCATTGAACATAAGACGCTATATTAGGGGAGAACCTTAATTAATAGGACAGTTTTCGTAAAATGCATTTTTTGAGGTTGATAAATTTGTTTAAAAATCACTTTGAAAATAGTTTGATAACTGTTAACTCTCGTACTATGATAAACAAAAACAAAAAAATTGATTCCACATATGGGTATTGGTAAAAAGAGAGTTTAATAAGACCATGACATTTGTCCCATTCATTAAGAACTACTCATTGAATGGGACAAATAAAATTATTGAATGGGACAAATCTAAAAAATTAATAAAAGAAGAGAGGTCCTAAGTAACTTTCAAGCCAGTCAAGCAGTAAGGGTAGTTTCTACCATTAGGGAACCCAAAAAAGCTATAAATATGGCCGAATGTCTGCATATATTGACAAACCTAAAATAGTTTTATTAAAAAATATATGTATATTAAAATTAAATTAAAAACACGAATAATTGTTTTTAGTAAAACAAAAAAATTTATTAAAAATAAAATTATGTGTGACCATAACTAAGTTGCCGAAATATATTTTTCTACTTTTTTCATATCAGGCTGTTTGGACAAGTCCCATTCAATAATCAATATTTTGTCCCATTCAATAGGCTTCCCACTATATCCACAAATGACAGGACAGGTTAAAAACAGTAATACCTAAACAAAAATACTTTACAAATTTAAAAAGTAGAGACATTTGGGTGTTAAAAATTGGATTTTCATTTTCCTTAACTTTAGTAATCGCTGCAAAATCAAACACAGATAATTGTTTTTAAAAATTACTTATTGTTCTTCAAAACACAATAACATCCAATGCCATTATGTTTAGACCATAATAGAAATAAAGATTTGGTCTGTTGAATGGTTGTGTCAAACACTTATTACCACAGGAGTTTGGATTGCCAACCGTAGATGCTTCTATGCAAATTTAATTTTGTCCCATTCAATAATTGTCCCATTCATTAAGGTTCTCCCCTACTCTAAAATCTCTGCGCACGAAAACCAACATTCTTCTACTAACTGCTTTTGCTGAACTTAGCGTGACGTCCTTTTTGGATGACCCCTAAGATATTAACCAATCTTTAGCTAAAACACAAATTGCCCTTCTCCCAAGCATTGTAACATCATTAGGTTACGACATCAAAAAATTCACTATCAAAGATCTCATCTTGTTTTTCAAGAGTTTAGATCTCTCTAAAAGAGATTTACTTACCGAAGTTGTATAAATTGCCAAGCTAGTTCTTGTCATGCCAGCTACTAATGCTACTAAAAGAACTTTCTCCGCTTTAAAAACATATCTTCAATCGACAACAACGGATTCCCGCATAAACAATTTGGTCGTTCTTCATACTCACGTAAAAGCAATGGACAAAATTGATATGGTTGAGATCGCAAATGAGTTAAATAATAAATGTCAAACACGAATAAACATTTTCGGAAATTTCAGCTTGCATTTTTGTAGAGATGAACGATGTTTGATGCAAGTATTACATTTTTTATTTGTTTCATAGATGTGGAGTTTGATAATCATTAAATAAACATTATATATGAAAATAACAAGTTTTCGTTGCCTCCTCCCTCCTTTAAAAGAACCACAGGTCCCCCATTCTTACGTAAAGAGCGTTTAAAAGACGTTTAAAAAACATTTAAAAGACATTTAGAACGTAACTTTCAAAGACAAATTCCCGAAGATTAATGTTGAGAAAAATTTTTAAGAAAAAATTGCCCTGAGTTTTATTCATTTTACACCTCAACTTCGAAATTACTATGTCGTCATTTACGAAAAATATTCTTAATATGCGTTAATAATTTTTAGCTTTATAACGTTAGAAATTTGACTTTAAAATTTTTTGAATGTGTTAAAAAATACTGAATTAAATATAAACTTGAAGTTTTTTCCATTTTAATTATTTTGAATTTTTCTATTTTAAGGTTTTTATGAAAAAAACTTGAAAGTTTGTTCATAAAAAAGTTATAAGGGTGAAAGTTCGAGATTTTAAACGCTGAAGATTTTGAAATTTCGAGTCCAACAATTTTTACGTAGTTTATTTTCGTGACGTGATCTAGCGGATTTAATTGAAAACTAAATAAATATTGAATATTACTTAATAAATATTCAATATTTTTCTTTATTCGATTAAGAGCTAAAAAATTATAGCTTTCTTAAAAATATTAAAAATAAAAAAAAGGTAATTAAAAACTTTTAAGGTGGACTAATATTTAAGTTTTGAGCAACATGCGAAAGAAAAAAAAAAATGAATAACCGCAAAAAAAAAAAAAAAAAAAAAAAACTGATGCTAACTTTTTTATAGATTGTTTTATCTTTTACGCTAACGGGAATAATTATATTCCTGTGGTTAAAGAAAATTCAATTGAACTATCCTTTACATTCAACGTTAACGTTAAAAATTTATTCATTTATGAATCTTAATCTAAATTTAATTTGTTTCAAAGGAAATTTCATGTATTGCATTAGAACATGTTTCTTTTATAATATTTGGAAATTATTTAACAAAAAGACATGTAGTTGTGCGAAATTCGATACATGTGTGAATGTGTAAGATTTGTATCGTGTACCTATCGTGGTTATAAAGTTATAAAAATCAGTTAATAATGTTTTGATATTGGTAACAAGACAGGCAAATAAAGCAAGTTTATAATCATTGCATGAATTAACTAAGACTAAAATAACAATGTTTTTATCAATTAAAATATTCTTGTGGATTTTGATTGTATGTTGCCTATTTAATGGTTAGCTTGATATAATTTTTTATTTTAGAATCTTAAGTTTTACTTAATGATATAAGATTTAAAAGTTTAAATTTTAGAATCTTAAGTTTTACTTAAAGATATAAGATTTAAAAGTTTAAATTTTGAGAGCTCTAAAGTTTTCATAATTCTTCCTTAAAAATTGTTTGTGGCAGTTCAACTTCCGTCTTTTAAACAAAATCGATTTTTAGTGCTATAAAATTTATGTTAAAATTTGTGTGCTGTTTTATTTACATAAAAAGTAGTTTATAAATACTTTTTTTGCTGAAATTAAAAAAAGTTTTTCCTTTTTGGGTAAATTTTTTGATAAACGGCATTAAAATTTATATTTATGATGGATCCTCCACATATTGCACTCCTTTAGTTCTAGTTAGGTTTTAATTACTTGCTCTCTATTTTTTTACATGTGAAAAATCAGGAATTTTATTATCTTTTTTTATCCATTAGTATTGATATCGTTATCAGCTTTTTATTATCTATCAACATCTGTATTGATACTGGCCACAATACATCATCATTGGTACATCACTAATAACGATAGTAGTTATAAAAATTTTATTTGTTGTTTGTGTTTCTTTTTTAATCCTAAAATTGTTTTATAAACTTTTCTTTTTTTTTCTTGACTTTTCTTGAACATTATTGTTTTAGATGAGATTTTTGCTTTTATGATTATAATGATTAGTGTAAGTTTGCTAAATGTTACCCATTGTTGTTATTCATTTTGTTACACTTTATTCAGCTGGTCAATGATCTTTTTATGAGCTTTGTTCTTTTTGAGAACTTTGTCAATGCATAGTCAGGTCCAGAACTTTGGTTTGCTTTAATGTATTCAAGGCATCATATATATGAAATTAATGAGACCATAATTATCTTTTCCATATCTAAAGATGATCTTGGATGAGTACAACAAGGTTTTTCCTCCTTTATATTTTTGTTATTTAAAAGTAAGAAATTATGGACATTTTGAACATTTTAACTTTAACCATATTTTTATTTTTGTTGCTTTTTTTTTACTTGTTTATATCTTTTATGTGTTTTTTCAAGAGCTTATAATTAGGGTTAGTTATTAGTACTTATTTTAGGTATTAGCATGAGAAACTTAGTTCTTTTATCTTTTATAATTCTTTTTTTTTTTTTTTTTTATTTGTCTATTTCAAGCTTCAAATTTAACTTAATTTTTGCTTTGTCTTGTTCTTGTTCATGAGTCTCATGTCCAGTGGCATCGGTGAGGTTGGTGTCCCTGAGCAGTAAATTTTAAATGTCACCCCTAAAGGCTAACAGGTGAAGGGTAAAAAAAAAGTCCTCTATATCTAGAAATTTCTAAAAAAAAAAATTTCTGGCATATTTGCTTCTTATTAATTTTGGTGGCACCCCCTAGCCACTACTTGTGTCTTTGAGGTTATCTAGCTTAGAGGTAGTAAGATCACACACTAAAAAATTCTATATCAATCAGAATAATTATTGTGCACTAGAAGAATCAAAATGATATAATAATATATTTTGGTGGCACCTCCCCCCCCCCCCCCCTTCACCCTATGCCACTTCTTGTGTCTTTGAGGTGATCTAGCTTGGAGGTAGTAAGATCACACTCTAAAAAATTCTATAAAAATCAGAATAATTATTGTGCACTAAAAGAATAAAAATGAAAATAATAAATGTCAGAGAATTTATTTAAAAAAATATTTAATGCAACCTGTACTAACAATGTATTGAGGAATATACCAAAAAAAATTATGAATTATAATGTTGTATTGTTTTATATAGGAACATATACTTTTTTTCTTTTAGTGATACTTGGTGTTTTTAATGTATCAGTGGAAAATGCAGAAATATATTCTAGTATTTATGAAGACATTAATTTTGTTTATTCTATTAACTATGAACAAGTTAGTCCAAAAGCCATTGAAATTGATACTCGTCCTGTTTCTAATACAAACCTTATTAGTTTTTTACTCTCAGTTGATATGACAAACGATTTACCATTAGTAACAACATACACCAAAAAGAATTCAGATGTGTTACATTATAATGGAAGAATTAATGTTGATTTACAACAAAATCTAAATAGCTTAATAGTTATATTTACTTTAAAAAATGTATCAGAAAGTGATTATGATAAAGAATACAGATGCACTGCAGTTTATTCAAGTTTTGAACAACCTTATGCCAACATTGTTTTACTTAAAGCAGGTTATATTAAGTTATTTTTTGAGATATTTTTTCAATATTTATTCTTTTATGATTTTTTACGTTAGTACCCATTCGAAAAAATTATACTTTATAAAAGTTAGAAAAGTAAATATTATTTAAATAGGTGAATAAAAATTATTTAGTCAGTGATTATCTCTTTCTGGATAAATCTGGAGTTCCAGATATTTATTTAAGTCAATTTGGAAATCCAAAAAGTTTTCCAAAAATACAAGTTGTAAAATTTATTTATTCAATAAAGTCATCAAACGACTGAAACCATAAAGCAGTGAGAAAATGACAAATTTTTTATTTCAATCTTTTTAAATACTAGTCATAGTTTCAAGTTAGTAATAAAAAAATACAGTTTCAAGTTAGTAATAAAATTTTTTTTTTTAAAGCAAATAAAAAGTTTTAAAAGTTTTTGTCAAGTAAAAAATAGTTTAAAGTTATATTTAATTATAATTGATTAAAAATATATAATTAACTACTAAAACTTCATCAATTCATTAATATGACCATTTTATCTATTAAAATTAAATAAACCATTTTTATTTTTATTTTTACTTAAAAACTACAACAACAACAAAAAAAAATCACAATTTCAATTCTTAAGTTTTAAATTTATTTTTTAAACTTTCAAAGAACTAAATTCACTTTAATTTAGTTCTTTGAAAGATATATTTATATTTTAAACTTTTAAGCAACCTAAACTAAACCTTTTAAACTAAACTAAATTTTTAAACAAAACTAGTTATTCCTATTTATAAACTATTGATTTTTTTATTTTCCCACAAGATAAAATATCGGTTAAAGCATTTTTTGCAATTTTTGTTTGTTTTTGTAACACCTATAGCAATGGTGTTTTCAAGGTAAAAACAACTAAGAATATTGTTTCCATTTTTTCCATTTACTTTTACAAAGGTAAAATTTAACTACTTTACGGTTTTTGTAAAAACTAACCATAATAGGGTGTTAATGCTGTTTGCTATTTGTGCTAGGGTATTAGTACTGTTTGTCATTCCATAAGTTTTAGTTGAGTGGTAGTGGTTTATTAAAAAATTTTTACTATATAATTTATCTTATAGCTCTATCCATACAGTTTGGTGATTTTTATTCATGATATGTGTGTCTTGTATTAAATTTATGAACTTATATTTTTAGAATTTTTTCTAAGAATTTTTCACTGTAAAAAAGTATTAGTTTGTTTTGACAACTTGACCACAGTTATTTGCATGTTTTGAGATTTTGACCATTTCTTAAAATTTTTAAATTTAAAATCTTTTTCACAAATTTAAAGTCCTTTTCACAATCACTTTGTAAAACCTTTCTAAAATTTAAAGTAAATGAGTTCTCAAAGATTGTTTTAAAGCAAATATTATTTTTTTGCTTTTAAATTTAAATTTTGTAACTGAAACAATAGCATATTAAACGGTAATTACCATATTATCTAACATGATTCGACTGTTATATTTAATAACCATATGGCTTAAAAGCCTAAAAGTTTTTTATTACATCCTGTCATTTTATGGGTAAAGAACCATTCAAAACTCTAGAAGTTGATGGGCTAGTGTCAGCATTTTTTCTGTTAGTTTTATCATTAAATTTGACATTAGCATAAGTCATAGGTTCATTTCAATCATAGATAGATAATTTTAGCACAGCAGTGTTAGAAAAAGGAACTAATTTGTAGTTAAACACCTTTGCTGTTAAATAATAGTCCTTGAAGTCTTATGGATTTATTTGAATAACATTAATAATGATAATGATTTTTCAACTTGTTTTAAGGTCCTTATCAATCCAAGTGGTCTATAAAAATCAGCTATTCTTGTGAGCTTTTCAATTTAATTATGCGCATGATCCACTTTCTGGGCACAAATGACTAGGAAGGAAGTAATTTAATTTTAAGTTAATGCTAGGAATCTCCCTTTAAAAATATACTGTTCCGATTTTGAGGGACACAGCAGTCAGACCAAGTAACTAATTTGATTATGTTGCTTTTCCTATGCCATAATATCCAATATCTTGCAAAAGGCACTAGAAAAATGCTTGCCAATATTGTCCACCATTGATTCAGTCCATAATGCTCAGTATTGTTGTTTAGCTGCAGTATAATATGTTGCCAAGTTAATCACACTTTGCTTTCTCTCATAAAAAATAGTTTTATTTCCAACATTACCATCTTAATTTACAGTACTATATAAAAGGCTTTTTAAATTATTTAAAAAATCTTTTTTATTTATAATACAGCCTACTTTTTAACATTGCTAATAAACATTTTATTACAAATCGTTCAATTTTTCTAATATTGCTAATGTATATGATGTACTAAATTAAAATTATAATATTTTGTTCATCAACTATATTAAAAATTATATATTCATTAACTGACAGTTAGAGAGGGTAGTAAACATGCATGACTTTAGTCATTATTAGCAATGGGCAAGTTTAGTTTATTTTGTTTGTCATGATACAAATACTCCAATAAAGTCATAATCTCAATTTTGGAAATAATATCAGTTGGAACCTTTCAAACCAACGCAACAAGTTGTTTAGTTTTCTTCAAGAGATCTTTAGTTTAATTAATGTTCATTATGGTGACTATGTCTTATAAAAATAAAATCAATAAAAATAAAATAAGAAACTTTGTTAAAAAATGTGAAAAATGAAAAACTATATTTTTATATTATTATCAAAAATGTGAGCAAAATTATGTAAAAATATGGTGGAACTGTTTCTGGGATATTAGTTTATGTAAAATCATAGTGGAATAGTCTCTGTGATATTTGTTTATGTAAAAACATGGTGGAATAGTCTCTGTGATATTAGTTTATGTAAAAACATGGTGGAGCAGTTTCTGTGATGTAAGTTAGTGCTAAAATATGGTAGAACAGTCTTTGCGATATTAGTTTTTTTAATGAAAAACATGTATAATGAAGATATATGCCTCCATGATATCATGTTTTTATAAAAATTTGTTTCCAACAAATAATTAAATGGGTTTGAAAATTTTAAAATACTTAAAACCATTAACAGTTTGAAAATTAAACAAGATCCAGAGGGGTAACTACTGATAAGGAGTCTACTCATTTCCTTTTTTTTTCTTTTTTATTTAAAACTCTTTCAACCCTAAACTCTTGTTAAACAAAGCCCCTGCACATAGAAACTCATTGAGGGCAGTACTTCCGTAGGCACATGATGGATTAGAGCTTTGAACCATTGAACTGAACTTAATGTTTAGTAGCCTTCTACTGCATCAAACGTTTAAAAAATATTTAAGAAAAATTTGAATCTCTTTTTTATTGGAAGTAACTTCCAATAAAATGTTACAACACTTTTTATTGGAAGTTAAAATTGAGCATTGCAGCACTCCAGACTTATTTAAGCATCAATTAAGAGGGGCTCCAGAAATAACAGTAATATGCTCAGTGAAAACATTCACCACACCAGCTGGCAAAAAGATATTTAAAAAAAGAAACCCTTTCTTATAAAATAAAGTGTTTGTAAGTGAAAGTGTGATAAACATTAAAAAAAAAAAAAGAAACAAGAATTGTTTGTTTCTAATTGAAAAATTTGGTTATGCTATAATAAAATTTTTACTTTTTTAATCATTATACAGTGTTATTCAATTTTAATTTTTATTAGTGTCTTCTAATTATGTTGATATTTTTGTTGCTTTGACTTTTTTTATATTTATTCCTAATTATATTTCTCATTCTTGAAAAGATATCCAATGCCATTTATTCTTTTGAGTTATTTAGATTTAAATGGATATTTGCTGTTTTGATTATTTGTTGGTAGAACCTATCAGCAAATTGGAAAACGCTAGAAGAAAATTTTTAAAATTATACTAATATAGGCTAAAGGGAGACATAATGGTGATCTTTGATGAATTGGAATTTGTTTCATATAAAAGATGGTTGCTTCAATTTCTTCTTGATTTGGGATTTTGGTATAGAGTGATGTGACATCTGTTACAAAAAAGTAGTTAGAAGAGATAAATTGGTGGGATTGAAGCATATGGGGGAAATGAATAGTATCTTTGATATATAAGAGAAGAGATTCTGCCACAGGTTGTAGTGTGATAAATTTAGATAAATGATCCATTGGGCCATTTAATGCTGAAACAATAGTTTGTAACAATATACTCCTTGTGTGAGTTTTCGGTAATCCGTATAAAGTTGGCCAGTGACAGGGTGTATCAGGTCATAAAAAAATTGTCATTGCTTCATCGATTATGTAGGGGACAACCATGTAGTCTATAAGAATATTTACATCATTTAGTATTTTCTAACCATTGGATTATGCTCAGTTTCTATATTTATTTGTTATCTTCAGCTGTGTTTAAAAATGGTATGAGATTGTTGAAAGTATTTTATTATTTATTTTCATTTTTAATCAAATAATTGATTCTCATGGCATTTTTCAGATTTTCTTTTTAGAGGGAAGTTTTATTGCTAGAGGTTTTATTTTTCATTGAAAAATCAAAGAAAATTAAGAAATTCTATAACTAAAAAATAATGGTTGTAACCCTGGGCTATAAATTTTTTTGTTAAAATTTTTTTTAACTCTTTTTTTCTTTTTAGTTCCTCCAAAAGTCTATGAAACAACTTTCTTTACATCAGCTACTATTTACCTGTCAATTGGTTTAAGTTATGAGTTTATTTGTCGTGCTAACGGAAAACCTATACCTTCAGTTTTATGGCTTTTAAATGAAACAGTTATTTCCTTTGGATCTGGTTCAGCAGTTTTAAAGTTCAACAATATTCAGAGTAATCAGAATGGAAATTATGTTTGTCGAGCGCTGAACATTGGCGGAGTTGAACAGAAAAATGTATCATTCTTAGTTACTTGTAAGAAAATTTAAAATTGTATTAGCAGATCTCTAGTGTAATAAAAATATAAAAACATAAACTATATTATTTTTATATAAATTATGATCTTGTATAATATTATATAACTAAGTAAAATATTGTTATCATATTATATTATAATATAAATATATGGTTATTTTTAAAAAGATCTGATCACCAAGTATAGCAAAATATCTGTTGGTCAAATATTCCATTATAAAGTATAAATAAAAAATAAAAAAAATTATTTATTTGTGTTAATAAGTTTTAGGTAATAATAACATAAAATAGATCACTGATTGGAGATATTCCATTGTGTTAATAAGCAAGAATACCTAACCATCCTTGATCTTTTGCATAATAAATAGAAAATGGAAATATTGTTTCCCATTTTGCTGAGATTAGTGACACATCATGTCCATACGTCCATCTAATAACAAATTGTTGATATTAAGGATAATGCTTTTGGTGGGTTCACTTCTGATAACAATTTTGCTTTCGTTTGTTCTTATTATAGAAATCAACTGCTGATTTACCTCTCTATGAATTTGCGGTTTGTTATACAAATGCTTTGAAAATTAACTTTTGAACAGATTTTTCATTGTTTTTTTTTTCTCGCAAAAATGTGTAAGAGAATTTTTGTTGTGGCAGTCTTTTGGAGATATTGCATAAGTATGTAAAAGTATATAACTATTATATTAACTTTTAAAGTATAGCATAACAAGGTCATCAATTTTAAGTTAATGACTTTTTTTCAATTTGTTGTTCACTTACTTTTCAGCACGATTATTATAATTATATTAATAAATTTCAAAAAACTTAATAACATAATAAGTTTTAAGACTATAAAGTTTTTTTCAATGTAACTTATAGCTATGATAATTGTATGTCGAAAAGAATCATGCATCAAACATGTTTTAAAACAAGTTATTGTTTTTATTTCAGAAAATAAAAAAATTTAAAATGCTTTAACGTTTTATATTTTAATCACTGTGTTTATTTTAAATTTTAATCTAATTGTATTCTATGTGAATTCCAATCAAACATTTTAATTGACTTATAAAGTACATTTAACAATATTAAATAAATTTAACATATTAACAATAAACAATTTTAGATTTAGGTGATGTAATAATACAAAATAATAAAGAATCGTTTTATTTTAACTTGTTTTATGATAAACTTGCTGTTAAAATTATTTTAAGATAAGTTAAAAGTGAATTTGAGCGCCTAAACCAGTATGCTGGTGTAAAAATCAACCTGTATACATCACTATACTCACAGAACAGTTTTATCCAAGAATTTAGTAAGTTAAACAACTTTAAAGATCATTTTAAAATAATAATATTAATCTTTGGTCTTCATTAGATGAAAAAAGTGTTAACTATGTTTTAGATGGACAAAATGTGATCATTTTCACCGTGCATTTGATATTAGATGTCTTTCACTTGAAAGAGAACAAAAGATTTTGGAAAGAAAAGTTTGAAATCAATCATTTAAATGCTAAGCTCAGAAGGATGATAGAACTTACATAATTCTTGTATTATGTTCACTATGAAATGTTATTAATAAACTTCTAGATGTAATCATTACAAATTTCCTGTCTAGTATATGCCACATTTAATGGAGTATATACTAGACATGAATTCTGACAAATCAAGTAATGAAAGAAATTGTACAAAACATGCTACTTTGAAAAATAAAATAATAAAAACAGCTCCTTGCTTTGATGGAGAATATATGCAACTAAGAGAAAGAAAAAGCAGAAAAATTATTTTAGAAAACAAAAAATGAAGGTGAAACAAAAGAATACGTCTTAGGAAAAAAACAAGAATATTATTTAAAAAAAGGACATACGCATCTAATATTTTAAATAAAAACACTTTAAGTAAAAATCTTTTCTCAATGGTAAATAAGCTAATAGACAGAATACCTCAAGAATTTGCACTACCATTAGCTGAATCAGACCAAGATCTAGCTAATGACTTAAATAATTATTTTACTAAAAAAATCAGCAAAATGATTAATTGAATAAAAATTATATCTAATCTTCAAATACCCCAAACATAGAAAAATAAATCAGATCATAATGGTTAGTTTTTAAGAAATTATAATCCAGTGACATATGAAGAAATTTACAAAATTATCATGTCATTTGGAGTAAAATATTATCCAGATGATCTAATCCAGCATATCTATGAAGAAAAAACTTATATACATTTATACATATATGAGTTGATATAGTAAACACTATAATCAAACAGTACGGGCTGTCTAAAAAATATTGTTACTTCCAATAATATAGAATAAGCTTTGCCACAGATACTAAAAACTTTGAAAATTATAGACCAGTTTCTAATTGAGTATTTATTAGCAAGCTTTTTTTCAACGTTTTCACTTTTAACAAGACTGCAAGCAACCACTATAGTTGGAAGTTACTGAAAGAGAAAAGACGAAGTTTATAGAGCAAGATAACGATTGACAGGCGACTTAAAATTGCAAATTATATGAATCAGGAAAGCAAGATGAAGGAAGCGAATTTCAAAAAATTGATATTCGAGGAAAAAAACTAGACAAATAAGAGTTTTTGGAGCATTTAAGAATAGTCACAGAAAAAGATTAAATGACAAGTAACACATTGTGATATTAATTGGCTGCAATAAAAATAAAATATTTTTAAATGCAATAAAAATAAAATATTTTTAAATAAAATTATTGGATGGAGGTTGGCCAAAATAGCAGATCCAACTATGTTTACAGTGCGTTTTTGCACCTTGTCTAAAAGAGAAAGGGCATCATTAGAAGATCCGCCCCAGATATGGCAACAGTATTCCATACAAGGACGAATTTGAGGTTTATAAAGATAAAGAATAGAATCCGGAGTGAGAAAGTGGTAAGCACAATAAAGAGATGCAACCTTATCAAATGCTAATTTTGCAATGGATTTGATATACGGTTTCCAAGGAAGATTGGAAGAATCAATTCTAGAAGATGAATGGTAGATCACTCGTCGAGTACATCATCATTCATAAATATAGGAAGATCTAAATTATTGCTGTAATGATTGCCTGAAAAAAATTGTTTTATCTGAATTAAAGTTCATCAGCCACTGTAAGCCCCATGCTGTAGCAGAAGTGAGATCCTTTTCAAGCTCAAATGCCCCCTCCAAACGATCAGAGAGTGTTGGCTTCTTATCAAGACATGAATAAATGGTAGTATTATCATCAAACAATGCCACCTTAGATGTGAGCAGGGTTGCATGGTTTTAACCAAATGGTTTAAACCATGGTTTAAACCAATTAAAAAAATGTTAGTTTAAACCAAACTAATGTTTTTTTAAAAAAATTTGAACTTACAACAGGAAACTAAGACAGGATTATGTTCACAAATATAACTAATCTTCAATATAGATATATATTATCAATATGCTTCATCCATGATACACTCTACCTAATAGAACAGAAATTAGGGGAGAAATATTAAATAGGGTTTACACAGAAGAAATTGAAAAATGTAATGTATTGAATCGGTAAATTGTAGCCATGTCTTTAGATGGCTGGAGTAATATACATAATGATCCTATAGTTTGTATCTCTGTAATTACAGATAAAATTAATATTTTAGTAGAAACAATCAATACTTCTGGTCATTTGCATCCTGGTGAATATCTTACACAATTAGCAAGAGAAGCAATAGATTTTGTAAGACGTAAATTTGGATGCACAGTAAAAAGATTTGTGACTGACAATGCAGCTAATGTGAAATCAATGAGACAACTATTGTTATCTGAAAGGGATATTATCATGACTTATGGGTGTGCTCATCATATGCTGAATTTTTTAGCAAATGATCTTAACATTGAAAATGTGAGCAAACATGTTACACTAATAAAATATATAAGAAATAATCATCAAGCTGGAGCACTTTATAAATTAAGCGGAGAAACAAAATTGCCACTTCCTACTGAAACTCGCTAGAATTCTGTATGTGATTCACTTGAAAAATATGTCAACAAAAGGACCATTATTTTTACAATGTTTGAAAAAAATTAAGACTTGGATCCCGTGATTGGTAAAAAAGTAAGTGATATACAGATAAAGCAAAACACATAAGATTTATTGAAAATATTGAAACCAATTGCAGTAGCTCTAGATAAGTTGCAAAGAGATTAAACAAAAATAAGTGACTCTTGAAGTTTTTAAAGATTTGATGAACAGTTTATCAATTTTATCCAACGGAAAAAAAAAAAAAATTTGAATATAGATACCTTCAGACTGTCAGTGATGCTCATTTTCTGGCAAACACACTAGATCCTAGATCATTTTCAGAAATATTGGATCTAATATTTCTGAAAATGAAAATGAAGCTGCCATGAATTTCGCTGATAAAGAGTTCAAGAATTTGTTACCAATATTATTTAAATTAAATGCCAAATCTACTATAACATAATGGATATTGAAGGTTTATTAAATGCACCAGTAGAAAAAGCAGCAAAGCTTGTATTTATATATAGAACATTAAACAATGATGTATTAAATAATTTTGATGAAATATAACAATAATATTGATAAAGAATATAGTTTACTCAAATGAAATACATTATGCTTTTTTTAATTTAAAAGGATAACTAAATACCGCATTTTTTAGTAAAAACCTAATTTAAACCAAAAAAACCGTTTTTTTGTTTTTTTGTTTTTTTAAAAAAACCTATGGTTTTTGGGTTTTTTCAAAAAAACCGTTTTTTTTGAAACCCTGGATGTGAGAATATCTAGAAGATTGTTAATGTAAATTAAAAAGAGTATAGGGCCAAGGATAGAACCTTGAGGAACCCCTGAAGATACAGGATATGAAGCAGAGTGCTGTCCATCGAGGACAACTTTTATACTATGATTGGTTAGGAAGGATTCAATAATCTTAAAAATGTTACCTGATTCTTACAATGTAAGAAGAAAGCTTATGGAGAAGACCAGCATGCCAAACTTTATCAAACGCTTTAGAAATGTCAGGAGGGATAGCCTTAACCTCTCCACCTCTATCTAATGTATGATAAAACCTATCGGGTATTACTGTTAATAAATTGGCTGTAAAACAAGAAGTTTGAAATCGAGATTATCAAAAAGTTATTAGATTCAAGATGAGAGATTAAGTGTTTGTTAATTAAAGATTCAAAAACCTTGCTTATGAGAGGAAGAAGACTAATGGGACGGTAGTTAGACAAGTCAGATGGCTCTCTAGACTTTTTGAAAATAGGGATTACAGATAATAGAAAGAGTAAGCTAGTAAAAAAAGTAAGACTATAATAGAAAGACTATGCTAATAGAAAGACTAATAAAAGACTAATAGAAAGAGTAGTTTCAAATAATCTTTATATCCACATGAAAAATAAACAATCTTTATATAGAATATCTTGTATATGGATACAAAATAATATATTGTATATTGATAAAAAAAACGTCTTTTAACAGAAACACTTTTACTTAAACTCATCAATGATTCGAATTTTTTGATAAAGTAAAATAGGTATAATGGATTCAGCTCAGAGTTGGTTTAAATTATTTTTAGTTAACCATACCTAATAAGTTAAAATTTGTAACTTATATTCTAACTAAAATGTAAAGTATGGAGCTTTGCAAGGTACAGTCTTAGGTCTAAAACTCTTTAACATTTATATGAGACCATTATACAAATATCTGAACATAATCAATGTTAAAACTTTTGGATATTCAGATGCCCTTATTCCAATAAAAACTCAAATTTTGAGTGACATACCATTAAGCATTGTTCCATCTTTTCACTGCAACTGTTCCTTCATGCATAAAACACTCATATTTATCTAGTTTTTTTTCATTGCATAGTGCTTTTGATTACTCTTCGCGTTTTCCTGACGTGTTGACTCATACAACTTACAGTTTTTTAAGTTGTTTTCTGTTCTCAACTTGAACTTTTGCTTTCAGCCTTTTTTTTAATTACAAATTTGTTTAAAAAATATATATATCTCAATATAAAGAATTTATAATAAAATTTATAATAATATATAAATATATCAATCTCATAGGCGTTATTGTGTGAGAAGGATGACCCTTTCATAAGGATGACCCTTTCTTAAAGATGACCCTTTAAAATGTCAGTTCTGAGTTGTGATTATTTTTTTAACATCAGAATGTGTAAGTTTATGCTTTTTATAAATTTGAGTTGAACAAAGAATTTTTGATAGGTTAGAGAGAATTTAGAAACTATGACAAAAAGTTTTAAACTATATAGACAAAAATTTGTTTATAAATTATATAGCCATCAACTATAACTTGTTATAACATCTTGTTTCCCAGATTCATATAATTTGCAAACTTTTAAGTTAAGCTCTCTAAATTTCATCTTTTCTCTTTCATTAACTTCCAACTCTAATAGTGGTTGCTTGCAGCCTTGTTGGAAGTGGATATGAAGAGAAAAAAAACTCCTTGTCATCTTCCCAAGTTTTAAATTTCATTTTTATAATAAAAGTTTTTTTATTTGACAATTTTTATTTTACAATAAAAATTGTCAAAAAAAGATGGTCCACCTCATTCTTTTAGAAAGATAGTCCACCTCATTCCTTTAGATATTCAGATTTAGCAATTTATAAATAATCTAAGGAGTTTGATTGATCTAAAGTTATACTTAAATTATAAGCTATTTATTATAAATAACCAAAATTTAAAATAGATATACAATATATAGAATAAATTTATTATATGGTATATAAATATACAATGTATAGTATAATCATAAAATTAAATAATAACTGGGTCACTCTTTTAAAAGATTGGCTAATTTGCAAAAAACATTTTTATTGTAACTTTTAATTGTTATATATTTGAAAATTAGTTATACATTTATTATAAATAACTAAATCTAAAAATAAATATACAATATATAGTATATAAATATACAATATTTAGTATATAAATATATAATATATAGTATATAAATATACAATATATATTAAAAGCGTAAATTCAATTAATAACCTTTTAAAGATTGACTAATTTACAAATACATTTTTATCCAAACTTTCTGTTGTTATTCAATTAAAAGTTATGATAAAAATGTAAAAATTAACCAATCTTTTAAAAAAGTGACCCAGTTATTAATTGGTATTTAATTAAAAATAGATCAAAATAACTTGTAATTTTTTAGATATCAACTCTGGTAGATTTCAAAGTCAAATTTTCAATTTATCTTCAACATTAAATGTTGACTGCAACATTGATGGTGTTCCAACACCCATATATAAATGGTTTAATCCTCAGGGTGAATTTATTACCTCTAATAAACGTTTGCAAATTGAAAACCTAAGAAATTTTGGAAATTTCACCTGCGTAGCTAACAACATTGTTGGAGAAAAAGTTTTTGTTTTCAATGCTAATCAAAGTAAATATTATCAAAGTAAATATTTTTTTTTACTTGTTTGCATTATTGTCACATGACTTTTATATGGCTAACATTTTAATCAATTGTTGATTAAAATAATGAGAATAAATTTTTCAATTGGTTAAAATAATTATAATGCAAATTTGTTTCTTATTTAACTTATTCTTAGTTTATCAGTTAACTTATTCTTAATTTATGCAGTTAACTTATTTTAAATTTATACAGTTAATAGTTTAGTTTAATTTTGCACCAAAACTCAGCTTTGTAGAGATTAGTTATTTAGTTGTGTAAGTCTTGTTATTCTTTATTTAAAAAATAAGTATTCTTGTGTTTTGAGAACACAATCTTCATATTGTTGTTGTCCTTAAGTTTAGTTTTTGTCCTAAAGTGTGTAGTTGGGTAATGGGATAATTGGGTGGACTACAACTTATATTCCCTAAAAACATGCATTATTATTGCAAAAAAAATTATCATTCTTTAGCTTATTTTAAGAAGCATTTCCATGACAACAGGTACCATTAATACATGGAAAGTGTAATTTTTGTTGTTTAATTTAAAACCTTGGCATAAACTTTTTTTATGGCAGAACAGTTTTCATGTTTAAAAGTTTAGCAAAACATCTCATTACAAACATGACAAAGACCAGAATAAAATTAAAACTTAAAAGTTGAAAAATTAAATATTTAATTAAACCTTCAGTCTATGTATGTACACTCTGCTGCGCCATTGGCTATTGTCAGTCAATGTAAGTATGGTATATAGTTGTTTTTAAGACAATAAGTTTATTTTAGTAAACATTAAAACTTTAATGTTTTAGTTTAAAATGTCAGGATGGATTCTTAGTTATATAATAATATTTGCAGAATAAAAGTATAATACAAAACTGGAAATTTTTTTTTGTGATTCGGTTTGTGTGTTGGTAAGAAAATTATCAGAAGTACCTGATTACAAGATATTATTAAACAGGTATAATGGTTATAGGTAAAAAATTATGACTTTCTATCTTGTATGTGATACTTATAAACAAAAATTATACCTTCTTAAAAGGCATACTTTTTACATACTTTACATACTTTTTGCCATACTTTTTATACTTTTAAAGGGAGGGACTTTATACTTTTCTTTTCTATTTTCTTGACTTATGTACACATTTAGATCAATACATATGCATAAATGTTTATATATTTATAAAAAAATTGAAAAAAATTCTGAAATGTTTTAGACTGATTGAATGAATAAAAGCCATTCTTCATGTCTATGAATTTTTATTAATATACACAAGTTGCTGTTGTAGATAACTTAATTGGTCACTGTTTACACTGTTTAATTAGGAGAATATTGCATGTAAAATTGCTTATAAAGCATATAAAAAAAAGGAGATCAAATGCATTAAAATTAAAAACATGTGGATCTCTAATATAGTTAAAGCTCCACACTGTAACATAAATGATAAATAAAACTGTAACATAAATAGTAAATAAAACAGTAATAAGTCTTCAAACAGCCATAAGTCTCTTAAACTTTCTAAAAATCTAGCATAAAGACAAAAATTTCTAAAAGTGTAACATAAAGACTGATCTTTCTAAAAATGTAGCAAAAAAGATCAGACTTATTTAATCAGAATGAGATTTAGTCAGATATTTAGTATATGTTAAAAATCTTTCTGATTTGATCCTGCATATTGTTAAAGAAAGATATAGAAATAATTTCATGTGTAAATTCTAAAAAGTTTCTTTATACCGTTGAGTAGGCTTCCTGAAAATTGTTTTTGAATGTTTTTGAAAAAGGGAAAAATGCCTGAAAATAGATTAAAAAATGGATTATATGGAAAATGGAATGAAAAATAGATTAAAAAAATGAAGTTCATAAAGTTTTTAATATAGCCATTGTTGAAGATATCCCTAAAGAATATGAAAGTATGTTTAAAAAGTAAAAACTTGAAAATCTTGAAGATTTAAACTATTATTTTAATCTTAAATGTGCTTATGAATTATAAAGGCTTTGATTACATGCAGGTTAAAAAAAAGCTTCTTACAAGTAAATGTACACTTGATAGGAAACCTTACAACTATTGGTAATCTTGATTCTTCTTATAAAGCATATATAAAAAGTATTGGCTGAAAATACATGCATACATACATACATACATACATACATAGATAGGTGCATACATGAATATAAGTGTACAATTTCAAAAATGTTTTAATTAATTAAGAACAAATTAAGCACAGGGCTGCCGAGAGGGTTGGGCAATAGGGGTATACGTGCCTCGAGTGTTAAGATATTAGGGGTGCCAGAAGACAAAAGACAAAAAAAATCATGATAAGATTTTAACTTGATGATGTGTCAAATAACTGGCTTTGTTTATATTACCAAAAGTTGTATAGTTTTCAATAATACACAAAGAACTGCTGCTGCAAAAAACCAAGTTAAAAACGTTGGTATGTGTGTATCTATCAAGTTCATATGTTATCATATAGTTAATTAAAAATGACCTTTCTGAAATTCCAACTAATCAAAAGTTACCCAGAATGTCAGCACTTTTTTAAAAACCGTGTTGCAAACCGTTGAAATAAATTAGCACATGGTGTAATTAATCTACCTACAATAAATTCTTTTAAAAGTATTTTTTGGATGCTACTTCAACTTCAATGTTAATCATTTTCATATGAAAGCCTGGTGTTGCTTTCTTTCATCAATATTAATCTTTTTATGTATAAGTTTCATTGACTATTGTAATAAATAAAAATCTTTTAACTTTCAACTGCAGTCCCACTAGATGGAAAATGTTGCTTTACAAGCTTTTGGACACCAGACGTTCAGCTCAGATTGCCGCTATGAGACTAATTGCAAAATGGCCACAAAAAATTACTGCTACTCTAAAGCTGTGCATGAATCTGTCACAGAAGGTGAATGACCTTTAAAGTAAACTAAAGTTGTTTAAAAAAAATGATTGTAGGGCCACTATAAATCAAAACATTTAAGAATGTCTATCAGGCATAGATGTTGAAAATAAATAGAAAACATCTTTTGGGGCTTAATGATAAGATTGGGGCTTAATGATAAGACTAAATTTGTCTTCTTCTAGCCCCGGTCATGTAATTATTTTCTTTATAAATTACGACTGTAAATTTTTTTTGTCGGCAAAAAAGTGTAAATAAATAAAAATCTATCGTAAGATGACATAATAATAATAACAATTTTTGCAAGTAAAAAAGCAAGGTAAAATGATTTTTCAATATTTATTTCAAAGAATCTGTATCATTAAATCCAGATTAGATGTTTCGTAAAATTATAGATGTAACATAATAGTATTTAAAATAAAAACAGTCATTAATTTTTATAGTTGTTTTTATAAAAATATACATGCTTATAAGGGCGCCTAGTTGCTACTAAATTATGGGTTTCATGAAAGCTCTCGGCAGCTCTGATCATGCATGTGCATTTTCCAGACAACTAATCATTGACATTGTTTAGACGTATTGTTTTTGAAAAGTACTATTTTCAAAATAAATTATTTATAACCTTTAAAAAAAATTTTATTAAAATACATTACAAAATTTAAAATTTATTTTAATAAATTTTATACATTAATACATACATACATACATACATACATACATACATACATACATACATACATACATACATACATACATACATACATACATACATACATACATACATATATGTAAATTGAGTTTTAGTTATTCTCAAATGGGTAATGGCGGTTAATAAAGAACACTAATGAAATAATTCTTTTAGTTCCTAAAGTATTAAATAAATTAGTAAAAATCACTAATCTAACATCTATTGCCAGTTTATCTGTTTAATTAGGAAGAATGTCTAATTATTGGAGTTGCAAAGTTAATTGCAATAGTTTTTAAGTTCCTATATTAAAGCATGAGATTGAAAAAAATGAAAATCAAAAATATTCAAAATGGTTTTTTACAAAAAAATTTTATTTTTTTAAAGTTAAGAAATGAAAGAGTATAAAAATATTTTTAGTTTTTAAAAAAATATTTTATTTTTAAAAAATAATCATACATTACTGGTGGTATTAGTTTCTGCACAACTGTTTTTAAAAATAGTTTGCAACATCGTAAAAAGTTATAGCCTAATATTCCCATCAAAATCAATTTTTATGAAAATAGGAAAATCCTAATCATCCCTAGTGTCCTTAATTGTCTCGTCACTTCTTGGTTTCCAAAATCTTTCTTTGAAGTTTCATACCAAGGGCAGGGATATGTGGATGTAGCTGAGCCTAATCCAAGAAAAGCATTTGCAATTTTCTATGTAACTGATAATTCATATTTTCAGTATTTTAGGAATAAACCTAAAACACTGTAATGTTTGTTTACTTTAGTTTCAAAACAAAAGTTCCAAATTGATAAAACTTAGAAATAAAAAAAAGTAAACTTTTAAGTTTACTTTTTTTTATTTCTAAGTTTTATCAATTTAAGTTTTAAGTTTTATTTTTTTGTTGAGATTAATTGTCTTATTATTTATATGCTTATTGTTGTTTTGTAATTAATAATAAATTATATTGGTTGGTTTTGGTATTTGTTGGTTTTATAAATTTTTAGTTCAAGTAAAAAATTTTTAGACTTCCAATCAAGAGATATGCAGTACTATTGAAAATTTAAAATTGTATAAACTTGGAAAATCCAGAGTTGTAGAGGCGCATAAATATTTGTTGTCAAATTCTATTGTCACAATGTCTAACAAGAATTTATCACACAGTAAAAATTGTGCTAAATTATGCCTGGTGTGCTCTCAAAAAGGGTCAAATATGGTGCCAGCTAGAAGAGACTCGATACTTCCAAGAATTCAAAAATATTTCAACTATGATCCCAATGAAGAGTATTTACCTTCTGCTATCTGTGTTAGATATAGACTAATTCTTCTGAAGATTGAAAAGAGGAAAAAACAAATAACGATCTACCTGGTCCTTTTGATTTTTCCAAAGTTATTTTTATGACACTGAGAAGATCAAATCTTTTGTGCTGTTGTCAGATTTGTGAAGTTGCACGTTTTAATTCAATCAGAATGAGACAAGGATTAGCTAAGGCTCTTCCTTTCCAAGTAGAAAGATCTTCAGTAGCAGCCAAAGATTTTTTACCACCTCGTGGGCCAGTTAAAGTGTGTCAGTTGGCAGCCAGTACTGTACTGTTCAAGATGCAAGGGAAAATCTTTAGACAGTTATTAGCCAAGTTCCTTCTGCAGCAGAAGTTGTTGCTTCTGATGTGATCAAAAGGAAATTTGCAGCATCTGGAGATGGTGGCTCAATTTCTTTTTTAGCAACAAGAAAGAGGGATTTAACAGTCAAAAAATGTGTAAATTCTGAATAATCAAGAGCATATTTCTGTTTAAATTCTGTGTATGCTGAGGAAAATAGTAGATTTCAATCTACTTTAGGTTTCTCTTTGAAATAAATTCTTAATGCTGCTTCTTTTTTCAGAACTTGGAGTGGTTGCAAATCAATTGAATTGGTTCAGTTAGAAAATCAAGTCAACAAGACACAACACTTGAATTTTTTTACAATTATACAACAATGGAATTTGATGTTCATAATGATGAACAAAGTGGAAAAGCTCAGCGATCAGTTATTTTTTGTAATGACATTTTCGGATTGGTTAAACATATACTTGACCATCAAGACCTTCCACAAGATGAGTACATGATCAAAGTAGACATTGATAGAGGTGGTGGGTTCCTCAAGATTTGTATGAATGTATTAGATATCCAAAAAGAACAAACAAAGCATAAGTTTTAAAAGGTCTTCTTCTTCTATGTATCTTCTAAAGCATTTTGTGACTCAGGATTGGAGTAACTCATGATCTTGACAATTCTTGAGTCTGAAAGAATCTTATAAAAACTTGAAGCAAGTTTTAGAGTTGATTTGTCTTAAAAGTGTTATTTTTACTGCAGCTGCAGATATAAAACTTGCAAATGCTTTTCTTGGATTAGGCTCAGCTGCATCCACAATCAATTTAGGCATTTCCTAGACAGTGTTAAGGTGAAAGAAGAATTGCTTGCAAATGCTTAAATTTGAAATAAAGGAGAAAAATTTCTTGCTGCATTTAAAACATTCAATGCAGCCAGATAGACATGCTTTGGGAATGTCCTAATTTCCTCTTAAAGAGATTCTATACTTTCTTTTGATCAAACATACAATGCTCTAGGAATTTCAATTACACCTAAAGTTCATGTTGTTATCAAGCGCATACCTGAGTTAATTGACAACCAGGCTGAAATGCATGATATTACTCAGCAAAGACTTCCTCCAACTCTACGAAAAAAACTTTTAAAGAGGTCCGAATCAGTTCATTCAAATTTCATCAGGCTATGGGAAACAGGTCCTTACAAACAAGATTTGGGTCATACAGAATATAGCAAAAAACAAATTGCTCGCCATATTTGTCCAAAAGTTTGTATTTATACTTGTTGCTTGCACTTCCACCAATAATTGAAGTATAATATTTGTCACCAGAAAGTTGACAAAAGTAACATTTTATGTAAATCTTGTTTTCCATCAAAATGCGGCCATTCAATTTTGTCAAAACTTGGGTGTAAAGTTTTCGTGCTCGTGTTTTGGTGATGGAATTTTGTTTGTCAGAACGATTTGGGTATTTTTTTGCTTGAAAAGACTTTTAATTGTAGTCTTCACTTTCCTTACCAAAAAATCAGGAGCTTTGGACTTTTTAGCTCTTTCTCTGTTAGAAAGTCTTCTTATATCCTTTTATAACCTTTCTAAAAGTAGAAAAAAAAATTCTAGTAGCTTTTGACACTTGTTTGTAGTTCCATGATCGATTTTCTTCATGAATGTTCAAGATTTTTTTCAAAATATTCAAATTATAGAAAAAGTTCACAGGAAGTTGGGAATTGTTTTAATTATGTAATAACTGCATTTATTTTGCAACCAGGAAGTTGCATCAATTACATTAAAATTAAAAAATTAATCATAAAAAGAATTCTTTAAAATTAGGATAGTTTTAGTTTGGTCATTTGTTTCTATAATTTTTCAAAAGGTAATTATTTTCTGCATTAAGAAATTAATTTTTTTCTGCATTAAGAAATTAATTCAGATTTTTTGTTTTCTTGATCCAAATGAATAATAATTTCAAATTATTTCTCATTTCACATCTTTTCTTGTAAACATAGTATACATTTTTTGGAAAAGTTATTATAGGCAGACGCAGTTTTTAGAATAGAACAGTTAATTTATAATTAATATTTTTTTCTTTTATTTGCCAAATATATTTTGAAAACATAGTCTCTTTTAAATATTTTATTATGTTTAATATATATATATATATATATATATATATATATATATATATATATATATATATATATATATATATATATATATATCTACAATTTAGATGCTATAACATCAACTCTTATTAACGGAGCTTTTAAATTAAATCAAAATTCGATGGTTTTTGGATGCTTGCTGTATATGACGTTTGAACTATTGTAATAAAGAAAATAATTCTAGTTAAATTTATCGTGGATTGGTTGGATCGGCTCCGAGAATTCAGAATTAGTTCATTTATATTTTTAAATATTTAATGTTTTAAAATCTTTTAAATGTTCAATGTTTTAATATAAATACCTATGCTCTTTTTGTTTTGTTTTGTTTTTTTCAATGGGAAAATTGAAAAAATTGATATAAATAGCAAGATCAATGCTGTGCTCTGACAAAATAATTAGAGCCACTAACCAGAAAATTGTGCCCGCGTGTTTTTGTATTACGTATGTATATTATTTATCCAATATGATTATGTGTACATTTAAAAAATATACATTTGCTAATTGTAAAAATCAATCTAAAATTTTCAATTGCATAAATAAAGATTTTTGAAAGCTTTTAAAAATGTGTAATTTAAACGGATTTTTTCTGAATAAATAACTCTGTCAAATTAAATTTGCTGAATAGCAATTATTGCATTCTGAATACCAATTATTTTATTAATTATTGTCATAATGAATACCAATTATTAATTCTGTGATCGGGACAACGATATTTTGATGTATCTTTATGAATCTGTTAATATATCTGTGTGTGTGTCTATATATATATATATATATATATATATATATATATATATATATATATATATATATATATATATATATGAGTGCCTCTAAAAACAACTTTTTTTGAAATTGTCTACTGCCACCCTCTAAATGTGTTCTATGTAATAAATTAACACTAAATTAAAAAAAAATTTAGGGGTCGCTCAAGACCCATAAACTAGGGATGTACCGAAGCTAAAATTTTGCCGAAGCCGAAGCTTCGGCACTATATATGCTTAAAATTTAATCAGCAATCAGATCAGCAGGGGTGTAAAACAAAAAAGGTTCCAAAACTAAGATCCTTGACTAATAATATAGAAAAAATGTATAAAGATGAGGACACAAGTCAGGGTTGCTGCCCCAGGCAGGGCAAAAGCTCTCAGTGCCCCTGTTTGAAAGTTTCTCATTATGTCGTTTCTGATACTTCACCACACCTAGTGTTTTTTTTTAAACTTAAGTTTTTTTGAAACATTCTCCCCAAATTTTCCTACTTCTAGTTCTACTTTTTCTGTGTGCAAACCATATTAATGTTATATAGTGCACAATATCAGTAACTCACATATATTTCCAACTATTCCCAATATTCTTCTAAGATTATTGCTATTTTTTTGATCTTTTAGAGCCATACTGTTCTTCTATAAACATCGTTTCTCTTTAATCCTCTATCTAATCATCTAATTTTTAATCCTCTATTTAATCATCTTGTTTGCTCTATCTAATTATCGTGTGCTAGCTGAACATCCTCAAATTTTATTCCCCATAAATTACTGTTGCGCATCTTTTCATGTGCTGTATATTTTATTTTTATTTTTAATGCGCCTTTTGTTAAGAGTGAATATTACTCAAGTAAATTTATCTTTTACACTTAAACACTCTTTCTCTAAATAAACACTCTTAGCTGATCTAGTTGTATCTATAACATAAAAAATCTTACAAACACACTTTATCTTTTTATTGCTATTTATTTCAATATCTTTTTTTTTACTTCTCTGTATTCATTAAACGAACAATTTCTAAACTAAAAAAAAACCCAAGTTAAGACCATTTTGTATTCCACTACAACTGTGGTGAACCTGCTGCTAAAAAAAAGTACAATTGATAGATTTCTCTCTAACTTCTTTTTTACACACTTTTAAGTTGTTGTTGGTTTTTTTTTATTATTTTTAATTTTACACTACATAACATTTTCTTAAGCTTCTATTAATCTTTTACACTCTGAAATTATAGTATTTATTCTTCTTCTGTCTCTGTAATGGATAAATCTGCATCAGTATCTGATATCAAATATTAACTATCTGTGACAAAAACTTCTATAGTAATCCAACAACTCAGTAGAGTGAGCTTTAAATAAAATAATAAATAGAATACTTTATAAATTTTTTATTTATAATTATATTATTATTTACTTTATATTTATAAATAAAAAGGGACTGAGTAGGCTGATATTTATTTGATTTAAATTGTTTATTTAATTTAAATAAATTTTGATGATAAATATAAGAGCTCAAAGTAATCTAAGCTTTAACCTTTAATTTATTTTAGATAAAATTTAAAAGTCTTCATATCATAAGAAGAAATTAGAATATAAGTTTATATGTTTAATATATAAATTCAATTTAGAAGTATTCATAATATTAATAAAAGAGCAAGGATAATTATTATCATTGTTTTTCTTTTTCTTTTAATTTATATAGTTTTGGTTGACTTTTTTTTTTTTTTTTTTTATTCTCCTCATTTATATTTTATTTGCTTTTCTTCCTTTTTTGTTGTTGAGAACTTTATGTTTTTTATGTGTCACTCCATTGACTAGTTTGTAACTATATAAGTGACACCTAACCAATTTCTGTAATCTTACGATGAAAATTTGTAAATTTTAATTATTATGGTTAAATAAAATTTAAAAAAATTAAACATACACAGAATTTAAAATAGTAGCAACGTATATTTAATCTTCTTTAAAGTGAGATTACTAAGGTTTATAGGTCAAATGTTGAAACCAATTTTTGTTCTTTTTGCGGTAATCCCACACAAAAATTAATATAAATTCGTTACATAATACAAATTAAGGTTTTTTTTCCATTTCGTTTTTAAAAAGTTTTAATTTGTTTTAAATTAAAAGGTTTTTATTCTGCATAAAAATGCTGATTCAGTTCATCTAAAGTCTTGGAAGCGTTCAAAGTGTATGAGAACCTTCCTTAATTTTACTATTATATTCAAAATATTTCTATTTATTTATTATCATCCCCTCCATAACAAGACATTTGGGAGTAAATAATACTAAGTATATGGTATAGACTCCAACTTTAACTCTGTAGTCTTGAATTTACAACTTAATTAGACACAGGCAATTAGTATATTTTTATAACTTGTACAACAGTAGCTTATAACTTTAGTTACTTAAAATTTTTTGCCGAAGCCAAAGATTCGGCAAAAAATTGACCTGGCTTCGGCCGAACCGAAGCTTCGGCATGCCGAAGCCGAAGCTTCGGTACATCCCTACCTTAAACATCAAACGGGTCTCTAATATTTTGAAAAAAAAAGTTCTTCAAAAGCATATCATGTTGGGTCAATTTACATAAAAATATTTTTTTCAGATATAATTGCCTAAAAACTATTGTTTTTAAGGTGATAATAAAAAAAGTCAATATTTTCAAGTTTTTTTAAAATAATTTATTAAAACATGTTTTTTATGTAAATTGATTATTATTTTTCAAGTTTTTATATAATTTCGCTTCTTTTGAGTACCAGCTTGACATACTTTAGAAAAACTATTTTTTTCAAAATATTAGGGAACCGTCAAATTTTTAAGGGTCATGAGGCATCCCTGAAAATATTTTATTTCAAAAAAAATTTTAACCTAGTGTTTTTGTATTATATAGAACACATTTAGTTAAGAGCAGGAGACTATTTTTAAAAAAGTTGTTTTTTGCATCACCCTGATATATATATATATATATATATATATATATATATATATATATATATATATATATATATATATATATATATATATATATATATATATATATATCTTTAAATTTTCCATGTATCTTTTGTTTGTTATTTCAAATATTTGAAGTAACAAATAACATTTCTTTACTGGTAAAAAACTATGTGGGTTAAATCGTGAAGGTTTTTTTACAAATCGTGCAGTCAAATTTTGGGACAAACAAAAGTTAAAAATCTCAACTTATTTAAAGCTAAATCTTCAGACTTCAATCAAGTAAAACGGACCTTTTTTAAAATAATACAATTAACAGCCAAAAATTACAAAATATATATTTTTCAGAAAATCAACATATGCTCTTCAAATTAACATAAGAAATCTAAAAGTGTATTTATATTATAGGTTAAGAAACAACCGTTGAAAAGAGAGTTAATAAGGGTCCATTTCACCCTGGTGTTAGCTTTAAATGAGCTCATTTTATTCCTAAATAAAGCCTAAAAAAAAATAAAAATTTAAATCAAGAATCGACTGTTACTAACATGTTGATAACATTGTTATTGTCACGATACATGAAAATTAAATGTTGATAGACATTTATTTCTAATACATTCATCATTTTCATATCTTTCATTAAGGGTTTAACTTGTTCGCTTATCTTTATAGTAAATGATTCTGCAAGCATGTTTTTGTAAATTATACAGTTTTTTAGGCTTTGATGTTTGACCACTTTCCCATGAAATGTTTGCATATCTGGTGAAGCTATGAATTAGTCCAAAGTAGATTAATTTAAGACTTTGTGTATTGACGTAAGAGCAAACTCGATACATCAAACCTATGATTTTGGTGATTTTTGACTGGATGTATATTAAATGAGGAAGCCAGGATAACTTTTCATCAACAATGATTTCTAAGAATCTTATATTGGATTGCTTTTAAATATTTTATTATTTAGGAATAGGTTGGGCAACTTGAGAGGAAGATTTTTCTCTTGTGTTTTTTTATGAAATAATATATATACTATTATGAAATAGTATATATACTACATACAAAGTATATATACTTTGTTTTCTCAGCAGCGAGAGTTTGTTAGCCTTAAACCAGTTGTTTACTTTATCTAGTTATACATTCATGTCCACATATAATTTTTTGATATCATTGTTGGTGAGAAATAGATTCATGTCATCTGCAAACATGACTGCATTAAGTTTTAAAGATGCATTACATAAGTCATTTATACATATTAGAAAAAGGAATGGACCAAGAATCAATTCTTGTTTTTATTTTTCAAAAATTTATTGTAAAGTTTTTGCTTTTTCTTTTCGAGCACTTTAATAACGATTTATCCATCCACGAATTAGCAATTGCTTTTGACTTTGAAAAGAATTGTAAGCTTCGTTAGTATCTTGACATTTATATACGTTGTTCCACGTTTCTTGTTTTAGTCTACTTTTTTTTTTTTTTTTGTTAGGTGCCCCAAGAAGACCTAAAGGTCTTGTCACAGAGCACCTCGGAAGTGCATTTAACCAAGAAGTTCATGCCTTCTTCCTTACTGTGACGCCAAAATATGTCCAGAGCTTGTTTCGACTCTGGATCTCCTGCTTATAAAGCAAACGCTGTAACCACTGCGCTATGGCCGCACAGTGTTGTTAAACTTATTAGCGTTATTATTTTTGAGATTTCGTTTTTTCAAATGTATGATTTTAGATTGACAATCAGACGTAGATTTAAGGTTTTTTATTTTTATGAACATCGGGAAATGATCGTTTATATCTGCCATAAATAGGTTTCGAATATCGTTTCTAAATAATTGTGAATAAAAATAATTTCAATTGCTGTTGCCGAGGTTTTTGTTACTCACGTTAATTTATTAATAGCTGGCAAGATATTAAATTTAAAAAGCATATCAAAAAAAGATTTTATATTTGGAAATTTTGTGTTAGATATCTCTAAATTTTGTGTTAGATAGATTTATGTCACCAGTAATATATAATGTTGTATTTTCTTTACTTATTTTCATAATCGTATTTTTGATAAAAGTTTCGAAGTTTTTTATTTTTCCACTCGGGGGACGATAAACACATCCAATTAAAATATTTCGGTATTTTTTGTTAATAATTTCAAGAGACTTTCATAATTTTTATTTGAAAAACATATCATGTTTTTATTTTAAATACATACTTGTCTAAGACATAAATTCCTAAACCTCCTCCTTTTTTCCCCACTTTCTCGTCGTTGACTAATTAGTTTGTAAAATGGTAAAATATAATTAGAATTTAATTCAAGAGAACTTTCTGTATCATGGGTTTCTGAAAGAGATATGACATCGAACGTGTTTAAAATATTTTAAAATTATTTAAGTTTATCAAAATTTTGCAAAAGGCGCTATTTTTTTAAATTTTTAATTAATAATTTAAAAATATTTAATATAATAATAAAAAAAAATATTCAAAAAAAAAAAAAAAATACTCGTTTACGCTTGTCGAATTAACATCTGTGTAGCGGGTTCTCGAAATTCATGAACAATAAGTTTGTTGAAAACAACTTTTGCGTAATAACCATTTTTCGCGTAGTGAAACTAAAATCTTTGTTTAGAAAAATGTTGGTTCTTTTTAACTTTATTGTTCTTTCCATGATTGTTTTTTGTCATCGTAATCACGGAGCTTTAAGACTATTGTTCGCTCTTGTTTTTCCTTAGCTATTCCCATTCAATGAGCCCGTTCAATAATAATATCTTTTTCAATACCAAGGTTATCTTTAAATAGTTGTTTTACCTTTTTTTTTTTTTGTAATTTGCCAATCCTTTACTTCGTTATTTTCTACAATACCGTCAATTCTTAAATTGTTTCTTCTGTTACGGTCTTCAATAGCCACACTTTTTAATTTTAATTCGATATTGTCACAAGATATTTTACCCTGCATTCTTCGTACATTTGTTAAATCATCGTGAACTTTATTAATTTTTTCTTCAACTGCTTTAGCTTTATCATTAATAACATCGCCAATAAAGTTTAAGCTTTCATTTCATTACAAGACTCGTTGTCTTTAAAACTTGATTGAAAATTAACAAACTTTTTATTTATGTTCAATAGCGATTCGCGAAAAAAAGATAAAACTGTTTCTTTTTGAATATTTAGTACCTCTCTCATCAGAGCGATTGAGACAAACTCTTTTGATTTAGACATACTAAATTAAAATTCAAAATACGTAATATATATTTATATTTTTTCTAAGATTTCTATATTCGAAAAAATAAAAAATGAAGAAAAATGCAAAAGAAATTTAGTATTTAATAATTTCCTGCAGAATATGACTCTGAATCATCAGTTTCTTTTTCGTTGGTTATGAAAGCTTGTAAATTTTTTTAAAGTTCTCAATTTTTTCTTCTGACTAATTTGAGGTACCTTACTTTTTTTGTTCATTTTTTTTTGAATGGTTCATATCGTGAGCTCCTTAACGCTATCTTTTCCAAACAAAATATTCAGACATTTAAATAAATTTTCATATCCTAATAATCCATCATTGTATTTTAAAACAGCTGATGCTACACAATTTTCTATTGTTTGTCTTGAAACAAAATTGTTCTTTGGATATTTTTTCCATATAATTTGGTTAAAAGTTTCGTTAGGATTTTGGGCTGTAGTATTTCAACAACAAATAGTCTGCACTAAAATCAATAAAAATTGGTTGCACTATCCTTTTTATAATAAGAGGCAAACTAGTACAGGGCTTATATGTTTTTGACAAGTATTTAGATCCCTCTCCCACTACATAAACTGCGGGGACAAAATTGGTGCCTTTCAACAGTGTTAGGAATGTTGCTGCAATGCTACAAAATAGCTAGCACTGATTTTTTCATAGCATATAATGAGCCAATTCTTTGTCGAATAGCAATTCCATAGTAATTTTGCATTTTGTTTATTGTTTTATCAGTTAATCATCCTCTTCTACAAATTGGTTTATTGTTATCTAATTTTTCTGAAAATGGCCCACACATTCAAACTTAATTGGAATCAATGCTTCCCTAATAGGTTTGGCCTCCAAAACTTTCAAAAATGAATTAATATAACCATCATCAATTTAATGCGTTCTCAAATCTCAAATTATATTTTTGTGCTGACGAACAAAGTATGACAACTGATCCACTAGCCTCCATCGCACCAGAAGATTTATGATGATTGTGTTGGCAAACACGGCTGGTTTTCCAAATTTCAAACTTTATTGAACCTTTTTTGGTTTCCCACACGGTACAGCTTTTAAAAAATTTAGATTTAACATGATAGTTCAAAACCTTTTTATTAAATCTTGAGATTCCGGAAACATCTCAATTAAGAGAGCTGTGTCCTCTCTTTAGCCATGTACCATCTATGCTAATTTGGTAGTCAGTCAAAAATTGATTTTATTGGAAAATTGGGTATGTATCTTTTTAGCAGCATTTTTCATACTAGAAATTGCAATTTATGTATAAGCCTTGTTAAGATTTACATTTATTACATCATACCCAGTGGACACGGACGTAAAAAAGACGTCTTTTAACCGTCTTATACACGTTTTAGACGTCTTTTGAACGTTTTGGACGTCTATTGAACGTTCTAAAGACGTCTTTTTTTGGTTTGATGCAAACTGGGTATGAATTACTAGTCATTGATGGTGGCATGTTTATCGTAGTTGTAAATACTTACATAGCTTTATGTCCCTTACTAATTTCTCGGAATGGAATTACAACGCTATAATTTATATCATGCTTTCTTTTATCTATGTTCAGGTAATGAAAACTTTATTTACAATTACAAGAAGTACACAATATGCAAAATTTGTTTGAAAATCCTCTAAGCTCCTCTGGTAATAAACATACATTTACTTGTTGATTGCAAATGTTGATCCGCTAACACAGCAGCCAGTAGGTTTCTTCTTATTGTATATATAGCGGAGTTCGAAATGACTGTCGCTCTCTTACGGCTCTTACGGCACTTACGTTGAGCACTTGGCGCGATCCATGTTTTTAATTATAAATAACGAGCGTATCTTCAAGAAATATAAATCAATGTAATCTTATCTACGTGATTTGTTGCTACAGTCCCTTCCAACTCTTTAGAAGGAGGCGTGAACTTCCTAGTTAAAATGCACTTCCGCAGTGCTCTGCGGCATAACCGTTAAGTCTTCTTGGGGCACCTTAATAATAAAATAAAAAAATAATATTTATAATAATATTAAAAATAATATTAATAATATTAAATAATATTAGTAATAATATTAAAAATAATATTAATAATATTAAATAATATTAAAAATAATATTAAAAATAATAACAATATTAATAATAATATTAAAATTAGTATTGATAACAGTAAGAAGAAGAAAAAGAAGAAGAAGAAGAAGAAGAAGAACAGCTAGTTACATAATTAAATGCTATCTAGTTAGCATTTAATTATGTAACTAGCTGGGATAGCGAGCGTGTTTTTAAACATACTGTGACAACCAATTTGACTGACTGTTGTTGAGTTTTTGTGATTTCTCTTTAATACTTAAAAAATTTCAATTCCATTTTGAGATGTAGAGACTTTTGCTTTATGTTCTATTTTCATTTTATTCACAAAGATGTTTAGCCGGATCGTATCTCCTCTTTTTCTTTATTTATTCCGAAATAATAATTTGAAAAATTTCAAACAATCTTCATAACATAAACATCTGATTAATTCAGCTCAATACTGCACTGACTCAACTAATTAAAACATTCATCTTTTGCATAATGAGACCATATTGGTACTGAAAACTTTAGAAATGAACAAATAAACGTAATTTAAGTAACTTACATTTCAATTTTGTTAAAATATTTTTTTACACAATATAACATTCTATTTGCATTTTTTTGCTTAAAAAACAATTTGTATTTCTAAACTCCTATTTAAATACATTTTTTCATAACACTATTTTTATTTTTTATCAAAATTTATCCTCGTAGTTTTCTACTGTGTTTAGAAAATCTTTCACTTTTCTTTCATTTATTCCCCATAAATTCGTAGTTATGCACAATGGAGTAAACGAAAAAGTTAAACAAACAACAACAAAAATAAAATATAAAGTTGGGTAATGTTATAATTGTAAGCGATCTAAGTGTTATTTTTCCCTATTTTGCATATTCACATGTAACAAACATATTGTAATATGACAAATAACGGAAAAGTTTATAAGTTTATTAGCAGTCTTCATTTTTTACTTTAGAAAGTTTAAGTTTCTTAGAGCTTGTAGATGATGTGAACATATCAATATTATCTACAGCATGCTATGCTGCATGTTTTCTCAATAACTCAATAAACTTATAACTCAATAAGTCAATAACAAACTCAACTCAATAACTTTAACAATTCACACACACAAGATAAAGTAGTTAAAGCAATTTATGAAAAAAACAATTGAAATACAAACAAAAGAATAGTTAAAAGCATAGTAGATATATTTTAAGTAGCACAGATTATAATTACTTTGATTTTATAGGTGACCAACTAGCAACAAAAAGTTTTGGTTGCTACGTGCGTTGCTATGAACAGCAATTATAATAAAATTTATTATTTTAAGCAGTGTTTAATGTAAACAATATAAAAAATCACTTTCCTTTGAAAGACAGGTAGTTTATCTAATAAAAACAATTTAAAAAAAAACATTTTTTTTACCACGGACACTTAACAATATTATTATATGATTATTAAAACCAAAAAAGTCAATATTTTAACAAAAAACTTAAACAAAAACGATTGTACAAACTGTATGAAACCAACAAAAATAAAATTGTTTATATAAATTACGCTAAACAATTTTAAAGTTAAAGTTTTGAAAAAAAAAACGTATATGATTTACTAGAGAAGTATAAAAATAACTTAAAACGAAAAAAGTAAAAAACTAACTTAAAAAATAATTCATGACAAACTTCAACTTATACTACTGTGAGTAATCACAATCTGTAATCATCAACTATTCTATATAACTATGTAATCATCAACTAATGTAACTTTTTTTTTTTGTTTCTTCAAGTATTTTAGAAACAACCTTGTTTAAGGTGGTTATATGGTAAAAACTTAGCGATTTTCGTTAAAAAAACCAATTTTCAGTTTATTAGCCAACTTTGTATAAAATTTAACTGGCTTTTCAACCATATATAACATGATGTGGTTTTAAAAACAAAATTTGTTAAAAAATTGATTTTATTGATTATGAGTTAAGAAATTTACTTAGTTACGTCCATAGCAACCAAAATTGTTATTGATATATTTATCTAAGACCTAAATTTTAAATAGTTGTTTGAACTTTTAGGTCTGTATAATTACTAAACTACTTAAAAAAACAAAGTTGTGTATCTAATATTGTTGTTAGTTAAAAGGAGAGAAGGAAGTCAAGGGTGAATTTATTTTTTAAAAAATATTATTATGGCAAAGCATACAAGTTGAAAAAAAATAAAAATTAAACGAGTGTTTCAAGAAAACAGATATATTAAGAAGCCAATTGATGTTGTTTTGGAACAGCCTGCAGAAGGAACAAACAATGATGGAGTAGATATGTGCCAGCTCATCAAAATTAAACATATCCTCAAATAAAGCCAATCGACCTTTAGCTAAACATGATGACTTTTTTCTTCTTTTTTCATTTCCCAATGTTAAAAGATTTAATTTATAACATTGGATTATGTGATTGTTGTAAATCAAAAGATATTGAACTTGAATACCTTGATAAAAAAACAAAAGGATTTTCAATACAATTTTGTATCAAATGTGCATCTTGTGATTGGACTTACTTGTTTAATTCATCACAAGCATTTAGTATGCCTAATAGAGATTCCAGAGGAGTCAAATCTCAAGAAATTAACATCAGAACTGTTATGGCATTTAGAGAAATTGGGCAAGGTCATGAGGCAATGAAAACATTTGCTTCAATTTTGAATATGTCCCCACCAATGACTCTCAAGACATATAATGAAATAAACTCTAACCTCCTACCATTTTATGAAGCTGCTTCTTGTGATAGCATGAAAAATGCTGTGAAAGAGGTTAGAAAAATTGTTTGTCCAATTGCAGCTGAAAATAATATTATAGATATACAAATTAGGATTGATGACTCTTGGCAAAAACGTGGTCATTTATCACTAAATGGTGTATGCACTGCTGTTGCTAAAGCTAACCATAAAGTCATTGGTTTTCAGGTGTTTTCAAAGTTTTTGCGTGGATGTGCTTTTTGAAAATGCAAGAGCAATAAAACTGGTTATAAAAAGTTTTTAAAGACACATGTTTGTGACCTCAACCATTTCCAATCTTCAGGTGCAATGGAATCAGCAGGTGCTTTGTCCTTTTTTATGGAATCAATGACAAAGTACAATGTGCCTAATTCTCATTATATAGGAGATTTGATACCGAATCATATAAGAGTGTTGTGAAGGCAAAGCCTTATGGGATGATCTTATCCCAGTGAAAATAGAGTGTGTCGGTCATGTCATAAAATGCTTAGGCACCCGATTGCGTCAAATTCGAAGTGACTTAAAAGTTAAAAAGTTAGATGATGGAAAATTTGTATCAGGGAATAGAAGGTTGACTGACAAGATTATTAATAAAATGCAAAACTATTATGGAATGAGCATTAGACAAAATATCTTGGTAGCATGGAGCGGAGACCATAATATAGCCTTGTACAACATGAAAAAATCAGTTTTAGCTGTATAGTGGCATTGTACGGATATAAGCAACAGTGAAGAGAGACATCAATTTTGCCCTTGTACAAATGAAAGCTGGTGAAAGTATTGGCATAGTAATATTACTTTTAAGCCTTCAATTAATCTGCCTATTGCCATTAAAAATGTTCTTAAGGATACATTCTTGGCACTACGGTCCGATGATTTATTATCGAGATGCCTTGATGGTGCAACACAAAATCCAAACGAAGCTTTCAACCAGATAATTTGGAAAAAGTGTTCAAAAAATATTTTTGTTACAAAAAAGATACTAGACCTAGGTGTTGCTTCAGCTGTAATAAATTACAATGATGGTTTGAGAGGTTTTACAAGAATTTTTGATTATTTGCATCTCTTGCCTGGAAGTTTTATGATCCAAGGATCGTGGAAGAAAGACATATCGAGGGTAAAGAAAACAATTAAAAATTCAAATCCTAAGCAAAAAATGGCTAGGAAGAAAAGAAGATGTATCAAAAAAGGTTACATTGATAAGGAGAAAGAAAAAGAGGGAGTTGACTCTTATATTTCAGGAAATTTTTAATTAATATATTGTTTTTAAACTTTGAAGCTCAATTTCTCAATTGCATTTTTTTGTCTGACTGCGAACTGTAAATCATTCATATCTTTTTAACCAGATATGCAATTAACTTCAAATTTTTAGGGTTGTTTCTTTATAGATAGAGCTGCAATACCTTACTAGAACTAACCTTTAACTTGTTTCCTTTTGAATATATTTATATTTTACTAAAGGTTTTGGCATCGATAATATCCTTTAAAATTAAAAGAGCTGTCATTTTAAAAATAATTATTAATTTTAGTTTTTCTAGTAAGGTTTTCTTTATTACACTATAGTCTAACAGTGTTGTAAGTTTTAGCTTCTAATGTCATAAAAAAGCTGAGAAAACGTAGTTTTCTTTTTAATTGATTTTTTTGCATTTAATGCTGACTCAGCATAAAAAAGTGTAAAAACTTTTTTATTTTTGCACTTTAAACTAAATTAAGCATTATTAGGTCTTAAAACTAATTTTGGTTAGTTTTAAGACCTAATAAAGTTAAAAAAAGCGTCAGCCGCTAAACGTAAGAAAAGGTAGTGAGAAAACTATCAGTTGATTTACAATAAATAGATCAGATTATTATAAAGGTATAAATAGCTTTATATAAATATTCTGAACATTAAAAAAAATTACAAGTTAAGAAAAACGTACTGAAGTTTTTGACATGATTTTGAGATTTGATAGTTTTGAAAAAACAATGTCTGATTTGGTGCTTCTTGATTTTACAGTCTTCTTAGCTGGGGCTTATTTCTCATGAAAGCACTTGGAAAGCGGCCGTGGCTGCTTTAGCAACCATTGTTGCTAAAGCAGCCTCGCTTCTTTCAATATGTGCCCAGAGCTAGCTTCCAAGTTGAGTTGGAAGCGAGCTCTGGACATATTTTGCGCTATTGGTAAGGAAGGAAGAGTGAAATTCTTATTTAAATGCTCTTTCGCGGTGTACTGTAACAAGACCGTTAAGTCTGTCTTGTGGTCCTGACAATACTCCTGTCACAGTCTTACAAAAGTGTTCTACAAAACTCTATTCAATTATTTCTAGACTATTTAATAAGTGCTAAACTAAATATTGTTTTCCTACCTAATTTTAAAAAATCTGGAGAATATTCTGACCCCTACTACTGTCGTCAGATCAGTCTTCTATCTGTTATTATTATGGTCTTTGATTCTTTGATCAACAAATTTCTAACATCTCATCTTGAGTCAAATATTTTACTGTCAGACAATCAATACAGTTTTCAATCCTCTCGCTTTACGGCTGACTTGCTGTTGTGACTTAAAAACTTTATCGTCTTTACAACATTTTATGGAGGAGGTGACGCAACATTTTATGGAAGCGGTGACGCAAGGGCTGTTGCTCTTGACATATTTAAAGCTTTTGAAAAAGTTTAGCATGCTGGTCTTTTCGTAAGCTTCTTTTAGTATATCTGGGAAAGTTTTTGAGATTATCAAATCATTTCTTTCTAACCGCTTTATTCTTCGTTTTAAGTCATCCTCAAAGGCCAACGCTATTCTCCTTTTCCAGTGAATTCTGGGATACCTCAAGGTTCTGTCCTTGTTCCTCCTTTATTTCTTATCCACACTTTATACTCTTGCCTTGATAAAAAAAGATTTTATACAGGAAACTCTGTCCCTGTATGCTCTAAAAACTTTTATTCGTCTGGTTTTTTCCTCACACTTCAACCCTTTGGAATTCTTTCCCATCTTTAACCTAAAACTTTTCAAGTTTTCTGTCAACTGCTTCCTTGTTCTATAACTCTATTCTTTGTTTTCTAGTCACTCCCAACTTAAAAGTTATTGCTTGCAGTCTTGTTGGGAGTGAATCAGAATTAAAAAAAACCTCTTCCTCTAAACATCCGTCTAAATTCCTAAAACTACTTAACAAAATCCCATAGTTTATTTGAATTTTTTCCTATTCTCTTTATTTGAGGCTGACGAGCTCGTGTTGCATGTAGATATATAGATTTTGTTTCGATTTTGCTGTTAGAAAATTTTTAAGTGCTAAACTACACAAATGGCGTATAAAGTTAATTTATTTCGGCAGGAGTTTGAAATAATTAAGTCCCGTTAATAATTTCATTATGCTTTAAAATAAATTACCTCTCCAAGTTTATTTGTTTGAAATAGACTAACAGGAGCGCAAAAATGTTTTTACATGAGAGTTAATTCTATAAAAAATTTATTTAATGAAATAGGTATTTAATAAAACAACTTTAATACAACAATTTTTATTAAATTTATTGTCTCCAGCTTTTCCTTTATTTTCTTTATTTTTATTTTTTTTAAATCTACGTTTATACAATACCTATATTTGTATAACTTCTATAGTTTAGTATAATTTTTAATAACCTTATTTCTAATATTTGAATGTATATTTTCTACCCAATTTAACAAGTTTATTTGCTCACTGCAAATTGAAAGTTCAGAGGAAACTATCAATAATTAATAAGTGAATTTAAATTAAATAAGTTAAACATTTGCATGAAACAATTTGTATTTACTAAATATATATAAAGATATGCTAAATTTACTAAATAAGTATATAGATATACATTTATATAAATTAATATACTTTTTTCTATTTATTTTAGGATTATTATAATTGAGTACGCAATATTTTGAGTATAAAATAATTATAAAATACATAAAAGTTTTGAGTTTACAGCCACATTTAAAACAAATATTTTCGAAGCTTGCACCCACTCATCACAATGAGTATATCAATGGGTGGGTGCAAAGTTTATTGTAAATTAATTTATTAGATTTAGTTTTTTAGAAAAAAAAACTTTTTAAATAAATTGATAATTTATTTAAGAAAAACTTATTAATAAGTATTAAACAATTTTGAGATCATAATAGTTTTTTAATTTTGTAAAATTTATTTAGAACTCTATAAATTATTATTTTTTCGAAACAAATTTTTAATCACAGTAAATACAATGTCACCTGCGTTTGAAATTGTAAACTAAAACGTAATGTACAGTATACTCAAAATCGGATAAAACTGTTTTAATATTAAAGATTGAATAAATCTTTATTAATAAAGACATATGTGCTTATCTATTTGCACTTATCTTTGTTAAAAAAAAACACATGTGATGTTATTTTTGAAATAAGAAGAGGCTTAATTTTTTTCATTTTTTAAAAAATAAAAACTTCTGTCTTTGAAAAAGGTAGCGAAGAAAACTTTTCTGTAAAAATGATAATATAAAATTCTAAAGCAAGGTTTATTCTAAGCCAAAAAAAAAATTGGAAAACAATTATTATCAGAAATGTTTTTCTTGGGTTTATTTTTATTACATTATTACTACAAAGGTATGTTTTATTTTTAGTTCACAACGTTTTTTTTTCTCAATTTATCTTAAGTAAGCTTAAGATACACTCAGTGAATTCAATTAATTTATGTTAATATAATTAATATTTATAATAATGTTGGCAAAAGTCGACATCAAATCATCAAGATCGGATTAATTAATAAATATACCTTTAGTAAACTTTGTTAAGCATCCTGATAGATGTTATTTTTATTTGTTTATAGTTATTTATTTATTACAATTAAAGTTATTTTTAGATGCTTATAGCTAATTATTTATTACAACTAAAGTTATTTTAAGATGTTTATAGCTAATTATTTATTACAACTAAAGTTGTTTTAAGATGTTTATAGCTAATTATTAATTCGTAGTTATAAATTGTAGTTTATTTAACTTTTTTGTCTTGTTCATATTTGTCTTATAAACACATTCCATAAGATACTTGTATATATAATACGTACATAACAGTACTCGTATATACAAATAGTCAAGATAAATACTTATCTTATCGCGAAATAATAAAAACGTATATATTATTAAAAAGCAAGAAAACATTTTTGACTTGATTTATTCTTGTAAAACAGAATATACTTTGAAATAGTTTTTGTGTATTATTAAAATATCATAAATTTATACTATATTATAAACTTGTATATATATTAGAAATTTATAATTATTAAATCAAAATTCAGACAAAAATCATAAATTTTATAAGTAGAAATCTTATCTTATCTGAATCGTACTTTTAAGGTACAAAGTACGTTATACTTCTAAGGGTAACATGAATAAAAAATAAAGAGAATATATGTTACTTGATCTTATATGTTACTTAAGAAGATATGTTACTTGAATGATGCTGAGAATATATGTTACTTGATCGATTTTCAAAAAAATCTTATCAACGTTTTAAATGACGCCAAGCGATTATCTTGCCGTTTCAATTTCCTATATCCGACGTTATACTACCATTAAAATAGAAGTTAAATTCATATCAAATCTAATTGCAATAATAAAGACCAGTACAACGAATAATTTCCATGTTTTAAGACTTAAATAAATACAATAAATATTGATGATGTTACACAATTGAAAAAAAAAGTTAAAAAACTATATATATTCATAAATGAGAATAATAGTTGCATGAGACATAGCAAGACAAGTAACTTTAACTAACGCGCCTTGCAAAAGGATAAGTTGAGGGATAAACTATGGGCCAGTATAAATAAAAAAACATAAACAAGAAGCTGTGTAATTGAAGAGCTAGAGAGATAAAAATTTAAAGGAGTATTATGTTTATTATAAAGTATAAAAATTAATACTAATTAAGTTTTTATACTTTATAATAAGTATAGTTATTGCTTTTTACATGAGTGTCACTTCAAAAATATAAATAATTATGAAACAAATTTAGAACTTAAAGAAATAGATCCTTATTTTGGTTTTTTACATCTATAACCTATAATATAAACATTTGAATAAATAAAATTTTAAAAATGCAAAAAAAACTTTGTTTGATGAGTTAACTACTGTAACAAGTTCCATATGAGTCGTCACAAAAACTCTCGCTAAAAATACTCCGCTCCCCCCTTCCTCCCCTAGAGCGTGACGTAATTTAAGGACAACGCTTTGCATTTTTTGTGATGAAAACTTTATTCTAGTATAAGTAATGCTGGCGGGATCATACGATTTATCGAAATTATATTATGTTTTGTAAGATTGTTAATGTTAAAGATTCATATGCAAACGTATATCTAAAGAAAATTTTATATTATTTTTGAACAAATTACTAGTACAGCGGAGAAAATGACTGGCAGGCAAAGAAAAAGATCACACGTGATTCAGATACAGCACTTTGGCATACGTGTTCAGCAATGATTGCTCTAGTCAATTAACTTATTAACTTTGGATTTAGGTATATGGTACTCGGTAAGTTTACGACAGATCCTTTACAAAAAATGCTTGGAATGTTTTGACAAGGATTGGGTGGCACTTATTTTATAAACACTTATGCTAGAAAAAGTGAGAATATAAAAAACAAAATTAATCATGCAAGTGAATATAAATATTGACGAAATAGCAGAAAACGAAGCAAAAAGTGCCAGTGTATACTAAATGACAATTTGTCTAATTGTCAAATTTTTATTTTTTACTTGAACTGGAAGAAAACAAAAAATAAATGTTGAAATAGCCCTGGTTTAAATTTTTGTGTAAGGTTACTGCGAAGTTATTTTGACATGTGGGTAACATTGACATGTATTAGATTAAATGTTTTTACCCGTTGATTACTCTTTAATTTTAAACTGTAAAATGTAAAGTTACGAAAAGAAAAATTGTTGCAGCCAGCTGTTAAATGAACAAATATAACTACTTTTATCTACATAATAGTAAGTGTAAATAAAAATACAATATGGAGGGCATAAGTTAAACTAATTTCTAGTTTTTTTGTTGCTGAAATTCTTTGGTCAAAAGATAATTAAAACCATACATAATATATCTTTAACATGTGTTTTTATGATGTTTCTAAATACTAATTTTCACAACGCATATTTCAGTTTTGGGGTAACATTCACAGGAATGCTTAAGTCACCCCATGGACCAAGAATCAAGCAAAAGTTGGCGGAATGTTTTCTCATTATCTGATAAACCTTTCACAATTACATGAAATGGAATAAAAAAAGCAAACCCTAAATTAAAAGAGTAATTAAAAAAAAATTTACGAATACATCAAATGTCAACAGATTCTAAAGCCGACACTTGCAAAAAGTTAATATCCACACCAAACAATGTTGCATAATATTGGTAAGAACAAAACATCAAAACTTGAAAATGAAAAAATTATCTGTGAAATGCTGCGTTTGCATTTAAATTTTTTTCGTGCATCTATTACATACTTTTTTTTCAAATTTGACTCATCGCTGGTACGTCTTAAAATAATACATAAGAAACAAAAAAGTACTCAATACATTGTTACATTGTTAGAAGCTCATGAAAATACCACTAAAGCAGTTCTCAATTCCTTTAATGCAATTTTAACGGCGTTAAATTAGTTTGCAAATAATCCCTCTCAAAAAAATTAAAACTAGACTTGAAGAATTATGTATTGCAAATAAGATTGGAACTTTTAAATTTGTCTTTATTCTCGTGTTAGATCAATATTTTAATTAGTTTTCTATCAAAAATCAAAGTCTTCAATCAAAACAAATTGGTTTCAAAACTTTCACTTTCATGCTTTTATGGTTAGAAAGTATTTTAAACAAAATTGTCAAATTTGTTTTTGTTAATTTTGTCTCCCATTTGGTTTAAAATGCTTATTTAACTACTAAATAAGCTATTTTTAACTATTAATATATTAAATAAGCTATTTTTTACTATTAATTTGCTTTTTTACTAAAACTAATAATAACTTTTTTTGTTTAATGTTTAATGAATGTAAACGTAAAAAAAAAGGACTCACTACAAATAGCCAAAACCCAATCATCACAATATTTTTTTGATGATATGATATTAAAAGTGTAGACCTACTAAACAAACAAAAATAACTAAATAAATCATTTACCATACCACCGAAAGAAAACATGAAAACACAATAAAATAAAATTCTAATAGAAACACAAAAATACTAATAAATGTATTTTAAGACGTAAAAAAGAGGTACTTTTAGTATAAACAAACTCAAGACAATCAGAAAGCAGTAAACCTCATTAAACTCAAGACAATCAGAAAGCAGTAAACCTCATTAAACTCAAGACAATCAGAAACCTCATTAAAAAAGTTTTTAAATCAACAAAACAACAATAGTCTTTAATAAGCTCTAACGTTGTCATAAATACCTCATTCGAAATATGATAACCAATCAAAAGTGTAAGGAAATGAACAACCCGCCCAACCCAAAATCATAACAATATTTAAATAATCTATAGTTGCAAAAAAAAACGTCATACAAAAACCATTAAAAATGTCACTAGTTAACTAGATTAAAATCATAGAAAAGTATAATATGAATTGATCTACTCCCCCTAAAATATTGCGTGACGTAAAGCCTAAAATATTGCGTGACGTAAGCACAGCATACTTTAGGCTTTAACTGTTTAACTGCATTCAAGTTTTTCAATTAGAAAAATCATTTAGGGAACAAAAAGAAATTATGACGCAGGGAGTCGACTATACAAAATAGTCGCCTCTGCAAAACAGTCTACTTTACAAAATAGTCGACTCTACAAAATTTGCGTATTCAATAGAACATCTGAAACCAACGCAATTTTAGAAACTTTTAAAAGTTTTAACCGTATTCCGACACAGAAGAAATTAGTTATTATATAAATTATGTATATGTTTCGTTCCTTTCAATTTTTTTTTTCTTTTTTTAATTTCTCTTTCTTTAGTTGTTAATGTATTCCTACTATGAAGTATCGTAGTTCTAATATTTTGTTTAGTTCTCCAGTGGTTGCAGTAATTTATTTCAGGTTTTTATGAGTTTTTTTTTTTTTTTTAAACGTAACCTAAAAATAACCTGTATGATTTTTTACCGAAATAACAATAATATCTTATATTAAAAATCAAGAACGTGCTATTCGCTTAAATCTTTTATTATAAAACAGAACAGACGTTGAAAAACCTTTTGTAAACAATATAATTATCAAAAAATTTAATAAAGTTGGGACAGAAAATGCATTGTAAGCCGTGCTGCCCCAATCAAGTGACCAAATAAGGTCACGTGATTACTGTAACCAAAGCGGTACCAGACCGTAAGGTAATTTTGGGACATCCTAAAAAAAATTGAAAAGAAAAAATAGTAATAATAAATAATAGCAATAAAAGTTCATGAACTTTTTTTTTCAATTTTTGTTACAAATTTTCTATTTATTAACTTAAATAATTAACTAAAAGTAACGAATCATTATAATAAAACAAACTGAAAATCTTGTTTCAATGAGCTAACAGTTTTGTCCTAAAATTTTCGAAATGCTTACTATCTTGCCCCATATACCCTTATAACCTACTGCAGACCAATTTTTTTCCAAAATTTTACCTTCAAAATAATTTATATGGTCTCTCCATATAAATAATTTTAAAATTTGTATATCTAAAAATTTAATGCCAAATTAATGCTTTTTCAAACTAGTGATTCGCCGGGTATCCGGTTGGGACCCGTGGACCCCGTAGTTCGGCTATGTTCTCGGGTACCCTGAATTGGCCATTTTTTTACAATACCCAGCACCTGGTATCTTAAAAGGAACTTTTAATAAACATTTACCTTAAATGCTGTAGCTATATGATTAAGTGATACTTTGAATTGTGTAAAAATATTATTAACAGGATTGCTAGTTTTCCATTCAACCTAACTTCTTGATTTAATGTTTGGAAACCAACTTGGAGTTTGACCTCTTGACCTTTGAAAAGAGCAACGTCTTCTAGAATCATCATTGTCTTTTAATTTAAAAATTGCAGATTAATATATTTTAAATACAATTGATAAATGACTTAAATTGTTTTATTATGATAATGCAAAAATTAAATAAATTACCTGACTTTAAAAGTTACTTTAACAATTAAAAAATGGCGGGATAGCTCAGATGGTTAGAGCGTCTAAGAGAGTTATGGAGTTGAAAATTTAAGAGAGTTAAGGAGTCAATAGTCACAAATTTACCATTTACTCAATATATACTTTAAATCTTTTTTTTCATTTTATTCACACAGTGGAGAAGGTCTACTTTTTTTTTTTTTTTTGTAATTCTCAGTCTCCGTATCATAACCTTTGATTAATTAGCGCATAATATGATTAATTAGCAATAAACTACAAAAAAATATAAATTAATATAATACCACAGTTATTAAATGAAAATTAGCTAGCCAGAACAGTATTTTTTGAAGTTGATAGAGTTAACTTTAGTTTTAATGCTGCATCCAAGTGTACGTACTTTATGGAGTATTTACTCTATAAAGTACGTACACTTGGAAAGAGGGGGAATACAAATGGCGTATATGAAATGGGGGGCAGGGTAAAAGTGTAAGTACTTCATGGACGACCACTTATTCCAAATATTTACAATCTTTTACTTATTATTTAATATTAAGAAACTTGATATATTTAGGCAAACTTAACTAGCGCAAATTAATTAGTATTTTTTTTGTGAAAAACATTTTAGCGCAAGAGATTTCTCAAGCTTGTTACTAAAGAGTGATGATGTTGCGACGAGGAGAAGGGGGAGTAGATCAAAAAAGGTCAAAAATTGCGTGACGTAATTTATGAATGACCCCTAAATTTTAGGGGTTTGATTTAAATTGATTTAAGGGGGCTCACCCCCTTCAAAATAGCACCAAAAAAAAAATTTGAAATTTTGGGTTTTTCGTTTTTTAAGTATAAAATTTAATGAGGAATCTGATTCTGATTTAAAAAAAACAAAAAAAAACAAAACATAAGTATGTCTATTTCTTGTTTATTTGAACATAGTATAAAAGAATTTCCTTAGCAACGCCCATAGCAACAATTTTATTTTATCATTTCTACCTATCTACAACACTTTTTACATAAAACTTAATCTTATATGATTAATTCAAGTTTGTGAACTGTTAATTTTTCAAAGTAATTCTATGTAGGTCTGGAATAGCTCTTTTTGAGCATGTTAAGCACACTGCGACACAACCACATAGCATACACTTCACATGTGTTACTTACTTGTGCATAGCATACACTTCACATGTGTTATTATAAGTTAAATTATGTTCAGTAGATTATTTAGTGATTATTGTGTTAATTTATAAATTTTTAGTTGTGTGGATAAGTTTAAAAATAATTATTGGTAAAAAAGAAGAGCTTAATTATTGAGTTAATAATGGAAAAAAATAACGTTGCAGATAAAAGAGCGATAATAAATGATAAAATTAAAAAGGTAAAATTTGCAAGTTTAAAAAAAAAGAAAAGGAAGTTTAAAGGAAATCAAACAAACAAAAAAACAGTGTGTGTCAATGCAATCTGAGCTGTTAAATCTTGTTCCATTTACTTCAGCATCTTTACCAAAAACAAGATCTTATACTAAGCTGTCAACCCATCTATTCGTTTTGCTTATTTTCTCAATTTGCAAAATTTTCGCATTTTTTCCGAGTTTATTAGAATTAAAAAATGTGATAATTCTTGTTCTATTATAGCTTTTGAGCTAAAATTTTTACACAAAACCCAAAATAGATTGTTTCATGCAATAAACCAAAAGTTTGCTTTAAATTTTTTGTATTGTCTATAATTTGGATGTTTAAGGTTCGTTTTTATCTCGTAAATATAAAAAAATTTTGTTGGTTTTTTAAAAAATTAAATAGATATCTTTCCCGAAATAATATTTTGATTTTTTTTTGGTTTATTGCATGCATCTAATGTTAATAAACAATGTTAGAAAGTTTTATTCAAAAATATTTTACCAATTCAAAGGAATTATCTTTTCAAATTTCAAGAATTAATGGTTTTCGCCATTCAGAATTAATAACCATGGCAACAACTGTCATTATTTTAAAATGAAAATATATTTTTTTAATCACTTCTATAATATTCTTTTTAATGAATACCCTAATAAAGCATATGCACTTGGTAGTTATCGAAAAAATTTTGAAGGGAGTGAGCCCCCTTAACGTCTAATATAACATTTTAATATTAAAATGTATTATGCAATACAGAGTATTGTAGCGCTCTGATCTTATAGTATGTACGCCTTGTAGATAATTTTGATCTATATTATAGATATAATTTTATATTGTTAAAAAAGATTTTTGTTTTAGGATTATTTGGTCAAGTTACAATAGTGGATCAAAATGTTGAAAACGTTTTAATATACTCTGAAGTTGGAAAAAGTGTTGTTTTAACTTACATAATAAAACTTGAAAAGTATGGGAATCCTGAGAGAATTGAAGTGGATGTTCGTTCTCCATTGAACACTATTAAGATTTTATTTTCAGTTGAGTTTGTAGATGGTTCCTATAAAATCATAATAAACAATAACTCTGACATGTTGATTTATAATGAAAGAATCGATCCTGAGTTAGATAAAAAAGAAAATCAATTAACTGTTAAATTCAAGTTAAAAAATACTGTAAATAGTGATTTTGAACGTGAATATCGATGTACGGTGCAGTATCCAAAATTTAATCTTTGTTATGGTACAATTTTGCTTTACAAAGCAGGTTAGTTCTTAACTATTTTTTATAAATAAAATAAAATTAAAAAAAAAGTGGTAGGACTTTGCAAATTGCGTACGTAATTTTTTAACTGTAAAAAAACAACAAAAAAAGGATTAAAAAAAACATATATATTGTGTATATAAAATTTCTTATAAACGTTAAACAAAGTTCTTAATTAAGGGGTAGTTCTTAATTAAGGGTACAAAATTCTTAATTAAGGGAACAAAGTTCCTAATTAAGGGTAGGACTTTGCAAATTGCGTACGTAATTTTTTAACTGTAAAAAAACAACAAAAAATATATATATTGTGTATATAAAATTTCTTATAAACGTTAAACAAAGTTCTTAATTAAAAGTTTGTTAAAATGATTAATTTTTTAAACAAACTTTTAAAAATCTAATTTGAAACAAACGATTTAAAAAAAAATCGAAGATAAGAAATAAAAAAAAGAACTTCGAATTACTAAAAAAAATACACTTTCATAAACTTGAACAAAAAAAAAAAAAAAGAAAAAAAAAGGAAACAAAGAAAAGGCAGTAAATAAAGGTAAACAAAGAAAAAGGAGAGAAAAAAAAGGAAGACAAAAGTAAACAAAGAATTAGAAGATTGGTTTTTATTTTTATTATTTTTTTTTTTTTTCACGCGTATTAATTTTTAATTATTATTTTTTACTATTATTATTTAACTTACTAACTATATTTTCACTTTATTTATTTATATTTTTAATTTCTTATTTATCGTTAATTCGCTTTAGTTCCAGTTAGATAGGTAAGATTTTTCTGTTTCATATTTCAGTTGTAATACCTTTTTCTTATTTAATTAATTATCATTAGACAAGAGTTCTTAATTTATTTATTTATCATTATTTAAAAACTTTTATACATTAAAAAGTTTTTATATTCTTATACAATTATTTATTACGGTTTGTATTATTTTAATTTTATCTATTTTTATTATTTTATCTTTTTTATTAGTTAGTTATAAGCATAAACCTATACTTTTTTATTTACATTTTCGAAAATATATTAGATATAATTAACTTGTTTACTATTACTATCTTGTTTATATATTATCTTGTTTACTATTACTGATTACTGTCGCTATTTATTCATTTTCTATTTATTGTTACAATATCTTATTTTTTATATTTTTTATACTTTATATTTTATAAAGAGTTTCACTATCTAAATCATGAAAATTTATCACCATTGCAGGTTTTGTAACAAAAAATGGAAAATAATCGTGGAGCCATAATGTTTCTCCTTTTAGATTAATGCAAAATGTATTCCAATTGACAAACATACTTACAATCTGCTTTCCAATGACGCTTCTGGATGGTTTCGCCCTACCTGCATATCAAGCAATATGACATTCAGCATGCTCTCTGATTTGGAAATCAAATATATTCTTTCCTGCAAGAATCCTCCTCATAAAATAAAATCTCATAATAAAATTTAATTTGTGATAAATAAATTAGGTTTCGTGCTATAAAAAAATATTTTGGCTAATAGTTCTGATTAACAAGACACCTTTATTCTTAATTTCTTAAATATTTTAATAGAAAAACGAAGTAAGATATTTAAGAAATTTCTTATATCTTCAAACAACATCATCTTGCATAATCCAGTTAAAATCACGGAAATTTTCGACTCCTTTATTTCAATATTTGGAGAACTGTAAAACAATATTCACTCATCCCATACTGACTTCAATAAGTATTTAAAAACATCAAACCTTGACTCTATTTTCATTAAATCTACTGACAAAAATGAAGTAATATCACTTCTTCTTTCTCTTAATTATGGCAAGGTCTAAATAGTATTTCAATCTTTGAAATATAGCCCAGTTTGGATTTCGTTTAAAACGCTCTATTTGCAATTCTCTTATTAGCATTACAGAAATAATCCGTGGTGCAATTGATAGTGATTCTTTTGCTTTTTACGGCGTCTTTACTGATCTTCAAAAAGCTTTTGAAACTGTTGACCACAAGATTTTAATTAAAAAGTTATATCACTATGGTATACGGGGTATAGCTAATGATTAATTTTCATCGTACATTCAAAATCGTACTCAGTTTGTCTTGATAATTGGGTTTTAATCCACAAATAAATTTATAAAATATGATCTCCACAGTGTTCTAGGGCCTTTACTATTTTTAATATATACTAACGATCTGCCTCCCTCTATAAATAATTCGATTGTTTATTATTTCGCTGATAACTATCTTCTATGCATTAATAAATCATTTGCTCAACTTTGTAAAAAAATTCAGATCACCATCATTTGCGTAATTCGTTAAATAGTAACTATATTTCTCTAAATACAAATAAAAGTGAATTTGTTTTTTTTTTCACCCTCAAAAATTTTTTTGATAATTGTATGTGAAAATTAGAATTAACGGTAAAGGACCATTCCTATGTATAAAATATTTCGGGGTATTTTTGACAAAATACTATTAACTAACTAATTAAACAATGTTGTCGTTAATACGACATTATGTTTCCCAACATATTCTAATTTTAACTTACTATTCCTTGCTATTGCAGTTTTTGTCTAAAAGGTATACATTTGCCAGCTGGCTTGTCTAAAAGGGTCAAAATTTGCCGACTAAATGAACGAATAATTATTGGAGGAAGAGGAGAAGGGAGGGAGGGGGGAGAGACTCCTTTCCGCCGGCCTTGCTAGTAAAGCTTTAAAACTGTCTCTTTTTATTTGATTTTCTCCAAAATTATTTACCAAATTTGTTTAATTTGTTAAACTTTGTGTGCCAAATATTTATATACAAAATTCTAAATGCTATTTTTATTTTATAGTTTCTCCAAAAATCAACAACGAAAGTTTTTCGTCCACTGAATACGTCCCAATTAACACAAATAAAAAGTATAAATGTGAAGCAATAGGCATACCAACTCCTAAAGTTTATTGGAGCTCTGAAAAAAATCCAGATATAAAAGAAAAACAAGGAAATGGTTCATCTACTTTTGAAATTAACAACGCACAAAAAAGCGACACTGGTGAATACAGCTGTACTGCAACAAATGACGGGGGAACCGTTGTAAAAAAAATGAAACTTTTTATTTCATGTATAATTTTGTTTTTGTTTTTGTTTTTCTTTGCAAGTTGCAAATAATATATCTTTTAAGTTCTTTTTATAAATATTACCTAAAGAGTAAACTATTTTTATACCTAAACATTTGTTTGAATTAAAATATGTTTATAAGAAGTCATTGGATAAACATTTGCATTACATGATTTTATATTTAGATATTGAGATATCTGAAAGTAATATCTTTACTCGCCACTTAGAAAAAGGTTCAGAAGTTAGAGAACGTTGCAAAATTGATGGTTGTCCTGATCTCTCATGGATTTGGAAAAATCCATCTCAAAAAATAATAAGCACAGATCAATCTCTGTTGTTTGGAGACATAGGAAATCCTGGGAAAAACGAGTTTGGAAATTATACCTGTATTGCTAGTAACATTGCTGGGCAAAAAGAATATGTTTTGGTGCTTGCTCAAACTGAACGTAAGTTTTAAAGTAAAAAAAGTTTGGCTACACATTTAAAAAAAATGTAATAATTTCTAACTTTAAGAGTATATCACATATCCTACCTTTTTTAAGATAGAAAATTATACCCTTAAGTTAAAATATATTAAAAACGACCATTTGTGGTAAAACTTTCTATTTTGAGATAAAAATAGAAAAAAATACAAAATTTCTACCTTTTTGTGTAATATAAATTAGAAAGAAAATATAAAATAATTTTTTTTTTTACAGAATTTGAAGAAATTGGAGCAATTCACGCAAATGATCCATATTACAAAACGTCCTGCAAAATACTAAACTTAGTTTGTTTTTTTTTTATATAGTTTTTCTTTTAGTTTAGTATTTTGCAGAACGTTTTGTATAATGGATCATTTACGTCAAATACTCCAATTTCAGAATCAGCCTGGGAGGGGTTAAGGGAGGGGGAGGGGACGCAGCCAGTGTCCCCAGTATCCCTTCCCCCTTGGTATCGTCGGCCCTGTAAACATTACAACAGTTTTTGATTAAAATGTTTTGATTGTTTTAGATTTTATAAGGCTTTTTTTAAGGCATACTCAAACTTCGATTTCATTCGGTAAAAATTTTATTTTTCAAATTTTCGCAATTAAACGCTGAATATCTTAATAATTCCGATCAAATATTAAATTACATAAAATTAATAAAAGTTTTATGTCATGTTTACATTTTAAAAATTTTAAAAATTTTTCAAAATTGTCTCTGAAGATCTTCAAAAAATCAATATAAATATCAGGTGTTAAACATTTTCAAAAGTTTAACACCTGATATTTTTATTATTGGTTCTTTTGAAGATCTTCAGAAACAAAATATTTCAAGATATTATTTTAGATATTAATGAAGGTTCTACATACGAAAATTAAATAAACCAGTTCTTTTATAATTCTGAGATATTCTCAAAAAAATAAATACATGACACCAAATATGAACTTCGCTAAAAGAGCATGTCTCTGAGATCTTGCAAATCCTATTTTATTTCCCAATTGCATTATTTAAAAGAGTTTTTAAGAAACTAAAAACACTTTTAGAAACGAATTAAATAATTTTGAACAAATTTATCATATAAAAAAAAACAACCAGGATTACATAAATGATTTTAAGTCTACACAGTCTGTGATATTTTGAAAATAAAATTTAGAGCCGTTAAATAACTATTGTCTTATAATTTTTGAAAATTATTATAGCAAAGTATTGACTTGGACTGTGGCTCAAAAACTGTGTTTAAGTTGTCATAGCAAAGTATTGACTTAGACTGTGGCTCAAAAACTGTGTTCAAGTTGTCATATCAAAGTATTGACTTAGACTGTGGCTCAAAAACTGTGTTCAAGTTGTCGCAAAGCTTATAAAATGCAAACAATGCAAATGAGTACAGTGAAAAAATTGGTTATATAGATAACATAGATGGTGTAATATTTTTAAAAAACACTCTTAATACTAGCCTTTTTGAAATTGGATTTTTACTTTAAGCAATGAATCAACTTAGTAAAAGAAATCATGCTGATTTGCATATAAAAAAATACAAAAAGTAAAAAAAAAGTCCTGGAAAGAAGCATAAACACTTATTTATCTACGAGAACAAAATCAACGATTAACACTACTTAAATAATTGATCGAGAATAAAAATGTATAATAAATTTAAATTATAATAGTATATTGTAAAAGAAGAAAAAAATATTAATTTGAGTTTAAGTTGAATTTTTAAAGTTTAGTGAACTTGAATATATTAAAAAATAGTGTATAATTTTTAGTTAATAGGCATTCGGTAAATTGTGCATTTGTGTATGCACAATTTACCGAAACATAAAAATAATGTCAATAAGAAACCTTATAAATGTTTGATAAAAAAATTTGTTTGTAATCAGAAACGGATTTTGACTTGATAAGGCTTGAAGACTATTGATGCCTGGGACTCTTTATAAATCTAAATAGTTTATGTCGGTGTCAGACATAATTTTTGCATTAAACTTAGATGATAAAATAGAAACTATTTAGATGTAATAATAAAGCTTTGAATTAAAATAATTTTTATTTATAACAAACATAAAAATTTAAACTCTAATTAAAAAAAGAAAAATTTTTATTAAATGGGACAATGCATGTAGAGTTGCATCCAGTATATTGACCCTTGCTTGAGTACTCAAGCTGCATGTCAAGAGACTATTTAAAGCCAAACTAATGTTGAATGACTTAACAATTAAACAGTTACAAGACTAACTAGTTAGCCTTTTTTTTTGCCAATTGTAAAAGTAAATTTAAAAAAACTCAACATAAACTTGGCTTTAACAATTTGGAGTTAACTCTTAATTTAGTAGAATTAATAGCGAAAACATTTCTAGTAATTTTTATAACTATACTATATATTATATTAAATTTTACTTGGAGCTAATGTAATACTCAATTAGAGTATTTAACTTTTGTAAAACTATTGTAAAATACCGAAAAATTTTACAATAAAAATATTACCATTATTAGTTACTAATTTGATTAATAATTCTTTGCTTACACTGTAAAACGCTATCCAACTTAAAAAAATTAATATTAATTTTTCGAGAACCAATCAAAAATACAAAAAAATATCAACGTTCAAGCCCATCAAATTGCTTAGATTTTTGAGATAAAATATCGACAATCTTTTTTTTTTTTTTTTTTTTTTTTTTTACAACTTTAACAAATTTACACATCGTTACGTTATAACTACATGACATAATATAATGCAACGTAAAAAATATAACATAATAATACCACGTATAGCATAATAAAAAGTGGTTTAACAGGTATAACTAAGTATAGCGTAAATTAACAGTGTTTCTTATCATTAAAACTACCAGTATTTTTAAAAAATAAAAGAATAAAAATAAGAAAAGAAAAAAAAAAAACTAGAAATTTTTTGTTACTTCAGATTTTCCATGTTGTTGTAAAGGAAAACTTGTAAAAGTTTATGAAGTCATCGAGTACCTCTTTAAATGATATAATAAAATTTTATTTTTATAAATAGTCAAAAGTGGTTAAACAATATACAGTCAGTGATACACATAAATATTTTAGTATAAATTTTAATGTTAAGTTTAATACATGTCGATATAATTGTTGGTATTAAGTATGAGGTGTTTTAATTTATTTTTCAAGTTGGCAGCATTATTTAATACTTTAAGTTCTATATTTTTGGATATGATTTTGTTACATAGGTACGGACCCCGGTAGGAAATAGAAAACCGTGAGAACTTTGTTGTTCTTTTGGGCAGTGTGAAGTTGCCTGTTGCTCTTGTTATATACCTATTAGAGTTTACTTCAAAGAAGTTATCTAAAAAATGCGATGGGACTAATCCAAGTTTGTATTTAAGCATAAATAATACATTTTGGAAGATGTTGATTTGGTAAACATTTAGTGCATTCAAGGTTTTTAGTAAGGGTTCAGCGTGGGTTAGGTTATCTTTATTATAAACTAATCTTGATGCATGTTTTTGACTTATGTAAATAGTACTCGATTTGGATTTGTGTGTACTTGCCCATGTAATATTAGCGTACGTGAGATAACTTTGGATGTAAGAAAAATAAAGCGATTTAAGATTATGTTGGGATAACATAGGTTTAACTTAGTAGAGTATTAGTGTTGTGACCAAAACTAAAAATTGTAACTAACTTAACTAAAAATACCGTAACTAAAATTAGTTGACTAACTTTTTACCGGTTTTTACATCCATTTAAAACAACCATGACAACCATTTAAAACAACCATGACATTTATTTAAAACACCGCGACAATCAATTAAAACAATGTGAAACAATCGTGAAACATTTAACGCATGCGCAATCTCAACATTCTATATTATTTAAAAAAAAAAGTTCTTCTTTATATATTTATTTATCTAATATTATATAAATTTATTTTTATTAATATTATATTAATTTATTTTAATTTAATGGAATTTATTTTAAATTTGAATGGATGTCACGTTTGTTTTAAATTGATGCAAAACCATATTTTTTTACATAATTTTTATACACATACTGTATTGGCAAAACAACCATGATGTTCAATTAAAACATGCGTGATGATAATTAAAACAACAATGATTTCTTTTTAAAATATTTAGCGCATGAGGATATTAGATTTTCATTAAAACATGCAGCGAAATTCTGTTTGCCAAAACATGCGAGATCTTGTTGTAAATCTAGTCGTTGATCAAGGAAAACCTCAACCTGAAGCTTCATCGTTAACAGGAGTTAATCGAAACACAATACAATCAATTTTAAGAAGGTACAATCGAACGAATTCAACACTTCCTGGTTCTAGAGGTGGCGCTCGTCACGTTATTTATAATGAAGAGGTTAGAAGAAGAATTGAAGAGCTTATAAACGATAACACAACGACAACTATAGTTGAAATTAAATATGCTTTAAATGTAAAGTATCAATTAAAACTGTCTGGAGATGAGTGACCAATCTTGGATACACATATAAAATTACTCGACCAATTTATGAAAAAAGAAACGACAATGATGTAAAAAATCTTCGTATTTAATATGTTAGGTGGTATACTTCAATCTCGCATATTAATCTCTATCGAAATATTGTTTTTATTGATGAAAGTTTATTTAATTTGCACATGGTTCGCAGTCATTCATGAGCAAGAAGAGGAGTAACACCAAACCCGATCATTCACCTTAGGCAACGTAACGTTTCGATGATAATGGCCGTCAATGGTTTAAATATTATTCACTGCGAAGCTGTCAGTGTGTCAGTCAACACAGCTTTGTTTTAAGAATATATTGATGAAGTTGTACGAGTTTTGGGGACAGAGGAAGAATTCACCCTGGTGATGGATAATGTCAGAATCCATCATAATGTTGAGATGAGGGCTCAGAACATTCAAATAAATTAATATTTGCCACCAAATTCACCATTCTTGAATCCGTGTGAAGAGATTTTTTTTTATCTTAAGAATAACGTGCGAAGAAATACGG